AACGACTAACTGATTTCCTTACATTCGAAATGACTGACTAAATCTGTAGTTAATTAAGAATGTCTTTAAAATCAAAGCACCAATTGTTTCGGCATCACTCATAATTATAGTCGAAAGCTAGTTTAGTTATCCGCTCATCATCGAACGATATGAGTTTATTCTAAAGTCGGACCATATTAATGTAATACCCGTAGTGACAAGGTAGACATCCGATAACGCCATACATCGCCAATAAGGGTGCAAAGCGATGTACCCCTAAAAAATAACGTATCGCCCTATTTTGAATATTCTCCAAAGCTTGGAACTTACGGCATCCACAAACTCCTGATCCATATTCTAATATAGGCACTACACAGGCATAAAACAGTTCTTCGTACGATTTAACTCCAAACTCTTTATACTGGTGAATATTTGATATTATTTTCCCCAATGCTCGTCCAGATCCCTTTGATAATACTTCAGTGTGCATTGAGAAGTTTCCATTATAAGTATATACGACTCCTAAATACTTGCATTCATTTACAGTTTCAAGTTTGTTTTTGACCAATGCTGAATTCGAAGTCTGTAGATTTAGTTCTAGATTTTCTAAAATGGAAGCATTTCGATTTATTTGTGTTTATCAAAACTATCCATCGTTTGCACCAGTCCTGAAGTTTGTTTAACATTTGTTGTAAATACATTTCATTTTTTGCCAAAAGTGCAATATCGTCAGCCTAAAGCAATATAGAGAGATTACTGTCTTTTAATCCAATTCCAAGATTCATATCGTTTACCTCCATCCACCAGGTCATTAACAAATATCGAAAACAATAACGGAGATACATTGCCCCCTTGTTTCGCAACAGAACCAGTCGGTAAGTTTCCTGTTTAACTTCACACATGATTCAGAACTCTGGAAAAAGTTTTTTTTATAGAGTTATACACTTTTCTATTGATGTTATATCGCAGTTGTTTGTACAATATCATCTCCCTGTCATATGGGAAAGCTGGAAAAGATAAATTCACCCGAAAATATTTCATGGTCGGTTTACTATAGTGTCTTACCAAACAATGATGAAAACTATAAACAAAAATCCTTGGTCTAATGTGATACTTTTGATCTTGGATTGAAATAGACGGATCGGTTACATTTTTACACGATTTACTTTAGGTTGAATGCATATCGCTGATGATACTATCGGTTCAAAAAATGCGTGAATGTGCATGCCAACTGATACATTACGATGGTGCTTGTCAATAGGATAAATTCAAGGATCCTCCGAGCAATGAAAAAGTGTTATTTCCAAATTATTTGTTAAGTCATAAATTTGAAAAATGTGTTGAAAAAAAGAACTGACAACTCTTACCAGCTTACCTTATGAATCACTAAGATAACAAATAAGCTAGATTGGTCCCGTGTCCGTTTTAGCAAACTTATAATTATGAGACTTGTTTGATTGCAATACTTCAGTGCGTTCTACGTTTACATTACGTTTTCGATTATAGCGCAGTCGAGATGGGAAAAGGGTAGTTATTTATTTATTTATTTATTCAAACAACTGAATGAAAGTTGAAAATGTGCACCCTATAAATACAAAGTCAATCTCGAACCATATTTGGCAGCAGAAACATCAAATTAGTCCTGAATATAGTAATTATAGTTACAATACTTTGAATTGTTCGAATTTATTTTGCTATAAACGCATATATGTAGGGGCGGCCAGCTGTCTAAACGTGACTCTACTTTTTCCTTGAAATTTCAACTTTGACCTTTGACTTAAATTTAAGAGAATTGTGACCACTGTAGACAACGCGACGACATCAATATTTCGATGAGGCTTGTTCTCCTCTTTCCAATGATATAAAATACAGCCGTGTGTTATTCCGTTAACTCAATTAAATCGATCAAATCCGTAGACTGGGCACCCTTCTATAGGGGTTATCGAGGACAGACTCTCAATATATATATAAGTTGGAAATGTTAGGCTGTAGACAGTAAAAATGATTTTTTCGTCCTGTCGAAATAGTTGTTATGTATTTGCAGTAAACAATTTTAGATAATCGTTTATCTTAAATCTGGCTTTAAATTTTTTTTAAATACTGAGTAAACATTAATGCAAATTTTGAAATTTTAATAGCAACTTTAAAACATGTGAAATGTGCCAAAGTTTCAAAGCCAATGATCTATGACCGAGGTGACCCAACAAAAAAGACTTGTGCCAATGCTGATATAATTTTCTAAGGCACCGACCATTGATCAAGAAAGATTTTTTTGAAACTCATTGTTGATTTTATATTAATTTTGAATGGTGTCAAACCAATTTATTTAAAATGAAACAAGCGTGCACATGCTGAAACGTCAATGACCATTGATTTTATGTTGAAAGTCTCAAAAATAAAGGATTTACTACAAGTATGATGAAGTTTCACATCCACTTAACATTTTTAAAGATCGATGACAATGAGGACAAGGTAAGATAAATCCTGTCAGACAGTCATGTACACCTTACAATTATGCAATACACCAAATATAGCTGACCTATAACATATTGTAATTGAAAAAAATACCAAAACACAAAAACTTAACATTGACCAATGAACCACTAGTTAATACACACTAGTTTAACCCCGCCACATTCTGTATGCGCCTGTCCCAAGTCAGGAGCCTGTAATTCAGTGGTTGTCGTTTGTTGCTGTGTTACATATTATCTTTTCGTTAATTATTTTGTACATAAATTAGGCCGTTAGTTTTCTCGTTTGAATTGTTTTACATTTGTCATTTCGGGGCTATTTATAGCTGACTATGCGGTATAGGTTTTGCTCATTGTTGAAGGCCGTACGGTGACCTATAGTTGTTAATTTCTGTGTCATTTGGTCTCTTGTGGAGAGTTTTCTCATTGGCAACCATACCACATCTTCTTTTTTTATATATATATACATGAAAATGAGGCCAAGATCAGATGAAACCTGCCAGACTGGCATGTTCGTCTTACAATAATACATACACCACATACAGTTGACCAATTGCTTATAGAACTTTAAAAACAGACCTAATCATGTCACTTCAACCTTGAACACTGTTCCATGAAAATAAATTCAAGGCCAGATGAAACCTACCTTTCTAATGAGTCATAAACACAGAGTAGGTGTGTTCGAATAACAATTTTTTAATAAAAGTAATTTACGACAGACTTTACAAGTGGATCTTAAAAATGCATAACTTAAAAAACTTAAATTTTTGTGTTTGTTATCTAGGTTTATTAGTCTTCAACCTCTGAAATGTTTTTAGTCTGCCCGAAATATCTAATAAGAATTTTTTTTAAATATTTTTGAACTATCGAAAATTACCCCCTGACAACCAATAAGACAATCGTTTTAGGTTGAATAGATACAAAAAAGTACATTAAGTGATGCTCAATAGCTACATGTAGTAGATACATTTTTCTTTTAAAATACAACTGGCATATAAGGATCAAAATGGTTCTATGTGGATACATTTATCGATTTTCAAGATCGAGCTAAATTGGCAGTGCGTCATCCCTACAATGCATGGCTTCCATTTTTAAGATTGTAAAAATGAGCTGGCGTATATGGGGAGATAATTTTAACGAAGGAGAATCCTGACTGTGACGAGACAGGACAGCTTGAAAAGTTACACAAATTTTCTTGATGTTTCTGAAATATCTCATAAAAACATGCAAACGTACTACTATGAATCAATAGAAGCGATATTTGTTTTTTCTAAATTTAAAGGTTCATCATGGGAAAATATCACATTCCACATGCACAGACCTATTCATGGTTTTATTTTAAAACTAGAATGGATTTTACTTTTGCATAAAAAAATAAACACGTATTGCTACATGTGTTTGTTTATTCTACATTGGCTATAGGTATATGGGGAGGGTTGAGATCTTACACTTGAAGCATTTTTGCGATTGTCCGAAGTCAGGAACCTCTGGCTTTTGTTAGTCTAGTATGTTTTTTTTAAATTTTGGTTCATTTATATGTTTCGGACGGGAGATTAGTATGACGTCCAATATCTCTGATCTAGTAAACATTTTAGTTTAGGGGCCAGCAGTGAAGCCCGCCTCCGGGTGCGGAATTCAAGTTCTCGGTGTGTTGAAGACCCGGGATTCGTGGCCTTGGGCTGTTTTCCGTCCTTTGGTCGGGTTGTTGTTTCTTTGACATATTCCCTGTTTCCATTCTCAATTTTATCTATTTTGCCATAAAAAAAAAAACACAAAAAACTGCAGACTTCGTCTTATATGCCAGTCATTCTATTTCTTTTATACACAAGATCCTAGAACAAAATAATTTCTTAAACAACTACAATTAAAAGCATCACCTAATGAATTCAGTATTGTGTAAGTAAGATTTAATTAACTAAAATGTGGTTGATCTGAAACATAATAAATATATTGACCATTTTTACTATTCCCTGCATCTTTACCATTGTAACAAGGATTAACATTTTTATACGAAGTTTCAGTGAAAATGTTTATTCAATCTTCCCGACCCAAAACATCTAAAGTCTATTTCTTTCATATGCAATGTTTGTATTTCCTCGACACACTGCCCAACATAGTGTTGCGAAACTACAGCTTCTTAAAGAAGTGTGTAACAAAATCTGTTAATATAGACATTAGACATTAGACATTATTTTATTATACCATTACCAATCATGGGCCCTTGTCGGGCAAGATATAATACAATAGTTCGTGGTACCAAAATTATTAATTGCAATCTTTTTTAGAATCAGTGAAACAGTATATATAAAAATAAGAAAATGTGGTATGATTGGTATGAGACAACACATAAACATCATAATACAATGATTATTATAAAACAAATTATTGGTGAAATACGCAATACATAATACACAAAGTAATACAGTGATAAGATCTGATAATATGAGAAATGTAGGATATAATTATGGTAAGAGGCATTGAGTGTAATGAGGCCAATTTAATATGAATTTACGCGGGAAATCAAGGGGAGATAACACAACATCGGAACACCTTTTGATTTAACCTAACAGTAATTGAGCAAACTTTACATAAAAATTGTCACTTGGTAGAAAAATAATGTAAACTTTACAGACATACATAATAGAGATGACAGTATTAGATGCAGCAAAAAGAGCCAAACTTGCAGAAGTTAGTAAGATTTATGTCACGAAAATTTGTCATAAGCAATGTTAAACAACCTGTTTAAACAAAAAGGGGGAGAGTAGGGTAACCGGGGAACAATGTGTTCTGTTATAAAAAGACTAAATTGATTTGCCCTAAAAATTATCTCAACGGTTATGTGTATGTTGGATTCGTTGATTTTCAAATGCACAGCCAGAGATGTCAAGGACTGTCAGTGTCAATGCAACTTAATAATTTGCAAGGTCCATGTATGTATGTATGTATGTACTGGCAGATTCCTCCCTTATTCGGAGAACCCCTCGAGAACTGCGAGGGTACAGTGGAATCTGTGTACACACCCTATCAGGGTTAATGGAGATGTGTCACTAATGTATTTACAACAGTATTTAAAAGGACAATCCCCCACCCAAACACAAAGGGAGTGCTAGGACACTGGAAAGTCTGTTATTATGGTGGAGGAAGCTGAAGTACTCGGAGAGAACCACCGGGACACTCGGCGGGAACAGACAAACCGGAGAGATATCAGAAGATTGATCTCCAGGTCAAAATAGGGGGTAATTTTGACCAACCGAGGCCCCCAAAGTACACATTCTAGTTTAAACTCCGGTCTGGGTACCAGAGAAGAGTGTGGGAGGGTGAAAATCACCCTTGTGATGTGCTGAAATTTCCAGTGCCCAAGTCAGAATCGAACCTGAGACCTTCAGCACAGTAGCCATTGGTCCACTAGACCACGAACCCACACATTGAAAAGCCATTGCAGCTTTTTTTGTCTGTTAAACCAGCAACATCCGATCAGGCTGATCGGGAAGACATGCGCAATTAAGATTTGACTGATAAGGTGATGTAGGAGGTACAAGATGTATATAAACAGCAGATTTATGATAAATGTAAACAAAACAAATGCACATGCTTGAGGAATTTGTAGCAGACGATTTAATTATCTTATCCACTGTGGTCAAAATAGTTATGGTTTGTAGTAGATATAATTACAAAAATAAAGAAAAATATTTACTTACAATTATGTTTTAATGATTTGACTTTTTAAAATTGTGAGATAATTATATCATAAATCCAAGTAAATTTGAACTAACTGATCCCAGATTTCAGACATGTTGTAAGATTTTCTTTTCAAAATTTTTACTTGTACTTGTCTTCATGGGTTTTTTATGAACAGTATGTAGACCTGTGAGTTATGAAATTTTCACAGTGCTATAATATCAAAACAACAAAAATACATAATAAAAGTGACATGCCATTGTGTACATATACCATATATTCTACAATAAGGAAAAGTTGCTTAAAGCAATATTATTTATTGTTTTATAGCATTTAATAGAAAATGGAGATTTTGTTGCAAATTAAGCCAAGATTTTTGCAGAAAATCCACAGACTTTATTACAGATAGTTTAGTTATAAAATTTGACCATGATGTGTCTACAACCTTTATAATCCAAAAAAAAACTCATCCTGAGTCATTTAAGTCGAGCGCACACTAGAAGCTGTACTTAAATAGGTCTATCCTTTTTGTCCATATTTTATACTTGTTTTAACCAATATATGTATAACTTATTTTAGGGAAAGCATAACCATAAGAATTTTTGTAGTGACTCTATTGATTGGCTTGAGACACAGGGCGTGGGATTTTTGTAGTGACTGTATTGATTGGCTAGGGACACAGGGTGTGGGATTTTAGTAGTGACTGTATTGATTGGCTGGGGACACAGTGTGGGATTTTTGTAGTGACTGTATTCATTGGCTAGGGACACAGGGTGTGGGATTTTTGTAGTGACTATATTGATTGGCTGGGGACACAGGGTGTGGGATTTTTGTAGTGACTGTATTGATTGGCTAGGGACACAGGGTGTGGGATTTTTGTAGTGACTGTATTGATTGGCTGGGGACACAGGGTGTGGGATTTTTGTAGTGACTGTATTGATTGGCTGGGGACACAGGGTGTGGGATTTTTGTAGTGACTGTATTGATTGGCTAGGGACACAGAGTGTGAGATTTCTGTAGAGACTGTATTGATTGGCTTGGGAAAAAGAGTGTGGGATTTTTGTAGTGACTGTATTGATTGGCTGGGGACACAAGGTGTGGAATTTTTGTAGTGACTGTATTGATTGGCTGGGGACACAAGGTGTGGGATTTTTGTAGTGACTATTGATTGGCTGGGTACACAGGGTGTGGGATTTTTGTAGTGACTGTATTGATTGGCTGGGGACACAGGGTGTGGGATTTTTGTAGTGACTGTATTGATTGGCTAGGGACACAGGGTGTGGGATTTTTGTAGTGACTATATTGATTGGCTGGGGACACAGGGTGTGGGATTTTTGTAGTGACTGTATTGATTGGCTAGGGACACAGGGTGTTGGATTTTTGTAGTGACTGTATTGATTGGCTGGGGACACAGGGTGTGGGATTTTTGTAGTGACTGTATTGATTGGCTGGGGACACAGGGTGTGGGATTTTTGTAGTGACTGTTATGATTGGCTAGGGACACAAAGTGTGAGATTTTTGTAGAGACTGTATTGATTGGCTTGGGAAAAAGAGTGTGGGATTTTTGTAGTGACTGTATTGATTGGCTGGGGACACAAGGTGTGGAATTTTTGTAGTGACTGTATTGATTGGCTGGGGACACAAGGTGTGGGATTTTTGTAGTGACTATTGATTGGCTGGGGACACAGGGTGTGGGATTTTTGTAGTGACTGTATTGATTGGCTGGGGACACAGGGTGTGGGATTTTTGTAGTGACTGTATTGATTGGCTGGGGACAGAGTGGCTGGGGACACAGAGTTAGGGATTTTTGTAGTGACGTTATTGATTGGCTTGGGACAAAGGGTGTGGGATTTTTGTAGTGACTGTATTGATTGGCTGGGGACACAGGGTGTGGGATTTTCGTAGTGACTAATGATTGGCTTGGGACACAGGGTGTTGGATTTTTGTAGTGACTGTATTGATTGGCTGGGGAATAAGGTGTGGGATTATTGTAGTGACTATTGATTAGCTGGGGACACAGGGTGTGGGATTTTTGTAGTGACTGTATTGATTGGCTGGGGACACAAGGTGTGGGATTTTTGTAGTGATTGTATTGATTGGCTGGGGACACAGAGTGTGGTATTTTTGTAGTGACTGTATTGATTGGCTGTGGACACAGGGTGTGGGATTTTTGTAGTGATTATTGATTGGATGGGGACACAGAGTTTGGGATTTTTGTAGTGACTGTATTGATTGGCGGGGGACACAGGGTGTGGGATTTTTGTAGTGACTGTATTGATTGGCTGGGGACACAGGGTGTGGGATTTTTGTAGTGACTGTATTGATTGGCTGGGGACACAGGGTGTGGGATTTTTGTAGTGACTGTATTGATTGGATGGGGACAAAGGGTGTGGGATTCTTGTAGTGACTGTATAGATTGGCTGGGGACACAAGCTGTGGGATTTTTGTAGTGACTATTGATTGGCTGGGGACACAGGGTGTGGAATTTTTGTAGTGATTGTATTGATTGGCTGGGGACACAGGGTGTGGGATTTTTGTAGTGACTGTATTGATTGGCTGGGGATACAAGGTGTGGGATTTTTGTAGTGACTATTGATTGGGTGGGGACACAAGGTGTGGGATTTTAGTAGTAACTGTATTGATTGGCTGGGTACACAAGGTGTGGGATTTTTGTAGTGACTGTATTGATTGGCTGGGGACACAGGGTGTGGGATTTTTGTAGTGACTGTATTGATTGGCTGGGGACACAGGGTGTGGGATTTTTGTAGTGATTATTGATTGGCTGGGGACACAGGGTGTGGGATTTTTGTAGTGACTGTATTGGGGTGGGGACACAGGGTATGGGATTTTTGTAGTGACTGTATTGATTGGCTGGGGACACAGGGTGTGGGATTTTTGTAGTGACTGTATTGATTGGCTGGGGACACAAGGTGTGGGATTTTCGTAGTGACTATTGATTGGCTTGGGACACAGGGTGTGGGATTTTTGTAGTGACTGTATTGATTGGCTGGGGTCACAAGGTGTTGGATTTTTGTAGTGACTGTATTGATTGGCTGGGGACACAGGGTGTGGCATTTTTGTCAATAAATAAGGATAGTTTTGATGTGAATATAATAATGTGTTGGCCGATGTCTTGTACTCAATATACAGTCCTAAACAGTATTAATTCGTCACACAACTTTTTCTTAGGCAATTTATGTTAACTCGTTGAGATTCATGTTTTTTCATATCAATCTGTGCTATCTATATTTAAGAAATAATTTCTTCATGTCATGCTCTATGCTCATTTTAACATGAGTAGGCATTATGATATTTGTCGATATTTTTCACTGAGCTGAGCTGAGCGTTAGACTCTTAATTGTCTGTAGCCGAAGGGCATGATTCTTAATATGAAAATCACATTGTCTGTTCCGAGACTCGAACCTGGGACCTCTGTCTTACAAGTCAGTGTTCTAACCAACTAACCAAACATGGTCACAATCATCTTTTAACCAACCAACATGACCACAATTGCTAAAAAAGAGAACATAATGATCTAGATGATAAAATGCAAACTTGTACATTTTGTAATTTTTTAATATATATAACAGAGAGAGAAAAAAATCAGCCATGTCAAAATCTATGTATTTTCCATGGAAACCAAAGTTATCAGACTTAGTTAATTATCCTTAAATGATACTGTTTTTACTTTATATGTTAATGTAAAGGAAGGAGTAATACCAACATTGATTTTCCTCTATTAGTCTTTGTTAAAATTTGCACATTTCAAAAAATTGTACAGAATTTATCTTTGTTTCAAATAAAGAAACACTAGGCAAGTTTTATCCTGTCCAGTACTACATACAAAGTTTCACATAACATTTCATTGCATATAAGATAATACATGTAATAACCATCACTGGAAATTAGCCAATCAAATCTTCACTCCTTTTTGCCCTGTTTACAAACTTTCATAACCATGTAACCTCAAGTTTCCAAAATGTTTTATAGAAACACCAAAAAGATAAAGAATGGTGCTTTGAAACACTCAAGATATATATTTATGGCTCAGAAATTTTGTTCTACAATCAGTCAGGGGCATTACTTAAACAAGTAACATTTAAAATTACCTATACAAGTAATGTTGAAAACGAGGCTATTTTAGATATTACTTATATAAGTAACTTTTCTAAATATTATTTTTATAGGTGTCCAACTATACAGATTTTACTAGCTTTAACAAATTTTCACGGTCATCTGGTTATTTTTCCCATGACATATAAAATCTAATCTTTCTGAAACACTAATTGCCTTTCTGATGCACTTATCTTTCATATCGACGCTTTTGGGTCAAAGATTGGTCTCTTGGGACTATTGAAATATCATTTTCCTCAAAAATCTTGAAGATAGACAGATATAAATAGATAGAAACTTGTGAATTAATTAAGACTTGAAGTTATTTATAATTTGTAACCAAAAACACTTACATTTGTTCCTTAAATAAGTGTTATTACGAATTCTTTCAAAGATGTATAAAATAACTTATTCAAGTAATATTTTTGTCATTATTTTTAAAGTAACCCTTTATCTCTATACTCCTCTAAAATCTAATAAATTCATCATTTTATGATATAAAATGATGTAAAAATTCATGAAAACTACATTTAGTCCATGCTTCTTTGAGATTTAAAATAACTCTATTAAGTAATTTTATAATTTTTAAAAACAAAAATTACCTATGTAAGTAACTAAAAAAAATTACTTGTTTAAGTAATGCCCCTGACTGACAATGAAATGCAGTGTTTTACAATAAAATGCAGGGTTTAAACTTCCCAGAACTGTCAAATTCAAGAGAATATTTTTTTCTGCCCTTCTGTCATGTCTGTATGAACCAGATATTACATACTATGATTTAGTGGTATTACACCTAAACAGCAAAAATTATCAACAACATCCTCAGAGACAACATGTACAAAAATGCAAATATGTCTGAAACCATCTATTTACTCCGTATACATGTAGAAGTTATTGCTGTTAAAAGAAGATTTTTTTACCATTGAATTTAAGTATTTTGCCAATTATCTTGAAAACTATTTTAGATAGAAATGATAGACAGCAACTGAAAACAGTAAAACTGATTACTAATTCAAGATCTATAAAAATTACATTATGATTGAAACCATTATTGGAATTATTATGGAATCTGTTTTGTTTAAAATGAGCCATTATTTCTTGGAATACAAGATTTTTTTTTCTAAGGGGTATCACTCTTCTGCTGTTCCTCATTCTGAAATTTGATGATGACTAATCAGGGGAAAAAAAAGACAATGTTGAAGCAGGATGACAACCACTGCGAGCATCTAAATACTAAGTATTTAGATCATGTTTTATTTTTGAGCATCTAAATACTAAATAATTAGATCATGTTTATTTTTGAGCATCTAAATACTAAGTAATTATACCCCCGCTTTAAAAAAGGGGGGTATACTGTTTTACCTCTGTCTGTCCTTCCGTCAGTCTATCCGTCAGTCCGTCAGTCCGTCAGACCATCCATCCGTCCCATGAATATTTTTGTCACATTTTTCTCAGGAACTACTTGACAAGGATTTCTGAAATTTGGTTCCAGGGTTTATATAAGTAAGTTACACCGTGTGATGCGTTTTTATAGATTCATCATTCAACAACTTCCTGTTTACGGAACACTTGTATTATTTTACACATGATAGCCAAGTTGAAAAATTTCGTCACATTTTTCTCACTGGAACTACTTGACAAGGATTTCTGAAATTTGGTTTCAAGGTTTATATAAGTCAGCTTTACTGTGTGATGCTTTTTCAGAGACAACTTCCTGTTTACCGAAATATTACGGCGGGGGTATCATCAGTGAACAGTAGCTCACAGTTTTACTTGTTAGATCATGTTTATTTTTGAGCATCTAAATACTAAGTAATTAGATCGTTTATTTTTCAGTATAGAAAACAGAAAGATGCTTGTTTTATGGAAGCTATATGGCAGTCAGTATTAGTATTGGGTGCAGGTAAGTAATATAGATGATATAGGGGGTAGTTTACAATCATTTTCTGGGAAAATTAGTGGAACAATTAGTTGAAAAAACGTAATATGTGACACTGTAAGTTTTAAAATATTACTCAAAACATTGTATTAAATAAGCTGCTGCATAGTTTAATACCAGTAAAAAACTATTCATCTACAACCAAAGAACAAGATGAAAATAATGCAGGCCTTCAACCAATACTGTATATAGTACATAGACCATTACAAATTAGTCAAATTTGGATGCTTTCTTTCTATTGTAAGAAATATATTTTTTTGCAAATATTGCAAAATATTGAGACCTTTTGTCATGTTTATAACCAGTTTCCTGAAAGATAAATACCTGTAAATTGTTTTAGGAGACTGCATTGTTGAAAGACTTACGTTAACCTCTAGATGTCTTTGAGGATTTTTTTTTTATCATTGTGTGCAGTCTCGTTGATATATGAACCACCTCTTTATTCTTATTAGGTTGTTTAATGTTATATGAAAGATCCGATTATCTTTCATGAATGTGAGAAATTTGGTCTTTCCTGAGCAGAGCAGTGAAGCCAAAAAAAAAAAAATTACATGTATGTAAAATTGTTCACAAAACAGAGATGGAAAAAAAAGTGACCATGCACTAATTATGTTTTGATTTTGAACTATAATTTTGACTTTCAACATAAATTTGATGTTGCCCAAATTACTATGTTTGATTGGTTATTTATAAACAAAATAAATTTACCAATTAGAATTTCCCTTACCTTTACTAATTATCATTAATAATGTTTTTCAGCATGTGGTGGTGTACATCTTGGCCAAAAACTTCTATCTTCAGTGTTACCTTATGGACCAATGAAACATGTGATGGTGACAGTATTAGCTGGGGCTGGAGCATCAACTTATGTTTCGGCAAAGGAATCTGCTAAATGTATACATAAGTGGAATAGACATATGGACAGATTATATGGTAAGCAGTGGAGTATGATTATTTGTGAAAAAAAAATAAGAGGTATAAAAAATAAATTGATACTTTTGAATTATTTGTACATGTATGTAGCCTTACTGTTCATACTACAGGTAACAGTACCACTGGGAAATTATATAGGAACTACACATACTGAAAACTCGAAATTAATATGCTTAAATATACTATCCTATTATTATCATTTTTTGCATCACAACAAGTATAATACCATTAATATTTACTACAAAAGTCCATTTTTAGCTCACCTGACCCAGCGAGCCAGTATGATTTTTTGCCATCACTTTGCATCCTTCATAGGATTTAATGCCCTCAAACAACAATTTTTTATACGACCGCATTAAAATTTTGTGGTCGTATATTGGTATGACGTTGTTGTCGTCGTCGTCTGAAGACACATTGGAGTTCGCACTCTAACTTTAGTTTAAGTAAAATTAAAATAAAATTGAGAATGGAAATGGGGAATGTGTCAAAGAGACAACAACCCGACCATAGAACAGACAACAGCAGAAGGTCACCAACAGGTCTTCAATGCAGCGAGAAATTCCCGCACCCGGAGGCGTCCTTCAGCTGGCCCCTAAACAAATATATATACTAGTTCGGTGATAATGAACGCCATACTAAACTCCAAATTGTACACAAGAAACTAAAATTAAAAATAATACAAGACTAACAAAGGCTAGAGGCTCCTGACTTGGGACAGGCGCAAAAATGCGGCGGGGTTAAACATGTTTATGAGATCTCAACCCTCCCCCTATACCTCTAGCCAATGTAGAAAAGTAAACGCATAACAATACGCACATTAAAATTCAGTTCAAGAGAAGTCCGAGTCTGATGTCAGAAGATGTAACCAAAGAAAATAAACAAAATGACAATAATACATAAATAACAACAGACTACTAGCAGTTAACTGACATGCCAGCTCCAGACTTCAATTAAACTGATTGAAAGATTATGTCTTCATCATATGAATATCAGGCACAATCCTTCCCGTTAGGGGTTTAGTATCATACCATCATAACATATATGAGAAGAACATAACCCGTGTCATGCCAACAACTGGTTTTTAAATAAATGTGTTTAGTGCCGATGCAAAGACCCTATAAGTGAATCAATATTAACGCCAAAATATGCAATCTTTAATGACCTGACAACAGTATTTTTGTGCTTTATAAAGAATATTTCCATAAAAAATTGGATGTGAAATACCTGAACGTATAAGAAGTCTGCATGTTGAGCTATATTTACGAATGATGTCCTTATACCGATGATAAAATTTAGTAAATGTTTTGACTAGTTTGTGATATCGAAAACCCTGGTGTAATAATTTTTCAGTAATACATAAATTTCTCTCGTTAAAATCTAAAACATTGTTACATACACGAGCGAATCGTACAAGTTGAGATATATAAACACCGTAAGATGGTGACAAGGGAACGTCACCATCTAAAAATGGATAATTAACGATAGGAAATGAAAAATCATCTCTTTTATCATATATTTTAGTATTAAGCTTTCCATTAATGATATAGATATCAAGATCGAGGAAAGGGCAGTGGTCATTGTTAGTATTAGCTTTATTTAAAGTTAGTTCAACAGGATAAATTGATTTAGTATACATACTGAAGTCGTCATTATTGAGAGCCAAAATATCATCCAAATATCTAAAAGTATTATTAAATTTGTGTATCAGATGTTGTTTCGATGGGTCTTTGCTGATTTTTGTCGTAAATTGTAACTCATAGCAATACAAAAAAAGGTCCGCAATAAGTGGTGCACAGTTAGTCCCCATTGGAATTCCGATAACCTGACGATATACGGAATCTCCAAAGCGAACAAAAATGTTATCTAGTAAATATTCAAGGGCATATATAGTATCAAAGCATGTCCAATTGACATAGTTTTTTTGTTTATTGCTACTAAAAAATGACCTAAAAGAGTTTGAACATATATATTCACATTCTGACTTTTTAAATGCCCATTTAATTAGGTAAGTGAATGGATCTCTATGAAATTTTACCATAAGGTTCAATACCACAAAAGGAAGGTTGGGATTGATTTTGGGGGTTATGGTACCAACAGTTTAGGAATTAGGGGCCAAAAAGGGGCAAAAAATAAGCATTTTTGTAACTTCCAGACATAACTTGTGTGTTAGTGTAAGGATCTCTCTGACATTGTACCACAAGGTTCCATATCACAAAGGGAATGCTGGGATTGATTTTGGGGGTAATTGCCTCAAAATTTTAGGAATTAGGGGCCAAAAAAGGGGCAAAAAACAAGCATTTTTCTAGTTTCATGACAATAACTTGTGTGTAAGTGTATGAATCTTTCTGAAATTGTACTACAAGGTTCCATATCACAAAGGGAAAGCTGGAATTGAGTTTTGGGGTAATTGCCCAAAACTTTTAGGAAAAAGGGGCCAAAAATAAGCATTTTTCCAGTTTCCAGACAATAACTTATGTTCAAGTGTATGGATCTCTCTGAAATTGTACTGCAAGGTACCATACCACTAAGGGAAGGCTGGAATTGATTTTGGGGGTAATTGCCTCAAAATTTTAGGAATTAGGGGCCAAAAAGGGGAAAAAACAAGCATTTTTCTAGTTTCAGGACAATAACTTGTGTGTAAGTGTATGGATCTTTATGAAATTGTACTACAAGGTTCCATATCACAAAGGGAAAGCTGGGTTTGAGTTTTGGGGTAATTGCCCTAAACGTTTAGGAATTTATGGCCAAAAAGGGGCCAAAAAACAAGCATTTTTCTAGTTTCCAGACAATAACTTGTGTTCAAGTGTATGGATCTCTCTGAAATTGTACTGCAAGGTACCATACCACAAAGGGAAGGCTGTTATTGAGTTTTGGGGTGATGAATCATAAGGGGGTTCAAAAAATTTGGGGGGGGGATTTTTTTTTCCTTTTTTTTTCTTTAAAATTTTCCATTTTAAATTCAATGGTTATTTCTGATTTATATATAAAAGCAAATAATAATGATATGGTTTGAATAGGTAAATTAAAATTTGTTAAGTTCTTAGACAACATTCATTCTGTGTCAGAAACCTATGCTGTGTCAAATATTTAATCACAATCCAAATTCAGAGCTGTATCAAGCTTGAATGTTGTGTCCATACTTGCCCAAACTGTTCAGGGTTCGACCTCTGCGGTCGTATCAAGCTGCACCCCAGCGGAGCATTTTATTCTAATTGGATTGCATATTTGCTTACAATTCTGAAAATTATAGTAGATAAATAGAAACTGTAAAAAGGAAAAATGATCAGCAGGATAAGATCTACAAAAGTATTGACATGACTGAAATTGACAGTTAATAGATATAAAAAGATGTGGTATGAGTGCCAATGTGACAACTCTCCATTCAAGTCACAATTTGTAAAAGTAAACAATTATAGGTCAAATTACGGCCTTTAACACAGAGCATTGGCTCACACCTACAGCAAGCTATAAAGGGACCCAAAAATGACTAGTGTAAAACCATTCAAACAGGAAAACCAACAGTCTAAAAAACGAGTAACACTTTTTTGAACCACATCAACAAACGACAACCACTGAACAACAGGTTCTTGACTTAGGACAGGTGCTCTATTAAGAGTTTACTGAGGCCATTGTTGACGATGCAGGTGAGTGACACATGCTCTTTAGAGTCTCTAGTTCCGGAATTACGCCCAACTTTCTGTGTACTGGTATAAATCAAAATTGAGAGCAACATGTAAATGAACAAATTATTTTTCATTGGAATGATTTTGGAAGAAAATAAAATTAAAATGTGTTCATTTTTTCAGACAGAAACAAAAAGACATAACCAGTATTCAGTAGTGGACACAAGACATTTATTGATGGGTAGCCTCACACCATGTGGTTTTAATGCGGCAGATAAAAGTTGGGAATAAACAGCTGTGATAAAAACTTTACAACAGAGAGAACAGTCTAAAAAGTTGTTTTGAAAATTGAAGAATCATCATTGTTTTTTATTTAATTAAATTTTTATATAAGAGTTTAATGGTGTGTACTTTCCCTGATACTGATAGTGACCATATGAAGTGCCTACAAGTCATAATAATTTGTTGCCTCAGAATCAAGTTAATTAGTCTTGGTTTGGTGACCTGTGTTCCCGTGGTTATGTTTTGATATCTGATGTTAAAATAGGGCTAAAGTTTATGTCCTTCATAAAATACAAAGTTGTGTTTAATGTCATATCATATCATATCAACTTGTGTTCATACTGGATATGATTATAAGATTACGGTGTTCACCTTGTGTGCATGGGGTCGTAGGTTCGAACCCCAGCCAGGTCAAACCAAAGACTTTAAAATTGGTATTTGCTGCTTCTTTGCTAAGCACACAGCATTTAGGAGTAAGAACAAAGGCTGGTTGGCTCAGAGTCAGAATAATGTGTCCGTGTAAGGTGACATGTCTTCCTTTGGACTGTTACCTTGTGAACAAGCACGTTTAAAATCCGGCTCAGTGTGTTGGTCTAGTACAAAGCAGGTTAAATATTCATATAACCTTAACATGTTCTTGTCCTGAATATGCGTATTAATTTGCCACTGGACGTTAAGCAGCCATTCGTCATCATCATTAAAGATTACCAGCTTCACATCAAACATCCATCAGTCCAAATGGATAAAAGTACAATTTGTATAAAAAATTTGAAATTGTTTATCATAAATCCACATTATCAATTTGCTTACATTTTTTTGTCATGGATATGGATGAAATATTTGCCACAAGATGTTGAGCAAACAAAAATCATTCAGCCATTGGCTCTCATTTACTATTACCATGAATCTTTATCTGTGGTAACCTAGTTAAGGGTAGTATTTAGGATGAAATAGATTTGATTTAATCATGGTGCAGCCTTCCAAATTCCATGGTATTAAATCAAATATGTATAACTTTTCTGTTTCCATTTGCTGATAAAAGACAATATGGTGCATGTTCTCAACTTAAGATACAGTCATACATAATTTTACCCCCATTGTAAAAATATGGAAATGTTGTATCATTGGCAATGAGACAACTATTCACTAGAGTACAAATAAAGTGGATATAGGCAATTACAGGCCACCATACAGCCTTTAACAATGAGAAAAAAACTTATTCTGTATAGTCTGCTATAAAAGGCCCTGACGTGAGAAATGAGAAACAATTCAAACGAGAAAACTAACAGCCTATCTTATAACAAAAAAAATAACTCCATTGGGATATTATATTATGCCATATGCAACAAGATAGGTGCAACATTCAGTGCATGATCTGCCTACTGTTCTTAAGCACCTGAGATCATCCCTAGTGTTTTATGCGTTTGCGTTACTAAATCTAAATTTCTATGTAGTTATTTTTTTGTTTTTGTTATGCCCCTGCCGTAGCTGAGGGGGCATTATGTTTTACCCTTGTCCGTCTGTACGTCCGTACCTACGTCCCAAAGTTGGTTTCCGTTTTCTAAACTTTAGACTGCCTCAACCAAATGTTATGAAACTTATACACAACGCTTATTACCACAAAATACAGATCAAGATTGAATTTTGGTGGTGTCACTTTAACCCAGAGTTATGCCCCTTTACAAATGGAAAAATTGCTGAATTTTTTGTTTCTGTTCTCTAACTTAAGTTGGCCTCAACCAAGTGTTATGAAACTTATACAGAATGCTTATTATCACAAAATACAGATCAAGTTTGAATATTGGGGATGTCACTTTTATTGTTCTAGAGTTATGCCCCTTTACAAATGGAAAAATTGCTGAATTTTTTGTTTCCATTCTCTAACTTAAGTTAGCCACAACCAAATGTTATGAAACTTATACACAATGCTTATTACTACAAAATACAGATCAAATTTGTTTTTGAAGGGTGTCACTCTTATTGTTCTAAAGTTATGCCTCTTTACAAATTGAAAAATTGCTGAATTTTTCGTTTCCATTCTCTAACTTAAGTCTGCCTCAACCAAATGTTATGAAACTTATACACATTTGTTATTACCACAAAACTCAGAACAAGTACAAATTTGGGTAGCGATACTTTTACCGTTTTTCAGTTATGTCCCTTTATAACTTTATATGATAGACAAGCGGGGGCATCATTTGTGTCCCATGGACACATTCCCCATTTATTGTTTTTGACATGTTGTTTTTGACATAACAATGAACAGTAACCAATATTACTGAAGGTTTTGGGTCAAGTATGAAACAACCAGCTTAATGAGTTGTAGTTTATTGTTTAGATTATACAAATTTATCTTTGCTCGTAATTTTCACTTAGACAATAAACAAACAAATAATTTTGTATACATTAAGCCTAGGTCATATAAAGGGAATTAATTAATCTATTGTAAGGTTTGTCCATTTGAAATTGGGTAAGCTTTGTTTGTAATGGTTCATCCCATTAAAGTTTAGTCCATTCTAAAATAGGTATACACGAATGAGTGGTATGTTCTATAATAGTCCAGTCTTTCTGATAAGTATTGTTTACAAGTGAGTAGTTTTCTTTATGAGCAATGTGTTAATCTTCACTGACTGAATAATTTAGGAACTGAGTAAAAGTCAATGGAACTGAACTCACATGTTGCATTCTGTCGATCTATTGAATCAAGATTATTATTGACATGTTAGTAAGTTTGTTATCAACATACCTAGACTTAGACCATTGTTCATTTGATAATTACTGAACTTAAATCACAATATCTAGTTACATGTTGACATCTTCAAAGTAATAGCATCAGTTATTGTAAACTATAAAAAAAAATTGAATGTGTATTAAATTTCTAAATTAGTTATTGTCATATTTCCTGCTGACTGTTGCTATAAGTCAATTATTTTTCCTTTTATTGTGCTATAAAAACATGTAATTTCTTCTTATTCAATGATCATTCTGTCAGATTTTTGTTCTCATCATGAATATGTTTATAATATTTGCAACTGGACATTAAGCAAACAACAATCAATCAATCTTTATAAATGCTAAGATAGATTGAATCAAACTTGAAAGGTTTCATATAATCATTTATAAGTGAATTTTTTACAATATAAAAGTTATTTTATTTGTCGTTTTTGAATTTAAATAAAATTCTTCAAACAGAATTGAAATCTGCATACTAGACAAATGATTTAAAACAAATTTAACCCTTTTAAACTTTTAGTTGGATGCACTTTAATTTTGATATTGATTGATTAAAGCTTAACATCCAGCAAGTACTACATGCATATTTGGACAATCTCATGTATAAGATATATGAGCCTCTTCATGGGGTTTTTGATTATGTGATTTTTGGCCGTTTTTATAGTGATTATTTGATTACCAGACAAAATATTTCATTATTATTTGATTATTTGATAATCTAGAACTGTATTTTTGATTATTTGATTATCTTGTTTAAAAAAATAATTAATGATTATGTGATTATATTGGCAAAAAAATTATATGATTATGTGATTACTTGGACATCCCCATGAGGGGCCTCATATATGAATAGCAGTCCTCAGAAAGTCATATTACCTCAAGTATATTACCCTACTTGGGCACATTATAATGACTCCAAACCTACCTATCTGCTCTTTCTTCTTATACCATACGCTCTAGAGAAGCAGAAGATATCAATTTCAAAGTCATTGGTATGGGGAATGACACCCACACCCTCTAACACTTGACGTCAGCACCTTAGAGGTGGTACAGACTTTGATACAAATTACAATTTACAGAGGTACAGTTGATGCACCGTATGCACATTCCAAATATTGACTTTCATGTCTTGTACTTGTAATCAAACACTGAAATCTGACAGTATTTTGATATTACTGGTAATTAATTCATACAGACTGTAACATAAGAAACTTTTTGATTTCAGTTGGAAAAGTTATAGCTATTTTGTTTGAAGAATTCAAGTAAAACTTAAATATTTTTCCATAGAAAATGTCAAAGGGAGGTAATTTTCTTCAATGTTTTATTAAACTTTTCAAAATAAGAATACATTAGATCCATAATGCCAAAAATTAATGCAGTTGAACTTAAATAATTATTCTTAACATTGTTAAGTGGGCAATGCAAAGATTTACTCTATTTCAATTTTCATCATTATATTTTCAACGAAATGTCTGTTTTACCTTAAGTTGTTGGGGAGTGACAATTTTCAAAAAAGACTAATAGTTAAGGACTTTAATGCACTGACCTAACACACCTCTTTATTATATATCATTTCAAAAGTATTCCTCTAGTGCAATTTATCAAGGTCAAAGGTCAAGAATGAACATTGCAAAATCTGCTAGAATTAAACAAAATACAATTTTCTGGTTCTCTTAGGATAATCATTTTCAAAATATAATATGAACCTTATAGAACAGGATACAATAATTCCAAATTAAACAAAAATCAAGACTTTAGTTGCAGAATATTTATAGAAAAATTGCAAATCTTAAAAAATCTACCCAAAATGAAAATAAAAATTGGTTTTAGGTGATTATCTGTTAAGTAACAAAGAATTATTTTAATTTTCACTCAGTTTCATCATTTTTACTGGAATTTCTGGAAAGAGGTATGGTCTTCAAGAAATATGTTTTAAATATTTCAAATCTATCTCCTAAATATTTTGTTACAACCTGGAAAAACAGAAAGTACAGATGCTAAGCTTTCGAATGATATAAAATATATCCATTTGTTAGGCGAGTGCAATCAAAATTAAATTTTATGGTAGATGCCACTCCACTATTAACTGTAGATTAAAAAAAAAAAGTCTGGTCATTATCAAATATTTATTTATTTCATCCGAACTAGTCTTAAATAACTGCATTATCCAGCTAAGCCATACAGGCTCATCTAAGCGTCTAGTTTTCTTTTTCCTACAACAGTCATTGAAGCCAGAATGTGCTATTTCTTGCCGTGTCAACAATCTGTTAAAGGTTGTGATTAAGTCAGTTTGACTCTGTTCAGTTAAGACCACCGTTGTTCAGTTACCTTTTTCTTGGAACTGTGTCCATAGTCAGTCATAAAACTTTTTTCAAGAAAAATTTGAAAGGGATTCAAGCTTGAGGAAAACTGACAAAGGTAGAATTTCTTCAGAGCTATTGTCAAAATTTTCAGTGATATCTCTTGTTTGTGTGTGATAATGTTTTTGTTATTATGTGCTGTTTTTTGTCTTCCTTTCTCCTATCTGTCTTCTATGGATTTTCAATATTTCCTCTTTGTTTGTAACACATATGCCTCCTTTTTCTCCAAGTCTTTAAATCAAATCAATCTTAAACAACATCACGTTTTCTAGAAAACAACAACTAAATTTGACAAAAACTAAAAGGACAAGACATCTAGAAATACTGCAATAATCAAAATCATTTTGAGAATTTTTATTAAAATGTATACAACATCTTTTTGCTGGTACATGAAAACATAAATACTCCAAACTAAATATATAAAATAGATAACATTAATCTTATAGAATTCCAATTCATTCAATACATCAAGAAAATTATATACTTTTTGCATAAATAAGGCATCGCCATTTCTGCTTTCAAAATTGCACTTAATTCTATTTCAAACATTGCACAAGGTGACAAATGTGTAGATATCTCAGTTTAGATTTCATAGTCGTCACTCTTTTGAAATAAACAATAAACACATATATTTTGTTCCTCTTAATTCTGTGTTAAAAAAGTTCACTTTAATTATTATATAAGCAGCATTTCAAGCAAATTAGATGAACTGAGTAAAATCATGATTTAAAAATATTTTTTCGTGAAAGCATACAATTTGTATCAATTGAAAAGCACTTGTAAAAATAAGCCTAAATTAGTGTTCACTGTTTAAAAAATATGCTACCTGAATAAAACTACAAAATGTATAGAAGAAAATGACAAGATCAATAATATCACATATCGGTGTTTTTATTATGTACAGTATTAAAATGGAAAAGGCACATCTTGATTTAAAGGGGGATTTTTTCCAATATTTAAATCAAAAATATTACAATAACACAATAAACAACAATTGAAAATGTGTTTTTCTAGATTGCAGTATAAAGACAATAATAGTGTATTGACTTGACATATCAGCGATATAAGGATTCAGCCCGCAACTGAGAAAAAGCTCGGCAGAGCCTCGCATTTCCCCGTTTCTAAGTTCTCATCCTTATATCGTTGATATGTCAAGTCAAGACACTATTATTGTCTATATCAATCGTGAAGTACCAATTTTCATGGATTTTATTTGTATAGGTAAACCAGAAATTGAAGTGTTAAACAAGTACATGTACATTAATGTTTATTAGGCTTGTATGTAGAATTTAACAAAACCCTGAAAACCAAGAATCCACACAAAACAATTTTTCCTCAATCCACGAAAATTGGTACCCACAGTATTGGACCTGGTGATGAGCTGATGATTATATTGTGTTGTGATGTCATTAATTTAAACAGAAAACATTTTGACGATGAATTTGAAATTAAAATTCAGTAAAATAGTTTTTATAAACTGTTGACACAGAGATATGTCTCACCTGTCTGCATAAAATTTAGAAAAAGACAATCTGATGGACAGCATTATTGCTTATTAATTCAAAGTCGCTGGACCATGATCTAGTGGGCAGGGCCTGTAAATGGTCGACAAACTGAGATGTAAAGACAGTAATGTAACTTTATAGAAAATATCGTTGTCTATTTTTAAGAAGTTCTTATCAAATTGACTTAAGCAGAAAACTTAACATTAAAAATTGCTTATTAATTGAAAGTCGCTGAACCAATACCTAGGGGGCAGGGCCTCGAAATAGACGTCAAACTGATATGTACTGATAGTTATGCAACTTTATACAAAATATCATTGATCTATTACAAGTAGATCCTATCAAACTAACTTAAGCAGAAAACTTAACATTGAAAATTGATAATTAATTGAAAGTCGGTGAACCATAACCTAGGTGGCAGGGCTTCAAAATAGTGGTTACTCTGATATGTACTAATAGTAATGCAACTTTGTATAAAATATCAATGATCTATCACAAGTAGTTCCTATTAAACTAACTTAAGCAGAAAATTTAACAATTGTTGATGCTGTCGTCGCTGGAAAAGCAATCCCTATGTCTGGCATTCTGCAACTTTTGTCAGCGACAAGGCAAAAATCATAAAATATTTTAAATGATATAAAAGTAGTAGCCATGTGTTTGAGAATGAGAAATTAAATTTAAACTTTTCAAATGTGCTTGTTAATCTAGCTTTTCTGTTTTAAAATATTTCAACATAAATTAGTATCAAGTTGGTATCAAAGGAAAACCTTTTTTCATACTTGTGCCCTGATCCCTAGGTCCCTAGGTACTTGATCTTTTTCAAACTTTTCATATAACCCAAAGTAAATTGTTACAATGAATGGTAAGAATATTTGCCTCACACTGCACTAGCTTTAATCTGAGAACCTTTCGATAGCAATGGGCAAAAAAATTTCAACAGTAAATTAGTTTGAAGAAATGAATTTAAGATGCATGTCGTAAAGAAATATGGCCAATAGAAATTTTAAAAGGAGAAAGCCGCTTGAATAAGTACAATAAAAGAACTTTATATATCATCATTACATAGAGAAACAATTGATTAGTATATAGCATTAAATGCTGATATCATTACTGTTAAAAGCACATATATTTTGTCAATGTTATAAACCCTTTATATTTTATCTATTTGTTTAGCAACTAACTTAAACTGACACTATCAGATTTCAACAGTGCTAAATAAACATCAAAACAAACAACAAAAAACAAGTCAACTCAAGCAATAAATTAAAACAAACATCTAAAACATAGATAAAACCTACCCAATAAAACTGAGTATTAAATTGTTATGCAATATGTAATCCTTGTTAATTATAACTGTAGTATTTTGTTACAAGAATCTAAAAATAATTCTAAAATAATTAAAAAATACAAACAACAATGTAAACAAAAGCACTGCAGCAGTAAAATCTTATAACTTGGTTATGATGAGCTAACAACAACTGTCTGCATTTTTTAAAGCTAAAATAGTAACTTTTAAAAACATTTCAACATTAGAATAAAAAAAAATATGCTATGACTATGATGCAGAATAACAGTTAGATGTACAGGTAAAACACTTATGCCCCTGCTTGCAGCCTTATCACAAAAATTCAGCTGTAAGTCTGCCAAAAGTCAGTCAACCAGAACAAAACACAAATTCAATCTGTAATTCATCATTTGATACTAATGTACCAAACATCTTCTCAAGATCTGGATTTATTAAAATAAAATCTAGGCATGTAAAATGTTCATGAACATTTTTACATCTTTTTTCTGCTAAAATTTGGTAAATCTGAACGAAAAACAAACTAAAATGTGCAAGTAATCATTTTACACTAATGTACCAAACTTAGATCAATGTCTGCAGGCATAATAAAAAAAATGTCTGGACAAGTTTGAGTTCAGAAGGACTTAAGGACGAACACAGGTAGCACTATATGCCCCTGCCACTAAGTGGCAGTGGCAGGGGTTAAAAAATGTAAAGAAACTATGGCTCCAAAATATGTAAGACAATATTAGATATTGCTTTATGGACTTTTTGTCAAGTTTTGTTGGAAAAAATGTTAAGATATTTTATAATTCTTCACATACAGTTAAAAATGACATAATTTATCATTTGGATTTAGTTTTCAATTCTTGTAAAACACAAAAGACAAATAAATAATCTCAATGGTTGAAAACATGTTTATAGGTAAATCAAAGTAAAAAACAAAGAAACAAATTCAGCAACAAAAATGGATGATATCATAATCTCTTGAAGCAGTGCATGCTTATAACTTTGGACAACATAAGTAACTTTCAAGTGATTACTTTTAAAATTATAATCACAGAGTTATGGTAGACCAATTCAATAATTGTATTGCACCCTTTGTGACATAAGGCATTTACAGTAGTTGTAAGTTGTAATTTTATAAATATTTGACTGACATTAAATAAAGATCTAGGTTCAGCATCAAGTTCAAATCTGAACCACAATTCAGACTAACTTTTGATCACATCTGAGTATTAAATACATTGCAGACTTGAATAGAAATAAAAACAAATAAATAATGAGATTAATCATAAGCTTTCCTATTACAATAAATTACATACTATTACAATAAGGCACAACTGAGTTTTAATGAATAAGAAGAATAAGAATAAGAATAAGAAAATCTATTGTTCCAATTAAGGGCCCTTGATGGGCAGCATGACATTTATAATATTTTTACATTGAATACAAAAATATAAAAAACGCCTTTTACACAGAAATATGCTTCAACTGCTTTGCAGCTAAACTAAAAAATGAATTCGATGAACTGTTATTTATTGAAAACACATAATAATAGATATCACCAAGTACTTCTTGAAGTAATCTTATAAGAAAGTTGGTCATTGAACAATGTCATTACATTAAATTCAGTTCAACTCGAGTACCAAGCAGAGTCTCATAATTTTCAATAAAATGAAATTCAGATAATATATTGGCATTTCAAATATCAAAGTTTTCATAGGTTAATCGTCATCTACATACCCAATTCAAAAGCCAAAGAATTGATCAAAGTAAAAAGTAATATAATAAATAAAAAAGATAAAAGTATTCACCAATAATATTTAATAGCACATCAGACTACACCTAGCACAAACATAAAACTCCTCCAAAAAATTGGAATAAAACAAAGACAAACAGCAACAAAAACAAAAAACATGGGAGAAAAAGAAAAACATCAACAAACAATAGGAAAAAAAACAAAGAAAAACAACACCAAAAAATAGGAATAAAAACAATGAAAAACACTAATGAAAATAAATTAAGAATAAAAACAAAGAAATACAACAACAAAATCTGGAATAAAACAAAGACAAACAGCAGCAAACAACACATGGTCCAGATATGTCAAGTCATTTGATGTTGACTTTAATTGGTCTAAGATTTTATATATATTCATGTACTAGGGCAACCAATAAATAACAAGTATCAAGGTATTTCACGAAACATAGCTGATCATAACTTATCTAATAACTGTAGCAGTCTACAATGAATTGTGTAAGATGGTGATACCAATAGAGTCACACCTATGTTTCATATCTGAAAAAATAAAAAGATAATCACAAGGAATTTATGTATAAGGTCAAGTACAAAGTACAGTGGTCTAAAAACCTACGGTATTTGTCAAGGAATGATAACACTGCCTGTGTATCAAAAAGAACTGTGTTACTGTCAGTCTATCAAGAAGTACTGTTAGGTCTGGTCATTATTGGAAATAAAAATGGAAAGTAATCTTGATTGTGGTCATAATGGATACCAAGAACAGAATGTTATTAAGAAATGTGGTTCTTTTCTTAAAATAAATTTTGCCTTTTCAGATGGAATTATGGACTAATTACCACAATCTTAACATATGATATTGATACATGAATTTGTCCCATTAAGGTAGCACTACAGTCAGAATTTTCTGACTTCAACCAACAGTCTTTAAAGATTAATTTCTCCAAAACTACTCAATGGATTTTTTAAATCTTTTAAAACTCATTTTAAAGCTGAAATATTACTCTTTCTTAATCTACAGATAAATTTATTTTTGGTATGATAAATCTCAAAATATAGCTCATTAATTGCCAAAAAAGTGGTCTTCCAACTTGGATGAAAATGGCACATTCAGGTCAAATGGTAGTAAAAATTTGTTTTCATAAAATTGAGAATGGAAATGGGGAATGTGTCAAAGAGACAACAACCCGACCATAGAACAGACAACAGCAGAAGGTCACCAACGCCATACTAAACTCCAAATTGTACACAAGAAACTAAAATTAAAAATAATACAAGACTGACAAAGGCTAGAGGCTCCTGACTTGGGACAGGGGCAAAAATGCGGCGGGGTTAAACATGTTTATCCCTTTAATCAACCATATACAAGCTACAAAACCGTGTCTCAGATTTTTGATATATGCCCCCAGTAAGAAGATATATTGATTTAACTGCTAGGTGCCAAACCTCATATCACCTTTCATCTTTGGAGACCTATAAATTTATTTAGAAACAAATTATCCAAAAACTGGGACACAGTATTGTAGAAAATACTCCCTTTAATCACATATATCAAAGTCAAACCAAAGGGGGTACCCATAAAGTTTATATTTTCATTTTTTCCTAACAAATCTCATGAAAAATTGTTCTGAGAAATGACCTAAAAACAGAACCCCTATAAATGCAACATAAATACAAAAATCCCACTAGGAACACCCCAGGAGTGTTCTGACACCATTACTTTATCAATAGAACCATATATTTGTGTCTTTGATGCTCTGATGCTGTAAATTTTGCATTATGTGTGGCACTGTGCAACACATCTTGGCATTTGGCGGGAGTTTGACGTCACAGATTTGACCAACATCTGTGATGTAGTAATTAAATATAGACAAAGCTCCGCCTATGTCCAGACAGTCTAAGATAAGAGAATAACAGGATTGACCAGCTGCATATAATCAATATTTAACATCATTATTCTCACTATAAAGAAAAATTTTCATTTGATTTTAAAAAGAAATATACTATTACTGAAATTGACTAGAACATTAATATTGTGCATCAAAAGACATGTTCATAAAAAGATCCAAGACCATCCCCTTCTTTAAAAAAAGACAATCCCACATGATTTTTGAGTTTTATGGAATTGAAAGAAAAATTTCACATAAACTTAAAATTGGTTAAAATGCCTAAAACTGTATTTAAATGTAGAAGACCAAATAGAAGAAATTTATACAGGCAGTCAGGGGCTTTCAAAGATACTTTCACACTCTTTTCCATATTTTTTTTTCATTTTTGGTAGATTTCTTCCCTGTAGATTTTTTCCTTTCCTTTTCATATCTTTTTCTTTTTCTCTGTTTAAAAACTACTTTTGTTGCAATACAATGAGATAAGACCACAATATTTATCTTGTGGTCGGGGACTAACAGCTGGACACTGGTATCAACAGATGATTGACATATTAGCCCCTCCCAAATGCCTATATATTTAGATTAATTACCATGTGCTTTTATTTACATAAGTTCATTATTAATTTACTCCCTGTTGTGATATGATAATGACTTTGGGATTTTTACAAACTGTGCAGAATAATACTTAATTCAAAATTATGTGATAAAAAAAATATCTTCAAAAAATCATTGTTAGACTGTAGTGCTACCTTAACACATTCATTAAAAAAAATAAATAAATGTAGTTGATATCTTGAGTATTAGAAGCTCTGAACACAAAAATAAAAGCTTATTGAGTAAATAACTTCTATGATAAATGGAATGTTGCATTATAACAATGATTCAAGTGTCAATGTGGTTTCTGTATAAATCTAAGTACTAAGTACCCTGCAATCCTAAACACAACAATATATATAAACAGAGGCATTAAGTATTGCCAGTACTCCCAATCAATGTTGTAGTATTTTAGTATATCCTCTGATGGAATCATCGTTGTATTGGACTGTAAGCATGTGGTAAAGTGGGATCCAGATATATTATTGGCTGAGGCAGCACACCTGATAAAATAAAATAAACAAGTAAAAAATCTGGTACTAGTATCAATAAACAGTTATACTGTCAATGGTCTTTTGTGTATCTTAGATTTGTACTTTGTGTTCTTAGTGTTTTTGTAAGTTGGTTTTTGTGCTTTGTATCTATATGATGAGTTGAGCCCTTTTCGACTGATTCGTGCAGTTTGTTCCTTTGTTGTGCTGTCATGACACTGTTCCAGGTTAGGGGAGGGTTTGGTGCCTGCAAAATGTTTTACTCTGCCACATTCTGTATGTAGTTGTACCTGTCCCAAGTCAGGAGCATGTAATTCAGTGGTTGTCGTTTGTTGCTGTATATCCTATTTGTTTTTAATTTATTCCTTCGTATCTGAATCAGACCGTAAGTTTTCTAGTTTACAATTATTTTATATTTGTCATTTCAGGGCCTTCTACATCATTTGGACTCGGGTGGAGAATTGTCTGATTGGCATCATACCGCATCTTCTTATTTTTATCTAAAGAGTTTATTGCCATTTATGGAAATAAGTGTTCATCTTTAAAAGACTTTGTTAACTTTACTCAGAACATTTCTAGACTCAAAGCAGTTCAGAGCCTCACATATTGAATAGATACTTGTCTATTGTTAAATACCATATGTTGACCTCTACATGTCTTTTGCTTTGTGTTTTCAGGTTGCTTGATGTATTATCAACATCTCTTTTTATTCATATTTTACACAGTTTTGGAGGACAACAGCTATTTAGCTATCCCAAAGACCTAAGTGTTCCCCAAAAGCAATAGGCTCATGATAACAGGTTCATCTGAGGGTCAAACAAAACAAATTTTGTCTGAGAAACCGTCTATAAGTTGTAAGCATGACATTAAGAGACAGTTAAAAGCTAGTAGGCAGTTAACAGATTACTGACCGATCAAATTATACAGCCACCCAAAAACCACCTTAAGTCTAAAGTTCAAAAGTTCAAACTCAGTTGCTGTGTACATGGTAGACAATTTTTTTTTAGTTGAAACTGGACTTATTTTTCAAATGCTTCTGCAATAAAATTCCTTGAATATATAAACATAGCAAAAGATCTCTGTGGAATACTCTGGTACAATATGCAAAAAAGACACAGAATGTTTTTTGGGCAAAGACTTAAAAAGGGTGTATAATGTATTGTAAGCTGATGAAAGAACATCAACGTTTCAGTATCTGCTGGTAAGATATATCTTTTTGCTAGCTGAATATTTGTTTGCTAGCAAGTTCATTGTTGTGTAAAGAAATATTTGACATTGTTAAACGATCAATTTATAGTCAACCTCTACAATATAATACATGTACTTACAAGAATGGTGCACTATTATGGAATTCCAGATATAATAAACAATTAAATGTATAATTCAGGAATGATATATATTTTATCCAACTCAACCATGGTGGCAAGCTACGAGTATAAAATCCTCCTGAAAAATAAAAAAAGTAAATGATTTAATCCAGGAAGAGCAATATAACAAAGAATTCATAGGAACAGATTCATACATTGAAATTTTTTTAATAATTGGTAAAAATACTGGAAATTACTCTTGAAACTTGTCAGTAAACAGCATCTTTTATTTTTCATCCTGAGGGTTATGTATAACAAGTTTCGAATAGATGTATCCTTTTGATCAAAGATAAAAATTTGAACATAACAACCCTTGATCTCAGTGTGACCTTTGATCTTACCCCAAAAATCAATTGGGGTAGTTCTCAAATAAAACTTTGTAAACCTAAGTCAGTCTTAAAAAAAATATTTATTCACATAATAAATATACGGACAATCAATTGCACTATACCACCCACTAAGTCACTTGAGTATAAAATATCTCTGTTTTTTCAAAGAAGGAATATATACATGTACCTTCAGTTTTCATTTAAACATTAATAACAAAACTTCCATAAAACACCTTGAAGTTGTAACTTTATTGCAATTTGACACTTTCTTCATATATTTTGAAAAACAAAGCTACCTATATCTATCATACTTATGCTATTTCATGGAGAGATAAATAGATCTGACAAATATCTGACAAATTTACAACTTACAACAGATTTTATCGCATATGAGTAATAAACAGCTGCGCCATGAGCGCATGATACGCCCGTCACTTTTTCAAAGAATAAAGTACAATAACTTCTCAATGTCATATCAGAAATTTTATAAAAAAACTAAAGGGAGGTTATTTTAATAGATAAAAACAATTCACCATAGTTTCATGAAAACTGCTCAAAGAATTTTTGAGTTATTGTCAGAAAACTGGAAAATCCCCCTTTTTTAATGAATAAAACCCCATAACTGGGAAATGTAAAATCAAAACTTTATAAAAATTGAAAGGGAGCTCACATCAATAGATATCAACAATTCACCAAAGTTTCATTCAAATTGGTTAAAGCCTTTTTGAGTTATTGTCCGACATGTTGACGAACGACGGACGGACAGATGGACAATGGTATACCATAATACGTCCCGTAAACAGGCGTATAAAAAATGGACATCTGATTAGTTGTGTTTCAGATATTTATGATTCAATCAGCAGCAACCTTGTCATATATTGTCATCTTGATTTCCCGATCTTATGCTTTAAGGGGTGTTACTCAAGGTAATTTGATAGTTCCTAAGCCAAAAACTGAACTGTTTAAAAAATCTTTTGCTTATTCTGTATCAGTTTTATGGAACGGACTACCATATGAAATGCGTAAAGTGCAAAACACTTTTTGTTTTAAACAAATTATAAAACGATACTTGAGGCAGTCCCAATATTCAGTATTGAAATGATTGCAACTATTACTTTTTTAGAATGTATGATTTTGATTTGTATATAATATCTATTTACTACATGCACTCTGTAACTGTTTTATATGTTCTAATGATACATGTACACTGAACTATCATGACTATATGATTGTGAACTGACTGTGTTAATATGTTGTATGTTTGCTTTTTTTCTCTTATTATTATTTTTTTATTCTTGTATTGTATATGAGGGCCTCAGGGAAGATTAGTAATTATAACTAACTGTGTTTACCCTCTTTAAATAAAGAATTTATTATTATTATTATCATTATTATTATTATTATCATATTTCAAGAAGCTCGAAAAAGTTTCCAATTCCAGTGGCCCATCCCTACCATTCATTATATAGTAAGTGCCCCCCCCCCCCCCCCTTTTCCACCAAGGACCAAGTATTTAGCTTTAAAAGTCTATTTTCAAATATAAAGTACATAACTGGTTAATATAAAAAGATGTTGCTAACAGCAGTACATCCTATTATCATGATTATAATCAAAGCGCGAAAGCGCTGTAAAGGCAGTTAATTACAGGTTGTGTGTATTTTTAGTCCAGTTATATCATTATCTTGCATAGTACATTGTACTTATCAGAGGTGGCTTTCAGTATTTAAGATTTAGAGTTCTCTAATGATATTGAACAAGTTTTATGAATGTCATATTCTGAGCACTATATGAAGGCGATTGTTCTCACTTGTTTATGAACTAGTGCATTATGTCCAGTTTGTACCTTTTTTATCTATGTTTATAGTCAAATACTGTTTAAAATAGTTTGGCATTTTCTTTTTAGTAATAAGTAAATGTTATCAACTGTATTTTATTCAACTTTGCAAATGTGGTTTGTGACTGGTAAGTACAATGTATGGATGATAGTTGTTTCATTGGAAATCATAACACATCTCCTTATTTATATAATGATCTATATTCAACAACCTCAGGTACAAAAAAAAAATGTATGTAACTAAACCATGATGGGAAACCTTTGACTTCTTTCTTTTATATAAACTTTTGATTTGGTACCATAGAACTATGTAGAATAAATGTACATTGCAACATGTTAACTCTTTCAATGACAATACTTTTTTTAGGAACTATAACTCCAAGCAAAATTATATTTCCAAGTATAAAGTAATTTATGAATGAAACAAGAGTGCACATGCTGAAATGTCTCGCCTTCTTTACTAATCATTGATATTATGTTGATAGTCCTAAATATAAAGCTTTATTACAACTGTCACATAAACTTAACATTAACCAAGTAAACTAAGCATTGACCAATGAACCAAGAAAACGAGGTCAAGGTCAGATGAACCATGCTAGGCAGGCATGTACAGCTAACAATTCTTCCATACAACAAATATAGTTGAACTATTGCTTATAGTTTAAGAAAAACAGACCAAAACACAAAAACTTAAAACTGAGCAACTGACCTTGAAAATGAGGTCAAGTTAAAAAAAAAAACCTGTGTGACTGACAAATAGATCATAAAATATTTCCATATACCAAATACAGTTGAACTATTGCATATAGTATTAGAAAAAAAGACCAAAAACTCAAAAACTTAACTTTGACCACTGAACCATGAAAATGAGGTCAAGGTCAGATGACACCTGCCAGCTAGACATGTACATCTTACAATCATTCCATACACCAAATATAGTAGACCTATTGCATACAGTATAAGAAAAACAGACCAAAACACAAAAACTTAACTATAACCACTGAACCATGAAAATGAGGTCAAGGTCAGATGACACCTGCCAGTTGGACATGTACACCTTACAGTCCTTCCATACACCGAATATACTAGACCTATTGCTTATAGTATCTGAGATATGGACTTGACCACCAAAACTTAACCTTGTTCACTGATCCATGAAATGAGGTCGAGGTCAAGTGAAAACTGTCTGACGGGCATGAGGACCTTGCAAGATACGCACATACCAAATATAGTTATCCTATTACTTATAATAAGAGAGAATTTAACATTACAAAAAATATTAACTTTTTTTTCAAGTAGTCACTGAACCATGAAAATGAGGTCAAGGACATTGGACATGTGATTGACGGAAACTTCGTAACATGAGACATCCATATACAAAGTATGAAGCATCCAGACCTTCCACCTTCTAAAATATAAAGCTTTTAAGAAGTCAGCCAACGCCGCCGCCGGATCACTATCCCTATGTCGAGCTTTCTGCGACAAAAGTCGCAGGCTCGACAAAAAGGAGTTCTTAATTAAGAAATAAACTGATTCGCTGAGCGCAGCTGGATACAACCACAGAGGTCCAACCCTGAACAGTTGGGGCAAAAATGGACACAATATTCAAGCTTGATACAGGTCTGAATTTGGATTGTAATTAAATATTTGACATATTATAGTTTCTGAATAAATGTAGTCACAGAACTTGAAATCGATTATATGAAAGATTTCTTGCTGTTGTGTAATACACTGTGCTGTTGCTCAATACTTAATAAATCTGTTGCCAGACTATAAACAAATAAAGTTCAATTTCTTCTCAATGTCATATTTGAAATTTATGAAAATCAATAGGGAGATTACATCAATAGCTATAAATAATTCACCAAAGTTTCATGCGAACTGCTTAAAGCATTTTTGAGTTGTTGTCCAAAAACTGGAAAATCCCCGCTTTTTTAATGAATAAAACCCCATAACTCAGAAATGTAAAATCTAAAATTTATAAAATTCTAAAGGGAGCTTACGGATTGATAATTTAGTCTTAGATGCAAGATTTTTTTATCAGTTGTTAGTGGCTTTGAACTAGCTGTCAGTAAATGCGAGTACTCTCAGATCTGTACTTAGTGTCTTTTTGTTGTTTGGATGTACAACTACCCGGCCTCGTCCACTTGTATTTGTATTTATCCATCTGATGAGTTAAGCCTCTTTCAACTGATTTTTATAGTTCATTCTTATATTGTACTGTTACACCACTGTCCCAGGTTAGGGGGTGGGTTGGGATCCCGCTAACATGTTCAACCCCGCCACATTCTGTATGTACATGTATGTGCCTGTCCCAAGTCAGGAGCCTGTAATTCAGTGGTTGTCGTTTGTTTATGTGTTGCATATTTGTTATTCGTTCATTTTTTGTACATAAATTAGGCCGTTAGTTTTCTTGTTTGAATTGTTTTACATTGTCATTTCAGTGCCTTTTATAGCTCACTGTGCGGTATGTGCTTTGCTCATTGTTGAAGGCCGTACTGTGACCTATAGCTGTTAATTTCTGTGTCATTTGGTCTCTTGTGGAGAGTTGTCTCATTGGCAATCATACCACATCTTCTTTTTTATATTTACATCAACAGATATAAACAATTCACCAAAGTCAAGGTGAGACAACAAAACTTAGTTGTAAGATCTCTGAAATTTTTTACACGGTACAAGTTTTTCTAATTGTTGGAGATTGCACGGTGACAGTAACACCTGTAACTGCTTTACCCATTTCTTATGCACTTTGGTTCGATAAACTCACTGAATATCATACCACATCTCCTTATTTTTATATGCATTACAATTTACATGTGCATGTAATTGTAAATAATATTTATATATATATCAGAACAAACTTCATTGCGTCACTTTTATTTATGCATCCTTTGGCACAATACAAGTTCTAAAATTACACAACATAAAACAACTAAATGTTATTTCAGATGAAAGTTTTGTTTCAGTTCCATTCATAGGATTTATTAGAATTTTGTATGTTTTGCCAAGTCCAATAATTAGCTCTATGTGCACATGTTAATTGGAGACTTTTCTATCCCGTATAAGAGTTTTGGAACTAATTCTGTTTCTTTTTTTGAAAAAAGTGAGCAAACAAATCATACACATTTAAACCTTTGTCTGCCATCACACTGTCACCTGGATCACATAATTGAACTATTCTACATCTTTCAACTATTTCACAGTCACTGGTACAACCAACATATGCATTAGAGACATAGTTGACTAAACCACCAGGAGTCGAACATACAAGTATTTTCAGTGTTTCTGTTTTTATATGATGAAAAGGTTGCCTGAGCTCTAGGAGCTTTAGGTTTTATCACGGGATATTCTGTGCTGTCAATAATAATCCAAGTTGTAGGAAACTTTAATTTGAAGTTGGATGGCGAAAAATACCTGACTAAACCACTAAATGGCCAAGTGTTAGCCTCACGCCACTGTTTAGACATAAAAACAATCCATGTTTACACAATATTCTTAACACTAGTTTCAATCTAGAATCTAGACAGTTCAAAGTTGGTTGTATAATGCCTCAATTTCATCAAAGTCATAAAAAAACTGATTTTCAAATGACACCCTATCAATTTGAAAATATATGTATCTCAAAGAATGTGCTGCTGGACCAAGTGTGGTCAAAACAAATAAAAATTTAGTATACAAGTTACAACTCTAAACCGGTATATAAATGCATGGCTGTATCACGTGTCTTCATTTCAAAATTCTCTGCTGAAAATATAGGCATTGATGGTGTTTGCGTAATTCCATCTGTGAAGCTCAACATTAGCTCGGCAGTTGGTGGTGGACAGTCATAAATCATGTCTGCAGTATGGATGACTTCTTCAGGAAAACCAACTTTACAATCAAAACTTTCCTCTAGATTTCTACTACAATATTCATCAAGTTTAGTTCTTTTGTTTTCACAGGAAACTGCCCTGATTTTTCTTTTTGCGGACGATTCAGTCTCTTGTTTGGTCCAGGAAAATAGGCTGGGAATGGCAGTAGACTTAAGTCTCTGTATGGTGGGTTTGCACCCTGAAAAAGGTTATAAAACATTAGTTTTTTGATAATTAAATGAACTTTCATTAGCAATGCATACTTTATACTACCTGGCAAAATATTAACTAGATTTATTCATTACAATCTGGATAAAAATATGTTAGCCTGATTCAATGTACATCAAAATGTATGTTATGTAAATCCAAAGGACAAACAATGAGAGACGTATGCAACAAACATACATTGTTTGTACCTAAATAACTATAATATAGATGAGAGCATGTCATTGTTTTGTTCCTGTTAACATTGTCATTGACATTTTTCAAGAAAGTCTATGAGGCATAGCTTATGCATTCCTGTCATTACTACATTAGCATAATTACTGCTAAAATAATTCTCAGTATGATATACCTCTTGTAAGAAATCATTATAATTGTAGCAAGCACCAAAAAATCTCAAACAGATCACATTGAATCGTAATCCAAAAAATTATGACGTCTTGAATTAACCACCCCCTTTTATTCTAAAACGATAATTGTGGTTGTAAACAGACTTTGGTTATTTCGCATGGCGATTACATATATAACTATATATTTTAAAAAGAAAATAGAGTTTTACCATGAATAGTTTCCTGCACGTAGTCTTTTTCAGTAAAATGTGCCTTGCAAACAACAGCTGATTGAGATGGACTCCACGATTTCATCGTGTTCTCGTCCAATCTGCGTATGGGCCATGGCGTTGATCCAACTTTTCCTTCTTTTTAAGTCATTTGGAAATGCGTGTCCTCCTCTTAAATTACATCCAGGTACACAACAACAAGTACTTGGCATCGTTAATTAAAAATGCAACTGTAATAGTTGCACAGTGCATAAACCGGAAGTTGAAGAACAGGATCGGCTACCACGGCGCCACCTATTCAGAAACGATAATTTGCTACCTTATATAACTGCGAAAATAACAATAACGTTAGACGGGTTCACGTGCGTAAACAGAAATGCGCTTTAAATTGTATAATATAATTCATGTTCAGTCGACCTTTAATTATTATATCAACGACTGAAATGATTTATAAACATCTAAATTGCAGATAACACTCAAAATTAACCCGACCTCTTTCCACACGGAATTCAAATAATTCTAGTTTGTCAATCGGTTGACTGCTTATAATGCAAAATACAAATATATCAAAAGTTTTTAAAACTAACAAAACACAATGATCGTTTCTCTATTTCCCAATGTAAATGAAATGAAACAAAAAACATTTTATATCACAATAAGAAGAGGAGAGAATCAACATTTTCCGGATCTACTTGGAGCCTAATTACCCCCCACGTAGATAAGTTGGATATCGCGGAAAGAAAGATTAACACGGCAACTAGAAAGGCATTAAAGCACTGCCTTTAAAAAAACTACATTTGATGATTTTCACACAAAATATGCACATTTAAGCTTAAAAATCCATAGTAACCAACCTATTTTCTGATATTTAGGTGAACTGACCTCAAATCACAATAATTATATTTCATTATATATATTATATAATTACCTAATAACATAATTCCCATGATGCATACAGTAGCTAAACTCATTCCTTTTCTTATATCCATGCAAACTATTCCAAGGAATAAACCTATACTCTATGGAAAAAGAAATGTTCAATATTAATACATAAAACGAACCACATGTTTAAGTTTACTGACAAATATAAGGGATTTTCACCTTTTTGAAGAGCTATTGTCTGATCAAGACTAATTTACAAAATATTTCATTATGTGGCTTCTTAAGGATATGAATATCATAGATGTCTTTTACCAAAAAATAACTTTGATTCTCAAACTTAATACCGATGACTCATGATTTAAGAAATACAAATTGTTTTTCTCTATTGTAAATTACATTTTAAAACAGTCATGATGAAACTGGTGTAATTGATATCAGAATTTATATAGTTGCAAACGATGTTGTGCAAAGTATATTCCCCTCATTATTATACATTGATGAAAAATTCCATGCTTAGTGGGTTTAAAAAAGATCAAAGTATCTTCAAACAGGAAGTAATTGCCAGAACTGAAGTACACCAAACATGGATTGATACATTGATTGTCTTTTCAATAGTGTATTGTTTCTATAAATTTGTATGTATCTTGGAAAATAGTACAATGCAAAAATTAAAACAATTACGGTACACATCTGAGATGCTGACATACATACACCTGACATGCAATCTGATTTTTTCTGAACTATCATTTTCATATCAAAATGTTGTCTTTTTTTGTGGGGGCTTTTGTCACAATATAGCCTTTTATGGACTGACACCATTTCAAGCAATCATTAGTCTTTCCCTTTTTATTTTGCTTCAGTGAACTTCAATTTCCAGTCTTTGACCTTGACCTACTGCTGTAACTTTTTACCTGGCCAGCAATAGCATGAATGATCAAAGTCCCTATAGTGGCAAAGAAAGCAGCTACACCATTAAGTCCTACACACCAATACACAACAGTAATGAACAATATTGGCTGTATGAGTATCAATGGAATTTCACTGGTCATTTTGGCAAGGTAATAGGCTGACAATCTGTACCATCCAGCTGATCTTTCCTTGTTAATAACCATTCTTTCTGAAGGAACTATAAAAAAAGATTGAAAAGTTAAATTGTATTTAAGAAATACTGATGAACCAACAACATTGGGTAAAGTAATAACATAAGTGTGCTTTAATAATTCAGTAAATTATAAGACAGACAATCTCCAGTTTGTGGTAGTTTACAACTCTTTAGACTCTCGTGAGCAATTCACGGTTTGGCATTTTTCTTGGCACAGGTCTATTTTCAAAAAAAAGTATTTGACCTCTAAATGTCTTTTTTTTGTGTTGTTGTTGGGTTACTTTCTCTTTGATAGATGACAAATATCTCCTTTGATTCATGTTTAGTTTTTTGAATAGTCGTCTGTAATTGCATTTCCCTAAATTTGTTTGTTTACTTGGATAGTTTTTAGATTCCCTAGGACTTTGAACTCTCAGTATTTACTTGTACTCTTATCAAAACCCTTTTCATTTTATAAAATAATTTTAGCCATTGAACAGATGTGTAATGATAGCAAATATAATAAACTGTTGTCACAGAGATATGTTTCACCTTTTTGTAATTTTGATTGTGCAAATGTGGAAATTAAAATAGCAATACTTTAACATGCAAGTAATGCAAATATTCAAAGTCAATGAACCATGACTGAAGGTACAGGGCTAAACAATCTCCATGGAAATGAGATGTGCCAATGCTAATGCATACCAAATACCATTGACCTGTTATAAGTCGTTCCCTTTAAACAATCCTAAACACAAACATTAACTTGTAAACTATGTAAAAGTTTCAAAGTCAATGAACCATGATGAGGGGGTGCGGCTATATAATCTCCATGGAAACGATACTTCCACATGCCAATAATTTGCATACCAAATATCATTGACTTTACATTAGCAGTTCATCTTAAACTGATCTAATCACAAACTAATACATGTAAACTAAGCAAGAGTTTCAAAGTCAATAGACCACGACTGAGGAGGCGGGGCCTAATATTCTCCATGGAAATGAGATGTGCTTTTGCTTATACAACTGAATACCAATTAACATTGGCCTACCACTAATGGTCCCCCTTGAACTGACCTAATCACAAACTAATACATGTAAACTAAGCAAAATTTTCAAAGTCAATAGACCATGACTAAGGGGGCAGAGTCAAATAATCTCCATGGAAATGAGATGTGGCAATGCTAATACAACTGCATACCAAATATCATTGACCTACCACTTGTAGTTCACCTTAAACTAGACCTAATCACAAACTAATACAATGTTGACGCCGCCGCCGCCGCCGGAAACAGCATACCTATGTCTCGCTTTTTGACTCCGTCAAGGCGAGACAAAAACAGTTTTAGATGCATTAATTCTAACGTTTTTTATCCTGTCCTATCCTTTTATTAGATTATAGAATTGTCCATAAAAATCATAAGCATTCTAGCCACAGTCATAATAGTGTAATTATTTGTAGTTTGATCCAATGTATCATTTTAGGCAGTTAAATCACTTTTGTCTTTGTTCTATGACAAATTTTTACATCAATATGTATATATAGCTTGACTTACAAGAAGTGATGGTATCAAACAATGGTGTGAATCCAAAGGTCATCCCAAGGTAAAATATCTACAAATAAATCAAACAATTTCATAAATGGTTGATACAGAGATATGTCTCACCTTTAAAATAATATTCTGATACAACAATATACAAATTAACTTCTGAATTTTATCATGAAAGATCTATAACATTTTTAGAAGCATTAAATATAAATTTGATACTAAATTACTAATACATTTAGAAAACTTTTCCTAAATGAACTCTGATTTTTATAGTCATACAACCTTTTTGTACAAATATCATTTATGAACCTACCACACCCATCCTGTCACGAAGTGTTTCCTCTATCCTTGGTAACTGAAACCATATCAAACTTAACAATACAGTCATCACTACAGTCTCTATAATCTTGAACTTGTTGAATATAAGAGCTTTTGATTGTCTAAATGTTCTAATGGTCAGCTGTGCGTACTGTGTAATAAATCCAGTCGGCCATTTTGGATCATTAAAATTTGGCTCAACTTGATCAGATTCAGGAATCTCCATTAAACTTATGTGAACACTGTCTGATTCTGAAAAGAATGATAAAAGTCTGAGATAATATGTTAAGAATTTCTACAGTATATTGCTTTTAGCAAAAACATATTTGTTGAGAAAAATTCAGCTGTCAATTGTTTCATTTTGTAAGAAAAAAAACTAAATGCAAATATTTAAATATTCTGACTTTTTCATTCAAAAAGGTGATACTAAATAATTATAGTTACTATATGTTGATTTTGAAGTACAGCTTAAAAGATTATTGTAAAAAGGTATGGTTTCTTTGCAAGCAAATGAAAATTTCATTAAATAATTAACTGTGAGCAGTATTTTTTGTTTTACTTATAGTTTAAAACATGTACGTTTTTGCAATCTTTATTACCAATATTATACAGTTCAGGCTTTTTTTACTTAAATATCAGTGTACATTCTTCTCTGACTGTCAGAGATAAATAAAGTGTAGACTGAACAATCAGGAAACAGATATCCCTCTGCTATATGTTAATGTTCCTTTACAATGTCGGGACATTAGTCAGTGTTAATATTTGTTAAAATGTTAGTTTTATAAATTTTCAATTAAGTGAAAAATATTTGATTGTAAATTCCAAAATATCTTATATACATGATGTATAACTTGCATAATAAGGCAAACACAATGTTACCAAATGTTATCATAGATACAGGCAAAATAAAATATACAGTTTTACAATATTGAACTATTTTTAATTTATAAGCATCATCCATTCATTTTAAGCTGGAAAAAAAATCATACCATAGGATTCACTGTCATTTTTCTGTTTCACTTTTTGATACTTTTTCTGTTCATCAGTCATATTCCCTGGGACAATTCTAGAAGTTTTCAGTTCTTCTGGCCAGGAATCTGTTTTTCTGGAGAGAGAAAAAAAAAAACAAAAGAAAATTATAACCCACAAAGTTTGCCATGTTCAGTATAAGCATGAATGCAGAATGTAACAACTGAAATTGACAAAATTAGTTGCCATTAACAACAGATGGCTGTAAAAACCTGATTATCAACAACGGAATATGAAAAATAAACTTAGATTTAATATTGAACCAAAGTCAGCAAAATGTAGGTCAGTGTGACCTTCTTTTGTGAGACATCATCAGACTCACTAGAGTAACTACTTAGGTTGGAAACCATCAGAATCACTAGGGTATTTCACCACACCAAATGCCATGCCTGTAGACACTTACTATCTGAGAATTGATGTGAGTCTTTAAACTTAATAAAAGGTTAGTGGAAAGTGAATTGTAGATCAGAGTAACATACTTCAGATGGCAGGCTGTTATTTTTACATACAAGCATTTTTCATCAAAACATATGATTGTAGGCCACTGTATCTTTAGAACTGAAATATGGCTATAAAAATTCAAACATGTCAATGATGGACATGATGTATGAAATGTAATTCATTAGTAACTTCTTACTTGAATGAAACTGCTACATTTCCCTGAATGAATCCTTATATAGGTAGTCATATGTTACAATTACAAAACACTTTTAAAATATCTGAGAACGGAACTTGTTCATAAAGCATATTTTAATATAAGTCAACTAGAAAACTGATATTTCACCAAGGACCCCACTTGCACATTTTTTTGTGAGGCACAGCAATAAATAATTAATTTTCATGCAAGCAAAGCAATTCAAGTTGATGAGGCCAAAGGCAATGGACATAACATTATGCCTGAAAGAAATCTCAGACCATAAGGTGCAAGCCTAATTTCATTCCACCATGTATTTATTCCAGGTAACTGTTTTTCACTAGAGAATATTGGATGTAAATAGTGTGAAAGCGTCGATCTTGATATCGTTGTTTTGTTTATATTAGACCAGTTTATTGTTTACATAAATTAATGGGTTAAAATTAGAATAATTTTCAAGGAACCAGTTTAATTCATCTGAATCAATCTAGCGTTTTATGATATAGTATTTAGAATTAGAAACCACATTATCAGCTAGACAAGATCTTCAAATAGGTCAACATATTAGTTAATAAAGCATTATTGTGTTATCATGTGTTCAAAATGAGTACTAAAACACTTCATCAATGTATGGATTTAAAACACAAGAGTAATCAATCCCAGTTCAAAATTACTAGTGCAATCATTCCTGGTACAAAATCACTAGTGTTACCATTCCTGGTTCAAAATCACTAGTGTATTCATTCCCAGTACAAAAGCACTAGTGTAATCATTCCTGGTTCAAAAACACTAGTGTGAACATTCCTTAGATGAAAAATACTAGTTTACTTTGTCCATTTTTTACATAAATCAAGTATGCAAGTTTTAGTTAATTCAAATACCCCCCAAAAATACCAAGCCCCATTTTTTTTTATATATATCCCTTTCAAAAAACCCTCTTTCAAATCTTATGATGAGTGGTGGATATTTTACACTGGACCTGCATTAAAAACCTAGTGAATTTTAGTTGGTGGATAAAAAACACTAGGAATTTTCATCCTCCGGATAAAGTACTCTGGCAGAATAAAACCACTGTTACAAAGGCACCTACTGTAGAAACATTAATTTTCGTGGGGTTAAAATTTCGTGGTTTTGTCTCTATATAAGATTTCATGGGGATTTAATTTCGTGGTTTCCAGTAAATGGAAGTGCTATCATATGCATATTTAATTTTCGTGGGGGTTTTAATTTCGTGGATATATTCTTTCCACGAAATAAACGAAATTAAATCCTCCACGAAAATTTCTGCTTTTACAGTATATAACAGATATGCATTATACAGCTTTTCTTCCTCCTTCTAAAATATGAAGCTATATACAAATAGCTAACACCACTGCAACCACTGCTGTCAGATAAGCAGCCCTATATGTCTTACGTACATTTTGTGCCATTGAAGGACAACGTGAACTGACAGATAAAATGGATTTAACAAATACTATCAATTCATTACGAATAGTATATACCATTCACTAAGTCATGTTTGTAGGCAGTTTTTAACATCAATAAATCAAAACTACTGCCTTCTTCCTCCAGTGTATCTATAAATGTAGCAGTTTTTACCTTAGCTTGTATGCAGCATTAACAATCTGTTGTCTTGTATTATCATCTTCTTTCAATTTCTCTACTAAAATAACAAGAATCTCATAAAATTTTACCATAAATTTGAATTGATATGCAATGCTTTATAAATATTAAGGAATGAAGCATTTCTGGCTATAAACTTTTACATGCATAGTCTAGGAAAAAGCCAGAAAGGTTACAAATTATAAAGGCCCACCCATCTTTAGTTGCCATTCTGGAAAATTGTTTAATCCAAATCATCCCCCCATATCTATTTTTGAGTTGAATGCAATACTTTCTTATGTTCAACTTACAAATGAAATCTGCTGGATTATAATGAGGCTCCATAGGGAATCCTGCATTGCTGAAGAAATCTATGACTTCTGCTGTCTTCCCAAAATAAGCAACCTGAAAATTAAAAAAAAACAAAAAAAACTGCTGTTTAGGTATCCTTCTATTAATACTTTTAAAGGAATATTTTTAATGTGAAATGACAACATGATGTCTTGAATAAGTGTATGTTAAGTAGATGGTTTGAGTCTGAAAGATCACTTGATACATAAGTTAGCATATGAAGCCGTGAGAAAGTCTGTTTCTACAGATCAGATTTCAGAATACAAACACTAGTCAAGTGATTACAGGTACGTCAGACTGTAAGGCATGTTGGGGATCAACAACATGTCATCTGCATGAAATATCATTCTATGGGTAATGTAAACATACCACAGATTTTTCAGGAAAGTTATTATTTAAAGTGCAATCTGCTGACATCCTTCGTTAGCTAATCGGTAGATGTCTAGAAAAATATTACTGTACATGATTTTTTTTTAAACTCCGTATTGAAATTGAAACTATCTCAGAAACCCCCTATTATATTTTAATTAGTATTAATAGCTTGGTTTTACTTAATAAATACCTTAATGTCAAGGTATTAGTAGTAAATTCAGAAATTATTTGCGAGGTTTTTATTAATGCGAATAATGCGGCTTCTTGAGTATCGCAATAATAAGAACTTGCATTCTTATATCAAATACATATACAGTATATGCTTTTCCTCAAATCGCAATAATTAATCTTGCATTTTTGTTCATTTTTCAAAATTCGCAATAATAAATGCACGCAATAATTTCTGATTTTACGGTATTAGTATATAAACTAAAAATTGCAAGATATTGTCATTTGTAAGACTTACTTGAATATATAATACTAACAAACCATATGTTGAAAGACATAGAATTGACTGAAGTTTAATGTTAAACTTGGTCATAATTTTATCTTCAGTTAATTTTTGTTTTCCCCTAATGTGAACAGGTAAAATATAACAGGTTATAATTTAATTTGGTGGAAATATTATATATAGCAAATTTTAGGACAAAAAATAATACTTGTATTTATTAAATGATATGAGCAAATCAGCCCTAATACGGATAAATCAGCATGTGCAATACTGATGACGTTGCCCTGTCGATATAAATCAAGAGTTAATATTGCTTTTGGACAGGGCCAATACGGAAAAAAAGCAGTATTGGCCCATGGGCTAATACGGGACGTTCACTTCCGGTTTCAATTTTCTTACGCCTTATTTAACTTTGGACGTATCGTTATGCATAAAAAACATTTGTATTATATTTTTCTACCTTAAAATCATAAACTAAACAGTTTAAATGATGTTCAGTGTTTTGTAACGTCTTGAAGTCTTAAAACGGAAATATTTCACAGCCTTTTCAAGTACGACTTTCGATTATTGACACTGTTTCATTTCTGTTGATCAATCATCAGAACGCAGACGATCCAAGAGTAAGAATAGTTAAACTGTCTGATTTATTCTTCCCAGCTACTTTATATTTGCTAGATAAAATGAATTGTAATAGCATAATATTAAGTACAAGGACGAGAAATCAGAAATTACATCTGACAATGTTAACAAAAAATCCATGGACGTGAATATGAAAAGACAAGTTCAGATATGAAATTTTGTATCTTCTTCACGGTAAGTTTCTTAGTTTATTCTAATTAAAAGAATTAAAATCATTTAATAAAAGTGTTATGAACTGGCTGTTTCTGTATTGGCCCTGTTATAGATTCTCGATCAGCTGTATTGGCCCTAGACTCTTCGAGTCTCTGGTCCAATACAGCTAACCTCGAATCTATAACAGGGCCAATACAGAAACAGCCAGTTAATAACACTATAATATCATCAGAAAATGAGAACGCTTTACAACAAAAATATGACCAAATAACAAATAAACCATTGACAATTCTGCTCCTATTAGTTCTTTGTTGATCAAATCCCACCAGAAATCCCCCTTCAATAATTTTTGAAAAAAAACATAGTTTTATATGAAAAATACAGCAAAAAATTGTAAGTGACAAATACTTATGGCCAATGTAATATCTGCGATTACTCCGGGAAAGTACCACACAAACCTTCGGGACATTAACATATTACGTAACGTTGCTACGGCGATACAAATTGTATTTTGTTAGTCATTATTAAAATACCATCTGAATAATCAAGTCTTGCTCCGATCTTTCAGCCATGACCTGAACATTTGAACTATTTATGTTAAATTGGACTTTACCTTCTATATATATAGCATGCAGGTGTCAAGGACACAAACAAAATGCAGTTATACATAATGAATATGTTAGTTATTTACCTTCTATTTACAGCGTGCAGGTGTCAAGGACACATACAAAATGCAGTTATACATAATGAATATGTTAGTAATTTACCTTCTATTTACAGCATGCAGGTGTCAAGGACACAAACAAAATGCAGTTATACATAATGAATATGTTAGTAATTTACCTTCTATTTACAGCATGCAGGTGTCAATGACACACACAAAATGCAGTTATACATAATGAATATGTTAGTAATTTACCTTCTATTTACAGCATGCAGGTGTCAATGACAAACACAAAATGCAGTTATACATAATGAATATGTTAGTAATTTACCTTCTATTTACAGCATGCAGGTGTCAATGACACACACAAAATGCAGTTATACATAATGAATACATATTAGTAATTTACCTTCTATTTACAACATGCAGGTGTCAAGGACACAAACAAAATGCAGTTATACATAATGAATATGTTAGTAATTTACCTTCTATTTACAGCATGCAGGTGTCAATGACACACACAAAATGCAGTTATACATAATGAATATGTTAGTAATTTACCTTCTATTTACAGCATGCAGGTGTCAATGACACAAACAAAATGCAGTTATACATATACATAATGAATATGTTAGTAATTTACCTTCAATTTACAGCATGCAGGTGTCAAGGACACAAACAAAATGCAGTTATACATAATGAATATGTTAGTAATTTACCTTCTATTTACAGAATGCAGGTGTCAAGGACACAAACAAAATGCAGTTATATATAATGAATATGTTAGTAATTTACCTTCAATTTACAGCATGCAGGTGTCAATGACACAAACAAAATGCACTTATACATAATGAATATGTTAGTAATTTACCTTCTATTTACAGCATGCAGGTGTCAAGGACACAAACAAAATGCAGTTATACATAATGAATATAGTAATTTACCTTCTATTTACAGCATGCAGGTGTCAAGGACACATACAAAACGCAGTTATACATAATGAATATATTAGTAATTTACCTTCTATTTACAGCATGCAGGTGTCAAGGACACACACAAAATGCAGTTATACATAATGAATATAGTAATTTACCTTCTATTTACAGCATGCAGGTGTCAAGGACACATACAAAAAACGCAGTTATACATAATGAATATATTAGTAATTTACCTTCTATTTACAGCATGCAGGTGTCAAGGACACACACAAAATGCAGTTATACATAATGAATATAGTAATTTACCTTCTATTTACAGCATGCAGGTGTCAAGGACACATACAAAATGCAGTTATACATGAATATGTTAGTACAGGTACAAACTGAAAAATACACAGTGATGAAGCAAACTAAATATAGGTAAGCATGAAACTGAAAATACACAGTTACACACTACACATAAAACTGAACATAAATTGTTAGAACTAAATACACATGTGTACACAAACAGAACATAAATTGTTAGAACTAAATACACATGTGTACACAAGCAGAACATAAATTGTTAGAACTAAATACACATGTGTATACATAAAAAGAACATAAATTGCTAGAAATAAATACACGAGTGTACACAAACAGAACATACATGGCTAAAATTTTTCAAATCCATCCATCTATATATGCAAGAACTACTAAGTTCTATTCCAGGGAACAATTGAATATTCTGATTGACAAGCAGTCAATATTTTATCATTTTTCGGTAGTTGGGATTAAAATGAACATTCTCAATGACAAAATTCCGTAGATCTATACATTTATGCGTGGTAGGTTTACAGGAAAAGTAACTCCAATTTTATTTTTCTAGAATAGCCCTGGTTGAAGTAATTAATTATACTGTACATCAGGCTATTTTTGTGTCAAGTTTTGTTTATGTTTAAAGCCTTAGATTAAAAAGGTAAATCTTCACTGAGTTTTTTGTTTGTGATTCAATGTTTTGCACTAAATTGAATATTCATGAAGTAAAACTCCTACAGCATAGATAACAAAAATTAGACCCACACGAAAATTTCCCAATATACAGTAATAAACATTTCAAAAACTACGGCGAACATCAAAAAAATTTGTTAGTACACTATACAACTATCACAAAAAGTGAATGGGATCCTTATTTGAGCTATAAAATGAAGCATTAATTACAAAATCATGCATACTATACATGCTTTGCATTCAAGATCTTGATAGGTTGGATCACAGAATGAAAATTGGAACTCCATTAATAAAAGTACTTTTACATTTACAACTGTAAATTCAGAAATGTTTGCTTGCATATCATTTTAATAGCAACTGTTAAACTATAATTTAAATTATTATGATGAAGAAAACGCTGCATACAAATTATGCTATTAAAATTTAAAATGGAAGTTTTTCATTTGCAAAACCCATCCAGTTTCAATTTTTGAATTAAAAAAAATCGCAAAAATTTCTGAATTTACAGTACATGTATTTTCTAATTGTCATGCAAAACTCTAAATAATAAGTTCATTGAATGATATTTCAATATCAGTAGTTCATAAAGCAATGTATTTTTTCAGATTACCTCTCCATCAGATAGCAGTAAAAGATTGTCAAACTGATAGAAAATAAAACTGGATGGCTGGTGTATGGTTGTGACAACAGTTTTATTGTGGTCCTTGGCATATGTCTTCAATCCTTGTATCAAACCAAAGGCTGTACTGTAATCCAAACCTGATGTTGGTTCCTAGATATAGAAAATATTTTATTTATCTTGGTTTCAGACTAAGAAAAATCTTCAAATATTAAACAGACAGGCTGTAAGGACCCCACTGGAAATAAGTTTCAATAACTTTTGTGGGTCATCCTTAGGTATTCGGCTGCAGTGCTAATCTAGTCTATATAAATTTCAATCATTACAATCTAGTCTTTTATCAAAATATCATAACAATTTTCAATAATTTAATTTTTCAAATTATAATTTTCAGTAAACATGTAAATCATTTTAGTGTCTGTAATTATTCTATGTCTAGTGCTATATGTCTATGTCATTTTAATTTATTGTGACTGTCAAATTCATGCCTTTTATCTTGAATAAATATATATCCAGCTTTGTTCTTGTATAAAGACTTGCACTTATATATGTAACACTCAGAAACGTGTCCATCCCCCCAAACGTGTCCCATTCCCCCAAACATGTCCATATGACGTCACCGAACTCCAAAATATGTTTAGTTGTAAAAGGGCGCTAAAGCGTGTCCATTTTAATAAAACCGCCCAAACGTGTACAATCTCACAAACTTGTCCACGTGTCCATATGAAGCCTAAGTTTTTCCTTTCTCTGAAAGCTCAATCGTGTCCACATTATAAAAAAGCCCAAACGTGTCCCCCATTATTTGGTTATTGCTCTTTCATTGACGTATACTCCTCTTACTATTTCATTGCAAATTGAAATATAGTCCTTTAAGTCTTTATCAGACTAACAGTATAACCCGTGCCGAAGTGGGGCCTCCATTCGGTTGTGCGGGATGTAAAAGTACGCAGCCATGTCATGTTATGATGTGGATATTAAATCAGATACCTTCTGTAGGGAGAATGCCCTCTCTCTACACATTAAAATCCTCGTAACAACTCTTTCAGGGTGCCGTCTGTGGTATGTTGCAAGCAACATTTTTGTCCCAATACATATACCCTTATTATCTAGTGGCAGTTAGAATTTCCCGAACTTTAATTTCAAACGGCCTCTATTATATAAAGGGAATGAAGTGTCATACTGAAGTCTCGAAAAATAAAGCGGTCTTTCCCCTTTCCCAAAAAAATATTATTTAATTCCGATTCCCGATTAGTGTATATTCCTAATAACCGTACACATTTAGGCCCAATCCCAAATTCCCGGAATAATAAAGGTACAATCCCAAAATCCCGGAAAATATTCTTCCGCCTCTCATTATATAGAACTTACCTATAGTATTTATTGTTAATATGGTGTTGTCCTGATTAAGCATGAAATATTTGCCACTGGACGTAATGTCTCTTGTTTGTGAGTCTTTAAGTGATGCTCGAAAACCAAAATTTATAATATAAAACCTGAACACCAGTTTATAATTTCAAGAGCTTTTAAAAAAGCAGAACTGCATGTTGAAAAAATTGGAAAACACCTATGCAGGAAGCGGCCGTGCACTATCCTTATACATGATTAATTTAGTAAGGTATCACCACAGTTTTATTAGTACAAAATAATTTATTTAGTAAACGATTAATTTAACTGTACTAAACTAATTTTTATGTTCGCTCTAAATATGCATGAAATTTTTGCCACTAGACATTAAACAAGCAACAGTCAAGAGTTTTTTATATGTTGCTAATCAATCTTGCAATTATGCTAAATATAATCAACTGGCGTTAAACAAACAAATGCTAATAAATTTTGAATTTCTTCTTTCAGCTCAGCTCTGTTCCTTTTTTAATTTCTGGTAATTGTGCCCAAAATACTTCTAGATTTATGTCTTTTGAATGCTGCTTTTATCTTATTTAGGATCCAACCTAAACCCGACTTCTTCAATTGTGTCTGCCGTAATTGTTATGACGTCACTGAGAACATAATAGCACTTAAAGTTCTGAGATGTTCAGGCATTTTAAAGTGGACACGTTTTGGCGAATAACAATTATCGGACACGTTTGGGGGTTATGAAATCGGACACGTTTGGGCGATGTCAACTTTTAAGGAGACGTTTGGGGGAAATAGACACGTTTGGGGGAATCAGACACGTTTGGGGGGATGGACATGTTTGGGAGTGTTACATATATGCATAATTCTGAATATATATACACATGTAAACACAAACATCTTGTCAAGGAAGGAATGACAACTTTCAATGTGTTTTAACAATAGAAGAAGTAAACAAGTGATGAAGCCTTCTGTTGTAACAATTTTGTAGCCTCATGAAGTCAAAATTGATTGATCTGAACTGTTCATGAGTAGTCTGTGCATAGCAAATGCTACAGACATATGAATTACATGTATAATGATTTCATTTCCATGAATATTTCTTGTCATTTTGTTTCTGAGATTGTACTTCAGAAGTCAAACAAAATACATTTTGAGGCGATTAAAGTTTATGATATAACAACCATGCCAGAAGAGGTTGAAACAATTATTACCAACAAGAATCATGCATTGTTGTGCTAAGCATACCCCCACTAGTAATTTAAAGTATCAGAAAACAGGAATTATGTATTTGACAGATCCAAAATTTGCACACAGGTTACAACTCATCACTGTCAACTTACTAACCAAATATGAAGTCAATCTGTTTGGTAGTGTGACAAAAATATTACTTGAACAAATGGACAGACGAATGGAAGGACTAATGGAAATATGATCAAAAGGACAGATGGACAGGGTGATTGCAATATAGCTCCCATTTTAGAGTGGGGGTATAAAAAGAATTTATTTTATCGTTTTCACTTCACTGGGTTGGTACAGAGACAACTGACAAAATACCAAAAATCTATGAATTTACAATACTTACATCTAATAGTATCATTACAGGGTCAGTTATTAATTCACAGGCAATGTTAGCTCTTTTCTTCTCTCCACCAGATAGTCCTCTCAGCCAAACATCTCCAATAACTGTCACACAAACAAAATAAACAATATACAAAAAATTTAAACTTGTTCACACTTAAGTACAATTTTTGTGAGATTAAGGCAATCAAATTATTTTATTTCCATGGTGAGAGTTAATGTTTTCTCCTCAATTCCTAAGTTATTTCAATTAAAAACATGGAACTTGAAACAGTCATATTTCTGTAAAATTATTGCACTACATTTATAATAAGTTGTAAAATTCATCAACTACCATGATACCAATCTGCAAAAAGCCTTGGGAAGAAACACTGTCTATTACATACTTGTGTCTAAACATTTTCTGAGGTCAAGGTCATCTATCAGTTGTTCCATTCTTCTTTCCTTCTCTATCTTTGGCATGTTGTCTGGCAGGCGGATCATTGCAGTAAACTATAAAAAATTTAATAACAAAATATGTTTTATGTACTGTTTGTATAACTTTTATCATATATTTAATATAGAATGTTGCTTGCTTAATGTCCAGTGGCAATTATTTCATGCATTTTTAGGACAAGGAACTATATTTAAAAGATATTTAGAATATTTTGACATTGGATTGGTAAACTTGTCCTTCTTATTTCAGTGTTTTATCATTTATTTATTCATAATCCATTAAATCACATTTTTGGTCAAGGGAGAAGCAAGAAACAGTGGATTCAATGCATATCAGATACGTTTTCTAAATGGTTAACATTTTTTACAATTTAATCTCTAGTTTTATTTGGTTTAGATCTAATTTGATTGATATTTCTTTGCACTTTTGGCATTCAATTTATTATATTTTGTGTTATAAATAGCTTTATACAGCCAGTTTTACAAAAATACATTTGTTGCTTTTTGTTAGTTCTAATCAGTTTTCTGACATATTGGTGACTAAATGCTGTCCAAGTATAGGTGAAATATTATTGGATCTTTTTTATAACCATTATATTATGCACGCATTTTAGCTAGGGTGTATACTGGATTAAAGATTAAAGAAATATATTATATGACAGTGACTATAAATTTTCTGTTTTCTCATTGGCTAGAAGCATAGGAAATCCTCTTTGATAAAACTTTATATTCACCGCTGCAAAAATCAGGAGAGGCTAACATAAGATTTGGAATGTCTGTGTATCTAAATATAGATATGCCAAGGTAACATCAATGGCGTAGGTTTTTGACATCATGTAAATTCCCATTTTTTTTTCTTTTTCTTCTTATTTTCAGTGTATTTTTTCTCTTCTTGTATTTGGTGTATTTTTTTAGCATGTTTGCCTCTGGCCTATGTTATTCTTGTATGTTTTTTTAATTTTGGTTCATTAATATGTTTGGGAATTCAGTGTGACATCCATTTTTGCTGAACTACACATTTTTGTTTAGGGGCCAGCTGAAACGCACTTCCAGATGCGAGATTGGTGGCCTTGGGTTGTTTTTCTCTCTTTGGACACATTTCCCGTTTCTCTGCTCAATTTTATTTATTAAATATTTCAATTTATGAAAACTAGCAGCTGCAAAAGCAGATGATATATTAAGTGTACAAGAGTGCTCACGCTGAAATGTCTCGCCCTACTATACTGACCATCGATTTTATGTTGATAGTCCAACATATAAAGTTTTACTACAAGTATCACATTAACATCTATGATCCAAGAAAATGAGGTCAAGGTCAGATAACAAGCCGGAAATACATGTACATCTTTAATACAATCATTCCATACACAGAATATAGATGACCTATTGCTTATAGTATAAAAGAAACAGACCAAACCATGGAAATTCTATATTGACCAATGAACCATGAAAATGAAGTCAATGTCAGATGAACCCTTCCAGACAGACATGTACACCTTAAAATCATTCCGTGCATCAAATATAGTTGTTCTATTGCTTATAGTATCTAAGAAACAAAGTTAACCAGGAAAACTGAACATTGACCAATGAACCATGAAAATGAGAAGTCAGATGATACCTGCCAGACAGACATATACACCTTACAATCATTCCATACACCAAATATAGTTGACCTATTGCTTAAAGTTTAAGAAAAACAGTCCAACCCACAAAAACTTAACATTGAACAATAAACCGTGAAAATGAGGTCAAGGTCAAATAAAACCTGCTAGACTGACATGTACATCGTAAAATATTTCCATACACCAAATATAGTTGACTTATGGCAGACAGTATTAGAAAAACAGACCAAAACACAGAAACTAAACTATTAGCACTGAACCATGAAAATGAGGTCAAGGTCAGATGACATCTGCCAGTTGGACATGTACACCTTACAATCATTACATACACCAAATATAGGACTTATTGTTTATAGTATCTGAGATATGGACTTGACCACGAAAACTTAACCTTGTTCACTGATCCATGAAATGAGGTCTAGGTCAAGTGAAAACTGTCTGACAGGCATGAGGACCTTGCAAGGTATGCTCATACCAAATATAGTTATCCTATTACTCATAATAAGGGAGAAATTGACATTAAAAAAAATCTTTACTTTTTTTTCAAGTAGTCACTGAACCATGAAAATGAGGTCAAGGACAATGGACATATGACAGACGGAAACTTCATATCATAAGGCATCTATATACAAAGTATGAAGCATCCAGGTCTTCTACCTTCTGAAATATTAAGCTTTTAAGAAGTTAGTTAACACCAACGCCACCACGGGATCACTATCCCTATGCCGAGCTTTCTGCGACAAAAGTCGCAGGCTCGACAATTAACAGGGAGCTGTGAATTTTAAAAGTATCTTGAGCAAATACTAGAAAATTGGAAAAGGATGAAAAGAGTCATATAATAAAACAATTGTTGACTTTTGATTTCAGTTGATACAATGATTTATCCTCCCCAGAGATATTACATTCACTCTCGGCCTGTTGGCCTCAGTGAATATCATATCTCTGGGGTTGATAAATCATTGTATCAACCTCATCAAAGGTTAATAATTGTATAATTTTGAAGACATAGTACATCAAACAATGATGTATGTAAATGTATCAATATTTTAAAACTTACTGACAAAGTTTCTCTTAGAGTTAAATTTGGGAAGAAAACATCCTGCTGTAGCACATAACACACTTTTCTTCTCATTGATTTGGAGACAGAACAACCATTCAGAGTTATCTCCCCTGATGTATATGGAAATCTTCCTGCTAGTGTATTTAACAGTGTAGTTTTCCCACCTCCTGGAATTGAAAACAGTGAATTCTGATTACCAAGGCATTCAAATGCAGTGGTGTTTTATTTTGAATGTATTGGTTTGTTTTGTGACAAGAACTGATTTATTTAAACTGCAAATGAACTTTGTGAACCCAACAAAAGACTTTTGTTTGTTTATTTGTTTATTTGTTTATAGATGTTTGTTTTCTATAGTTGACTTCACTTGACTAAACGTTATAAAATTCATTATTTAAAACATCTCTGAACTGTTTTATTTTGATACAAAAAAAAACAAACAACAAAAAATAGAAAAAACCAGCATTTTTAAAAACACAAGACTACAATGCATAAAACAAAGCACATATTCTTTGGAACTTTTGGCAACCAGATTAGAATCTTCTAAATTTAAACGAATGGTGATGGTTTAAGTTTGTCAAGTGTAAATGGCAAGCACTTTTTACTAATAGTTTTACAATCTCTTGAACAAGAAAACTGTGAATAATGTTGAAAACAATTTACAACTGACTTTCTTTTTATAGGTGTAATACCACCAAATCGTAGTACGTCACATCCAGTTGCATACGAAAAAGGGTTGGAAAAAATATTCCCTTGAATTTGACAGTTGCAGGAAATTAATCCTATATTTCATTGCAGTAAAAAAATTCTGAGTCATTAACATATATCTTGGGTGTTTAAAGCTCCATTATTTTTTTATTTGGTGTTTCTATAGAATATTTTGAAAACTTGAGGTTACATGGTTACTAAAGCTTGTACACAGGAAAAAAGGGGTGAACATTTGATTGTTTAACTTCCAGTGATGGTTATTTTCTTATATGCAATGAAATATTATGTGAAATTTTGTCTATAGTACTGGACAGGATAAAACTTTACTCATGCCAAGTATTTCTTTATTTAAAACAAAGATAAATTCTGCACAATTTTTAGAGGAAAATCAATACCACCTTATAATAGTAGACAGAATTTACTTTGTCATTCTATTGAGATAAATCTATTGAGAGTCAGAACACCATGATGAATGGCATTAGTACATTTTGTTCACATGGCGGTAGATCATATATATTTAGATAAAATTAAAATGATTCCCTATTCTATGATTATATAATTTAATAATTCAGTCATGATGCCCCATGGCAATATTTAAAGATGAATGCTGTCAGGAGTAAATTGAACGTAAAACACTTTCTTTATTGTCCTGTAATTAGGTTCTCCATAAATTTGTGTAAATGTTATATTTTGATACAAAACAAATCCAAAAAAAATACCAGCATTTTTATCCCCAACAGACTACAATGTTAAAGAACAAAGCATACCCTGTATATTTTGTTATACTTTTGGCAACTAGTATGGAATCTTTTGGCTAAAATCTATAAAAACAGTCACACTTTGGTTTATCAAATGTAAATAATATAGTTTTATCTCTTGAACAAGAAAACTGTGAATGATATGGGAAAACAAGTTTTTACTGACCTTCTTTTATAATACTAAACAGAGTATATATTTGGTCATTTTATTTGTGGATAAATCTATTGAGAGTCAAAACATCATGATGATAGGCATAATTAAGTAGATGTTGTCCATTTTGTGGTAGAAACAAGAAGATTTAATTAAAAAAAAAGGTTTTCTGAGGCTCTGATTCCCATCACCAGTCAATCATATGATTTAATTATTTGGCCATGACGGCCCATGGCAATATTTAAAGAAGCCCGATGTCAGAAGAAAATTAAATATAAATACATCCTTTATTGTCCTGTAAGATCCCCATAATAAGTTCTACATAACATTTTGTACATGTTACAAAAATAAACAAACTAAATCTTACCACTTGGTCCCATTATAGCAGTTAAACAACCAGCTTTAGCAATACCAGATACATCTTTCAGAATCTGCCTTTTGTTGATGGTCACATTTACATGGTTAAATATCAGCTCCATTTCTTGACCATTTTTTGATGAAGAGACAAAATCATTCTCCATATTGGTTAGATCTAATTTCTCTTCAACCATTTTAATTTGTTTGTCTTTTTTAACAAAATGTGACCTACAATGCAAATATGTAACATTTAGAAGAACAATAAAACTTTCTAAATGAAAATTTGAATCATTCATGAGGGTGTGGATGGGAGTTTACAGAATAGAGAATAATTGGCAAAATATATAAAGAATAGAGAGAAAAGCGGACCAAAAACAGAGAATAGAGAATAATGGGCAAAAAATATAAAGAATAGAGAAAAATGGACCAAAAAAATAAAAAATAGAGAATAACGGGTGCTAAGATATAAAGAATAGAGAAAAATGGCTTAAAAAATTAAAGAATACAGAAATAAAGGAACCTCCCATCCAAACCCTCATTCATGACCTGGTCAGAAAATACCTGATAAGAATACATGTACATAATTACATTGCCTTCTTACTCAATTTACTGTAATAGCTAAACTGAAATCTTTTAGAACATGTTCTAAAATTGTAAGATACTTGCTGTTGCTTGTAATAGATCTGTACCAGCTCATCTGAATCACTTACTTAAGGTTTCCAGACAAAAATCAAACATTAAGATAATAATTAGAATTATCTAATATTCCTAACACCCTAAACTTGACAATTTCATGCAGCACAAAATAGGCTCAAGAATGCACAGCAGACATTAAACAAACACAGCTTAAGTATCTTTTATGTAAACGCTGTCCATTGGTTAAAACCATCAAAAGTGCAAACAGAAGCTTAAATGTAAATGTTGTCCATATTACATGTATGTTTACATGGTATTTATAAAGTCAACTTAACATATCAATTATGTCTATGGTAATTAAATTACAATTTTTGTTGAGGAAAAACCTGTTTTCTTTGGTTTACTTTGAGTATTAAATTCAGCTGCTTCCTAAGAAGTTTAAAATTATGAAAATGTTATTATACATTAATGTGAAATCATCTTACTATCCAGAAATGTGTTTGCTCATTGTCAAAGGTTGTTTGGTCACATGTAATCATTCACATCTTTGTCCTATGGTTTTTAACAGAAATGTTGTCTCATTGGTAATCATTCCACATCTCCTTAATTTCTTACTGTCACTTTGTGACAGTGTGCATGTGATGGGATTTAATATTTACATTCAATTTGATCAAAAGTGAACTGCGAAGGGTACTCTATAAATGTTAAATTATAAGAACAATTTTTTTCAAAAATACATGTACAAACAGTAAGAATTTCTAACTGGTAAGTATAAGTAAATTTGACAGTCCAGCATACTTTCAACTTTTCAAAATTAATGGTTGACATTTAACATGTTTAATATTTATTTTGATAAATGCATTTCTCAGGCATTATATACCAGGATTTTAAAAAAAGATAATTTTCTATTTGGGAGATGGGGGAGATCGAAAGTCCTGTTATGAACATGTAACTATATATACTTGATCTGGAATAAAGAATAGTTAACCTTCACCTCTCTTTTCCTTTATATTGACACAACCTTTTTCTGTGTCCATATCATACTCCATATATATGTTTTTTTTCAAATAACCACTATAAGTATAGTATAAAATTAGGAGAGGCTCACTTCAAACTTGCAGATACTGGTTCTTAAAAATTGTTACAATTGCATAACCAATTTGAACTGGTCTGGGTTTTTGTTTTTTTTAAAAAGAAGCCAATTTTAAAAGATACCAAAGGAAAAACCACATGACAAAAGAAGAAAACTACAGTACACAAAACACAACTTAGGAGACTAAAGACTGAGTGACATGAACTCCACCATATACCTGGGGGTGATATCAGGTGCTGAGGAAGGGTTAGCAGATCCTGCTCCAATAATAATTTGCACAATACATATCAACAAAAAATGGGCAGTTGAGACAAAGTTGTACTTAAAACATTTTGAACTTGATAAATAATAAAAAATATGAGAACTTTTAATAAAGCTACTTTTACAGAACTTGTTTATAAGGTTGTATTTTCTTCATGGTCATACTATTTTCATTGTATCTTTAATACAGGTGATTGACACTTTTAAAACTGTGACAATCAGCATTTTTTATTTGTCCTCTATGAACTATTTATCACACCTACCTATATTTGAGAGTATATTCTTTCAGTGTTAAATATCTAATATTTCCTAAATGTATGTTCTTAAAATTTTGCTAGTGTCACTCTAAATCTGACAATAAGTAAAAGGAAACAACATCAAAAATAATCTCAATGATTCGAATTGATCCTAATCTTTTAAGAAACAATGTTTAAACAATCTAGGGTTTGATGTCAACTTAATTGCTGACGAAAAGTCAAATAAACTTAACATAACACTTTCTCAAATAACTTCTAATTCATATTCATAGTCTCCTGTTTTTCAGTAGACAACCTTGGATAAAGTTTAAAAACTCATTTGCTAATATGTATGCTCTTTCTTTACAAACAATATAATATAGCAAGCTAAAACAGATGTCCGCCCTTATATAGGTTACGTCTCTGTCAAAGTTCAATCACCGTCAACTAAAGTGAAGAGTCAAATTATAGTGCTACAAACATTATTAAGTAATCCTATAGTCCAAAGCTCGTAAACATTTTAAAATGAAACCCAATAATGTTTTGACTGGTCCTTGAACTATGAAAAACAAAGATTTTATTTCAAATTTGTAACAATAATAAATTACGACAAAAAATGTTTTCCCTAAAAAATATACTGGTGTGGGTCATTGAACAAAAAACAAAAAAAATATATTAACTTTTTAGAATATAGTCATGATAGTACAGGTTGTAAGAGGATAACTGTCCCAGAGTTCAGGCATCAATATTTCTTTTCAAGCTAGGGATGTGTCTTTTTTAGCTCTAATGAACCATTAATTGTTTTTTTTATAACTACTTCAAATAGATCTTGATCTTTGCTTATAAGTGTGAAAATGATACTGTTTAAATACCTACACTATTTTTCAACAATGATTTTATAATTTCTCTTTTTTTTATCAGCAACTGGAATGTTTAAGCTTTTGAGAGAACTCAAAAAGACAACAAAAGTATAATTATCCTTAGGCTTGTACAAAATCTCAAATCCAGGTCGAAACACAGTCTTTTATATAAGACCAAGTTTGTGCATGTATGAACTTTAAATTGCCTTTGGTGCAAATGTTCCAGTTTAAATGTTAACATGACTTTCTTTCTCATAAAGATGCTTAAAAACTCTGAAGGGAAAGGGTTATAATACATATATTTAATTAAAACTATAATGGAAATTTTATTTTAGATTATTCTAAATTAAAAAATCCTTTAAATATAAACAGCTTCTGTTTACAAAACATCACATGTTGCTTTAAGTATTTAATCCTTTAAAAAGATTAGATTTTCAACATATTTGATGATAATTTGCAAATGGTTTTTCGATAAGTTCTGATTATGAATATGAAGATATTATGCCAAATATATTATAACTATATTTACGTTTTTAAAAGATCTCTTCCCTATAAGAGGTTTAAATTTATAACAGAAATTAAATATCTCAAATATATAATTTACTGTGAGCGCCAGAAAAGTCCATTTTTAGTTATAAATGATCTTTGAACTTGAAAAGGGATGAAGTAAGATTAAATTTACAATATTATACTGTAAATTCAGAAATTATTGTGAGGTTTTTATATATGCGAATAATGTGACTTCTTGAGTATCACAATAATAAGAACTCGCATTCTTATATCAAATACATATGTGTATATAGATTTTCCTAAAATCACAATAATTATTCTCGCATTTTTTTCATTTATCAAAATTTGCAATAATAAATGCACGCAATAATTTCTCAATTTACAGTATTCATAATAATTAACTTACAAGGTAAAATGTTTTCAAACTTTTTTTTTTTAAATTATACACACAAAAAAACTGAAAAACCTGTAAAACGAAAATAAACATTACCTTGATTTAATTGCAAATTGTTATACAGGTAACCATTTCCACATATCAATCTGATGAAATAAATGCATGCAATGTATTCTTTTCCATGTGCTGTCCTAAACTCTCCATGTGATGGGGATAGTTAGTCATGTCCCTGAATAATTAACAATTGCCCTCCACTTAAACTTCTGAAATGTGTGTAAATATATTTAAATAGTGACGGAGAGAATGACATAATCATACACAGTTATCAATAGTACTATTTTATGTTGTAACCACTGATCCTGAAAGCCTATATGATTTAAATGAGAAAAAGAGAGGGTCAATTCAAATAACTGGTTTTAGACACCATATTCTGTGATATACATTATACATTAAATTATAAACAAAATACAGAAAACAGCACTTAATTATTCACCAGTAATCTGAAATTAAAATATTCTATTTCACTGTGACTTTTGACCTTGTGATATTTAAGAAATGTAATACTATTATAAATGGACTTCAGAAAACAATAATTTTTTAATAAATTATGAACCAATAAGCTAAAGAAAAAATATTATACAATTATAGCCTTTGTATGAGGTCGATACGAGGTTATATTGACCTAAGAGAAGCATATAGATTTAGGACAAAGTCCAAGGTCGATATGCTTCTCTAAGTTGATATAACATATCGTATTGACCTCAACCACAGGCTAACATTGTTATATTATTAATCAACAACTATTGCATGAACAATGTAAAATTGGGGATTTCTAGAATGTATTTTAAGTAACATGCTGTATGCCCTGTGCAACATGTGCAATATGCTGTTTTTGACCTACAAAAAGCTGAACACAACAGTATTAGTGTGCAAACTACTGAGTAAATAAAAATGTAAATGTGATCCAGTTTTAACAAATTACAAATCCTTAAAACTATTCGATTAATAATATATTATATTTCTCGCTTTTAACATGTTTAACCTGAGCTGTGTTAGAAATGTAATACTTATAAATTTTCACAATTTATATATATTTTACTCTAAATAATACATTGTCAATGATTGTAGTACATTGGTATATAAGCGGTATATGTAAATGAGAGTGTAAATCCAATTTCTTCTAATTAGGACACTTAATAATTGATAAGGTTGGGTAACATTTATTTATTGACATTTTGCTTCACATCACTGTGCAAAGCTATCTTAGTTTCATTTGATATTTTCACCATTTCATTGGCTAAAATGAGATAAGTTATTCAAATATGGAGGATAAAGAATAAAATTGAAATATGGGTAATCAAAACCTGATCAATAATTATTGCATCATGCTGACGAAATTTATGATACCGAGATGCACTCTGTACCTTTAAGGAAAGGTTAAACTTGAATCAAAATTAATTTTGTTGAATCAGAAACATGTTGAAAAGAAATTTCACCATAGTATGTTATCTGTAACAAAATGATGTTATATGACAAATGAATTGCCTACTCAGTTGTGGATTCAGGGGGCATCATAGGATAACAAAAATATAATTATTTTGCTTCAAATCATAAAAAAACATTTGGACTCCTAACATGCCTAATGTATAGTGACATTTTTTACCATTTTGGACATTAACACCCTCCTTCCCTTCCTCAGATCCTCACCTGCTTCTGTTCAGTAATTAATTCAGGTTGAAGACATATTTATATCCATGCATATTCTGACATCAGACTCAGACTTCTTTTATACTGAGTTTTACACTGCGTATTGCTGTGTGTTTGTTTATTCTACATTAGCTAGAGGTATAAGGGGTAGGGTTGAGATCTCACAAAACATGTTTAACCCCGCAGCATTTTTGCGCCTGTCACAATTTTAGGAGCATCTGGTCATTTTTCGGTTTTGTATTTTTTTTAAGTTAAGTTCATTTATATGTTTTGGAGTTTAGTGTGACGTCCGTTTTCACTGAACTAGAACACATTTTTGTTTAGGGGCCAGCTGAAGCCCGCCTCCAGGTGCGGGATTTTCTTGCTGTATTGAAGACCCATTGGTGGCCTTCAGCTGTTTTCCGCTCTTTGGCTGGGTTGTTGTCTCTTTGACATATTCCCCATTTCCATTCTCAATTTTAAACATTTGTATAAATAATCCATTGGAAGCTATTTGCTAGTACCTAGATAAATCATCATGAATCCAAGATGACTAGTCATTACAAATACACAGGTAACCTTTGAATGCTGCATGCTTTGCAAAGAAGCAGAAAACAACTATTTGATACTTTTGGTTTGATCTGGCCAGGATTGAATAAATGATGGCTTGAACATGGTTATAAATGTTTTAAGATAACTAGAGGCTCACAAGAGCCTGTGTCGCTCACCTGTATCTACTGTGGTTTTGGAAATCATATAAAATACGGTTAAAATCATAATAGATACCCTAATAATGATTGAGGCCGTTTGGTTTAATTTGGCCCAGTGTAAAAAAAAATGACTTTAAAGGGCAATAACCCTGTAAGAGGTCAACTGACAATTTTGGTGATGTGACTTGTTTGTAGAACTTACTTTACTGAAGATTCTTGCTGTTTACAGTTTATCTCTATCTATTATAATTATAATCAATGATAATATTCAAGATAATAACCAAAAACTGCAAAATTTCCTTAAAATTACCAATTCAGGGGCACCAACCCAACAATGGGTTGTCTGATTTGACTGAAAATTTCAGGGCAGATAGATCTTGACCTGATGAACAATTTAACGTCAGATTTGCTTTATATGCTTTGATTTCAGAGATATAAGTAAAATCTACATTTTTAGCCATGGCGGCCATCTTGGTTGGTGGGCGGGGTCTTCGGATTCATTTTTTAAACAAGATACCCTAAGGATGATTTAGGCCATGTTTGTTTTAATTTGGCCTAGTAGTTTCAGAGAAGATTTTTGTAAAAGTTCACGGACGAGGACGGACGACGGACGCCAAGTGATGAGAAAAGCTCACTTAACCCTTTGGGTCAGGTGAGCTAAAAAAGGATCTCTGTTATAAATAATTGTTCTTCATGCTATGCTATTCAGACTGGAAAGCTATACAGCAGTAGATCAGAATTTATTACATGTATCATAGATACATAATTAAAGAACCTTATACATAATTAAAGAACCTTTGTGAGCACGCTCACATACCCCACATCCCCACATAAGTGCAAATGAACATAACTCCTAGAAAAAAATTTGAATCCTAATTTCCTGTTGTTATGCACATCTACATAGTATGTCCTTATTATCTATAAAGTTTCATGAAATTCTGTTATGTGGTTTCAGAGGAGTTGCGATGACAAACTGACGGACAGACAGACAGACAGGTCAAAAACGTTTATACCCAAAGCAAAACTTGCGTGGGGTATAATTATTCATGAAATACCACTTTTCATGGACTTCGTGGGAATGAGTATTAACCATGAATTTAAATGTTTAACTAAGTACACATTTTCTTTAGTCTTGTATAGATACTTTGTCAAAAACACGAAATCAAATATAAACGAAAATATAATAACTTGATGAGACTACTGTGACACATGCAAAAAGTGCACAGAGGATTTGGTAGTTATGTATATATGCATGATTTGGTTCAATAATTTCCTTTACATGACATGATAATTACAAGAAACTAGTTTCATCAGAATATATTAAGCAAACAAAAGTTATTCCAGCATTTATTAATTAATTCATGAAAATAATCAAAGAAAGATAACTGTGAATTACCAAAAGTAGTGGAAGCTTGTTTAAAATAAATGGGGAATGTGCCCATGGGACACAGATGATGCCCCAGCATGCATATAACGTTATAAAGGGACATACCTTAAGAACGGTAAAAGTGATGCAGCTACCCAAATTCGAACTTGATCTGAGCTTTGTGATAATAAGCATTGTGTATAAGTTTTATAACATTTGATTTAGGCAAACTTAAGTTAGAAAAACGAAAGCGAAAAATTCATTTGTAAAGGGAGATAACTCTAGAACGCTAAAAATGATGCCACCAAAATTCTAACTTGACCTGTGTTTTGTGGTAATAATCATTGTGTATAAAGATTCATAACGTTTGGTTGATACAAACTTAAGTAAGAGAACAGAAACGAAAAATTCAGCAATTTTTCTGTTTGTAAAGGGGCATTACTCTAGAAAGGTAAAAGTAACACCACCAAAATTCAATCTTGATTGGAGTTTTATGGTAATAAGCATTGTGTAAAAGTTTCATAACATTTGGTTGAGGTAAACTGAAGTTTGAGAACGGAAACCAATTTAGGGACGTACGGATGTAAGTACGGATGGACAAGGGTAAAACTTAATGCCCCCTCCACTATGGCGAGGGGCATAAAAATAAAAAAAGATGATTTTGGCCAGTGGGCCAAAATTTCAATCTGCATACAAAGCTTTATGTGGATGAAATTCATACAGATTACTAAGATTCCTTCAACATGTTCAAGTAAGTTTTATCTGATATGTACTCAGTTTTTTATTGACCATTGTAAATTGAGAAGGTGGTTGTTGTTGTTGAGTACAACTAGGTTAATTGTTTTGATGAACAAAATTAGCTGGGACTAATAGATAAATGTGTTAGTCCCAGGTTGCAGACAATCTGAATGACCTTACATTTAATGTATGATGCAGCTGTGGTTTCACTTTAATCACTTCTCATTAGCAGTCAAGGGTATAATTTTATGTTATTAGAGAAAAATAATATACATTTGTTATTGTTGACTTAAAAATCCCATAACTGAGAAACTGAAATATAAACATATATGTATGTTACATGTTTCAAAGGGGCAGTATATATCCTTTGTTTTGTTAAAAATGTATACAAGTTCTATTGATATTATTATTGTCTATATGCATACTAAACTTTACGAAGATATAGTTTGCAAATCAGACATAAAATTGAGAATGGAAACAGAGAATGACTAAATGTCAAACATGTCAAAGAGACAACAACCCGACCAAAGAGCAGAAAACAGCTCAAGGCCACCAATGGGTCTTCAACACAGTGAGAAAATCCTCACCCTGAGGCGGGCTTCAGCAGGCCCCTAAACAAAAATGTGTACTAGTTCAGTGAAAATGGATGTCACACTTACCTCAGAAACATATAAATGAACTAAAATTAAAAAATTTGTAAGGGTTCCGCGGAACCCAGTGTCTCGCCTTCTTTTCTGTTAATCGCAGGCTCAACAAAAATGAGGTAGTAAATCAATAAAAATATTCCTCTTGATACTATCTTCTGATTGTAAGAAGCTTCTGTCCAATTTTGGTAAAAATACAGGAGAGTTTATGAATCTAATAAATGTTTAAAAACTTTAACTGCAGACTGAATGTAATGTTAACTGGAAGAAAACAAAATTTCCTTCTAGATACTAGCATTTGATCATAAACAAGCTTCTGTCCAAGTTTGGTTCAAATCCAAAATAGTATAAGAAAGTTATTAAAATTTTAAAAACTTTAACCACAGAGTTAATATGTTGTTTCCTGGCAGAAAATCTAAGTCCATTTAAAAGTAAAATACGGAAAAAATGGATTTATTTTTTTACAAAATTTCCTTCTAGATACTAGCTTTTGATCATAAGCAAGCTTCTGTCCAAGTTTGGTACAAATCCAAAATAGTATAAGAAAGTTATTAAAATTTTAAAAACTTTAACCACAGAGTAAATATGTTGTTTCCTGGCAGAAAATCTAAGTCCATTTAAAAGTAAAATAAGGAAAAAATGGATTTATTTTTTTACAAAATTTACTTCTAGATACTATCTTATGATCATAAACAAGCTTCTGTCCAAGTTTGGTACAAACCCAGGATAGTTTAAGAAAGTTATTAAAATTTTAAAAACTTTAACCACAGAGTGAATGTAATATTTCCCGGCAGAAAAACTAAGTCCATTTATAAGTAAAATACGGAAAAAAAGGAATTTTATTTTTACAAAATTTACTTCTGGATACTATCTTATGATCATAAACAAGCTTCTGTCCAAGTTTGGTAGAAATCCAGGATAGTTTAAGAAAGTTATTAAAATTTCAAAAACTTTAACCACAGAGTGAATATTTGTGGACGCCGCCGACGACGCCGACGGAATGTAGGATCGCTATGTCTCGCTTTTTCGACTAAAGTCGAAGGCTCGACAAAAACATACATGACTAACAAAGGCCACAGGCTCCTTAGTAAACTTGGGACAGTCACAAAAATGCGGAGGGTTAAACATGTTTTGTGAGACCTATCTGGTTGTAGTTAGTTGTCAAATACCTTAAAATCATTATAAAGTATGTTTTTATTAGATGTTATAAAAATATTAAACAATGTTAAAATTATAAAGTATATAATAACAAAAAAGACTGGGTTGTGCATACGTACCAAAGAATTGGGTCACTGACACTGCTTATTGACATGGTATAAATGATTACAAGTCTTTTATAGACTATGATAAATGTTTTTTTTTTTTTTTTTTCATCATTGTAATGAATAAAATCAATATTAATCATATGTATTATATATATATCATAATTTGTATTATAATTATTCTGCTTTTCATGGGCATTGAGATTGACAAATAAAGCTCTTATTCTTATTCCTATTCTTATATATATATGCGAGTCTTTCATGTTTGAAATAAAGATCATCTTATCCTTTACAACTCTTATCCACTAAACATATTGTTTCGTTTTGTTTATAAATTTCATTTTTAATTCGATCAATACTTATGCAACTGGTGAGTCGAAATTTCATCAACTCTGTAGAATAATATCACATCAAAACAACATAATATTCTATATTTAGGACAATTTGACCACTTTATTAGTGCAGTAGTCAAATTGTTCTGAATGTGTGCTCCAAACGGTTGATCATAAATATATGATAAGACAAAACAGCATTCCGTCAGATACACATCGTTGTAATGAAAACAAACCGCTTAAAAACTTACTCTAATGGTTGATTTCCATTCTACCTCATATTTATAGTATACAAGTAGCACATACAGGACTGACGAAGGAGTCAGCTTATATTACTCTGCAACTGTCGCTGGACCATTATCAATCAATTTTACACATAACACTTACAAAACGAATTTAATCGGCCACGATGATGGACCATGGGTTTGGTCAAAGATTTGTATAGTAAGAAATCCTTGGTTAGTCCAAATAATTATGACATCTTGAAAGGCTATTTTATTTTTTTGCCTTAACGCCTTCCTTCTAAGCTTTGCTGCATGCATTTAGAATTTGATTAATTTGCTTAAAATATTTTATTGACAATTTAAAAAGTTATAATCAACCTACAAATAACCTTTCCCAATAGAATAAATATTAACCATTTGCCTGTCTGAAAGAATTACATTTAATAATTACAATTATCTTGTACAAATCAATTAAATTAATACATCAAGCACATAGACTTATGTATATTATGCTTAAATGATTAATGAACTAAAAAGGATTCAATTGCAGAAAATAATCAAAAAAGAAAAAATTAACTCTTTGTCTTGGTTTACTAATGTATCCTGTAACACTAGATAAATATTTTTATTATCCCTTTTGAACCTTAAGCTTCTTTCTTGTGGCAGATCATATAATGAGATTTTAGATTTTAGCCAGCAAATAAAATTAAATTTTTTTGTCAGAAACTGAACGTTTTCATTCAAATTGATGTGGACATTGATTATAAAGCTTCCAGAGTGATGTTCACTTATTGAAAGTGTGCAAAAAAATGTTCCCGTAAAAAGGTGTGAAAATTATATAAAGTTCAAAAATTAATAGAACTTGCTTTTTTATACGGCCGCAAAAATTTTGTCCAGAAACCAATGTGTCTTCGGACAACAACGACGAAACGACGACGACGTGATACCAATATACGACCGCAAAATTTTCAAAAATTAAAACAAATTTTTGAAAAGTTTCAAGAAGAAATCTTCGATTGCACAGTATTGCGCATTAGATTTGTAAGATCTTTGACCACATTTATTTTGTGTCAGAAACCTATATTATGTCAAAAATTTGATCACAGTCCAAATTCAGATAGTATCAAGCTTGAATATTGTGTCCAAATTTGCCCAAACTGTTCAGGGTTCGACCACTGCGGTCGTATGAGGCTGCGCTCAGCGAAGCATTTTATTACTATTTTTATAAATTTTTTATTTGTTTGTCGATTGATTGTTTTACCCCACGTCTCCTTTTAAACATATTCTAAAGTAACTGGTTTGGACATTTTTCTCTAAAACAATGGACCATTAGATTCCAATTCCACCCTGACAATGAAATCAACATGAAAAAAAAAACCAAAATCAAACTTTAAAAGAGAGGTAAAAGATACTCATCAGTTGAAAACAAATGCCATTTCAAAGGAGGAAAAACTTCGAAAAGACAAACAGTACATAAAAGACAACATAGAAAACTAAAGACTAGGCAATACAAACACCACCTAAAACTGGGTGTGAACTCAGGTGCTCCAGAAGGGTAAGAATATCCTGTTCCACATGTGGCACCCGTCGTGTTGCTCATGTAAGTAAAAATTCGATGATAAGTCTATTTTGGAAGATCAAATTCGAGGAAAAGAGGACGGAGTTGTGGTTATAATTTTTGGTTTATAATCAGTTTTAAATTGCCTTGCTATGCCACTGTTTTTCCCGTTTGAATTGTTTTACACTAGTCATTTTGGGGCCCTTTATAGCTTGCTGTTCGATGTGAGCCAAGGCTCCTTGTTGAAGGCCGTACTTTGACCTATAATTGTTAACTATTTATACATTTTGACTTGGATGGAGAGTTCTCACATTGGCACTCATACCACATCTTCTTATTTATATTATGAAGTTGTTGAAAAGTCAGGCAAGAGGTAGTGAGGCCAGGTCATAAACATTTTACACATCACAAATATACCCTGATACTAGATAGTGCCAATGAATGAGAAGTTTCATCTGGGACCTAGTCCAAGTTGTGATACAGTCATAGGAATTAGTCTTTTAGACTTTTAAAATATTTTCAATGATAAAGTTTTGAGTCTGCTTTTAAAATTAAAACAATAGAAACACTTTGATATACCAGAAATGTATTTTCCAGTTTAAAGACAGCTGATAAAGGATATATATACATATGCATTAATGAAGAAAACAAAAGAAACCAATTTGAAGTCAACATGGAGAGATCTGTAGCAATAATTGGTGGTGGTATTTCTGGTCTGGTTTGTGCTGCCAGACTTAAGCAACTTAATATGAACAATGTTACAGTTTTTGATACAGGTATTTTTATAAAATAAAATTTTCTTTGGTTACATCTTCTGACATCAGACTTGGACTTCTCTTGAACTGAATTTTAATGTGCGTATTGTTATGCGTTTACTTTTCTACATTGGCTAGAGGTATAGGGGGAGGGTTGAGATCTCATAAACATGTTTAACCCCGCCGCATTTTTGCGCCTGTCCCAAGTCAGGAGCCTCTAGCCTTTGTTAGTCTTGTATTATTTTTAATTTTAGTTTCTTGTGTACAATTTGGAGTTTAGTATGGCGTTCATTATCACTGAACTAGTATATATATTTGTTTAGGGGCCAGCTGAAGGACGCCTCCGGGTGCGGGAATTTCTCGCTGCATTGAAGACCTGTTGGTGACCTTCTGCTGTTGTCTGTTCTATGGTCGGGTTGTTTTCTCTTTGACACATTCCCCATTTCCATTCTCAATTTTATTCATAGAAATTAAATAAAAACTAATATTAAAAATGTCTAAAAATAAAAGGTTATCTCCCTTGAAAAAAATGTAACATGATTGCTGTGTGATATTTACAAATGTTTATATTTTAAAACTATATAATAATTCCTTCAAACTAAAAAAATGACCTCTTTTACTTGAAAAAAAATTTTCCATGGAGATTTTCTTGAAATTTATACTAAACAAAACACCTAAATGATTTTTTAAACTATACTGTTTAAAATAAGATATTGATACCCAAAGAAATGAATACCAAATGAAAATGGAGTAAATTGAACTTTAAAGATACAACTTCATTTTTCTTTAAAAAGAAGTTGATATTATACATTTAATTTTCCTAGCCTTAGGGAGATATTAGGCATTTATTTCCCATGCCTGAGGGAGATATGAAGATTTATCCACCCAAGAAAATTCATATTTCAAGAGGGCATCGCAAGAGGGAAGTAAAAATTTTCGAGGGTGTACAAATCTTCATATCTCCCTAAGCCAAGGGAAATGAATGTTTTATTCCACTGCCTATACTTTTTTTACTTCCTAAACATAAAATATTAATTTACATACATTTTTTTCTTATCCGCTTGTTTATATTTATAACTAAACATGACATACACAATGATAAACAGCAACGACCAAAAGTTAATTATTTGTTCTTTTTGTTGTTGTTTTTAGGACTAAAATAATTATGAACACGAAAATAACTACTACGCTATTAAAAAAATGTTCAAAACGTTATATATATTAACCACGTGATTAGTTGCACAAGGAAGTCTCAATGTTCAGAAAAGAATATGATACTCAGAGGGGAATATGAAGTATTGTTCAACATCACGTGGGAGAGTCTCAACTAATCAAAAGTTGATTTTGCTATCATTATTTACAAACAGTGGAATAAGAAGATTTATAGCCCTTTATAGCTTGCTGTTCGGTGTGAGCCAAGACTCCGTGTTGAAGGCTGTACTTTGACCTATAATTGTTAACTTTTTATACATTGCGACTTGGATGGAGGGTTGTATCATTGGCACTCATACCACATCTTCTTATTTATATTGTTCACCATAAGAAAATTCATGTATTAATAGAACTTCTAATGGGTACACAAACTTTCATATCTTCCTATGGCAAGGCACCCGCAAGAGAAATGAAAATTTATTCTTCTGCTTAAACATGTACTATTTTACTAAATCTTAAAAGTCAAAATTAAGGAAGACACAATATTTTAAGGGGAATATGATGCTCAGAAGAGAATATGAAGTTTTGTCCAATGGCACATTGGATGCTCTCCACCAATCAAATATTAATTTATCTATCAATATTTACATGCAGTGGAATAACATGAATAATGCATATTGAAAAATGATAGAAAATTTGCCAAACTCCTTCATGTCCTTGAGAATAAAAATGGATGAGATACTAAGACATGTAAGATATTTTATTATATTTTACTTTAAAATTGTTACAAAATTTGTATTTTTTTATCCTACCTAGGTAAACACGGACCTGGAGGAAGATGTTCCAGTCGTACAGTCAATGTAGATGGAAACTTGCATACATTTGACCATTCTGCTCAGTATTTTACAGTCTCAGATCAACGATTTGCCAAAATTGTCTCATTTCTTCATAAACAAGGGGCTGTGAAAATATGGAATGGTAAAATTGGACACTTAAAAGAAGGGAAGTTTACTCAGGATGACCAGTTGACTCAAGCTTTTATAGGCTCTGACGGAATGGTGTCCATTCCAAAATGTCTAGCAAGTCTAGTTCAAATAAAAGGACCATCATGGGTGGCAAACGTTGAATGGGATTCATCACTTGGAAAATGGAAGGTTGACAAATATGGCTTCTTTAATTATTTGGTGATTGCTCATAATGGGAAATGTGCAGATAATTTAATGTCAAATGCAGGTGTACCAAACATTCATCGACTGTTACAAGTTAGATTTAGTGATACTTTGAATATGAGAGATAACAAAATGCAACTTTGTTCAATATGGGCACTACTTGTTGCATTTCCTTCCTCACTCAAACTGCCATATGCTGCTGCTCATGTTGAAGACAATCAGATTTCCTGGATAGCAAACAACACATCCAAAATGGATGCCAGGGCAACTTTAAGTAAATCCATTGAATGTTGGACAATTTTTAGTACCAAATCTTTTGCATCTGCCAACAAAGTTCCACAAGAACATATACCACCAGCAAAAGCTAAAGATATAACAAACACTCTTCTCTCTGCTTTTGGTAGAGTCACACGGATGCACAAGCAATTACCTCCCCCTTGTTTTACACGGGTACAGTTATGGGGTGCAGCTGTTCCCCTGAATGTTCTACAGAACAAGGATGAATGTGTGTTTGATGGACAACATAACATAGGGATATGTGGTGACTGGTTAGTTAGTCCCAGCATACAGGGAGCTGCTGTTAGTGGCTTGGCTTTAGCAGAAAAGATACACAATAATTGTTCAGGTAAATTAAGATATAAAAAGACCAATTTTAGATAATTTTTCAAATTCTGATTATGTTAACATTCCATTTCACAGTTTAATGATACACAAATATTGCCAGCTTTAAGTTGGCATCAATACATTAAATAATCAGTACTGTGGATTCATTTATTTTCGTGGGTAACAATTTCTGTGGATTGTAGAAAACTTTTGCATTTTCGTGGATATTTTATATAATAAATTTTGTGGTTTGCAAAAGTCTGCATACATTCCTATAGAAAATTAGTAATTTGTTGAACATTTAAATTCGTGTTTCCTCTCTGACCGCGAAATACACGAAAATTGGTATCCAACAAATAATAATGAATTCACAGTATTTACTTGTTATGGAAAACCCTTGAATTAAAGTGTATATCTTGTGGATATTGAAACAAACAATAAAATGAATGACTTAGCAGTAGTTTTGCTACATTTTTCTTCATTTATTAGAATATCTGTTGAAATGACATTAGAGAGGTTGATTAGAATGAATGATTGTTTATTAAATTATGTGATGTTAGTAAAAATCACATAAAAACAAGCAATTAATTTATAGAATTATTATACTAAAAACTAAAGATATTATATATGTTCCATGAATTGATTGAAATATACAAAGAATTAGTATTAAATTCTATCTGAAACATGACAGGAGACAATTGTTAAAATTATTAGTTATACTTTTCTCAACAGTAGCTTATGGTTGACCATAATCATAAAATAAATACAGTCAAACCTGAATATAAAGGTCACCCTTGGGACCAGAGAAAAATAACCTTAAAAAAAGGGTGACCTCTGAGGTTCTAAATGCATAAGGATTACTGCAGCTGAAATAAGAACATTGGCCTGACAATACAGGTCTTTGCAAAATAGAGGTTACCTTTATAGAAGGTTTGACTGTACAGGTACATGTACCAAGTACACCTACAGAGATTGTTACAAGGGAGATAAATCATGATTTTACAGTAAATTATCATAGGTTGTCTTTTATCTTGATAATCCATTTTCTTCGTGAATAGAAATCCATTTCTTTTAGTGAATTTTACAGTCCCTTTGTTACCTTTTGCAGGTTCTACAAGAAATAGTACAGATTTACTACCAAGATTCAAACCAGCAGATTCAGAAACAATAGGAGCTTTTCCTTCTAATCCAGGAATGATATTCAACCCAAAATAAATAATTTCTTTCTCAGGCCTTATTTGTTCTCTTTAATGTGATTCCTCAAATTAGTTTCCTGGAGTCTTTAGTTATGCATGCTTAATTTTTTTTTTTTTTTTTTTGCATTTTACAGGGAATATGAAAAGTTGGATTTTACTTAAGTACACTTTTCTGAAAATAACTTATGAAATATAAGACAGATTCAAAATGATTTGAATCTATTTTGAAAGTGGCAATATTCTTGAATTAAAGGTTATGCATTAATTCATGAAATTTTCTAATTTCTTTTTAAGGTACAATTTGAAATTTTTATTTAAAAAAAAGAAGGAAAGAAGTCTCCCTCCTAAAATGTAATCCACACATCACATCTTTGAAAATACTAGTATTGTATGATTGCATATGGTGCCCTCTCGAAACTGTCCACTAAATACCAGTATGGACAAGGAGGTAAACAACAACAGATGAGGGGGGGGGGGGGGGGGGGTGGGACCTTTATCGGGACTCCGGGATCAGGTGTTTTAAAGCTTGGGATTTCGGGATTGATCCTTTATGATCCGGGAATTCTTTTTTCAAATTTCGGGATGTCAGGATTTAGATTTCTTTAAATTCGGGACCTCAGGATTTCATGTTTTTAAGCCCGGGATTTCGGGATCAGGACCCCTCCGATCACCCCTCACAGGTCAACATATGGCCCTCATCATTGAGCAAAACCCCACCAGAACAGCAAGATTTACAAGGTTAGGTATATAAAAGGAAAACAAAATGTAACACAATTTATGAGAGAAAACTAACAACCTGATTTAAGAAATAAATGATAATTCAGAATACTTTTGCAGGGATTGAAATTGCCCTATTGTCATATGCATGTTGAACTGATTGACATTCATATTTTTAAAGGATTAACATCACAGGTCACATATTAAAACTCTGGAAAACATTTAATCTAAGTTTCTTAGGATTCAATATGTAGGATAAGTTTTAAATCAGCATGTTGTAAGAGCCCAATACTAACCATAAACATGTATAAAACAAACAAAAAAAGAAACTGTTATCTTACAATAAACACTTTAAAATCCTTAAAAATGACAGCAGAGAAAGAGTTTAACAGAAATGGCCAAATATACATGTATGAATAGTAACAATTCATTTTTAGAAAAAAAGCAAAACAAAAATAGAAACATTATGTTATAGATAATGCATATTTTAAGGTTTTTCTTGTCGTATAACACCGAGGGGTGTCAGGATTGATCAAATTAAAGACCGACCTCATTTTTATAGCTTTTTGGTCAATAATAAGTTTTCATGGTTTTTGTAGAGCCTGGGAGTTCAGTCGCAGAAAGCTCGACATAAGGATAGTGATCCGGTGGCGGCGGCATTAACTAACTTTTTAAAAGCTTAATATTTCAGAAGGTAGAAGACCTGGATGCTTCATACTAACTTTGTATATAGATGCCTTATGATATGAAGTTTCCTACTGTCATATGTCCATTGTCCTTGACCTCATTTTCATGGTTCAGTGACTACTTGAAAAAAAAGTTAAAATTTTTTGTAATGTAAATTTCTCTCTTATTATGAGTAATAGGATAACTATATTTGGTATGTGCCTACCTTGCAAGGTCCTCATGTCTGATAGACAGTTTTCACTTGACCTCAACCTCATTTCATGGATCAGTGAACAAGTTTTCATGGTCAAGTCCATAACTCATCAGATACTATAACCAATAGGTCTACTATATTTGGTGTGTGTAATGATTGTAAGGTGTACATGTCCAACTGGTAAGTGTCATCTAATTTTGACCTCATTTTCATGGTCCAGTGGTAAAAGTTAAGTTTTTGTTTTGATCTGTTTTTCTAATACTGTTTGCAATAGGTCAACTATATTTGGTGTATGGAACTATTTTACGATGTACATGTCAGTTTAGCAGGTTTTATTTGACATTGACCTCATTTTCATGGTTCATTGCTCAAATGTTAAGTTTTTGTGTTTTGGTCTGTTTTTCTAATACTGTATGCAATAGGTCAACTCTATTTAGTGTATGGAAATATTTTACAAAGTACATGTCATTCTGGCAGGTTTTATTTGACCTTGACCTCATTTTCATGGTTCATTGCTCAATGTTAATTTTTTGTGTTTTGGTCTGTTTTTAAGCAATTGGTCAACTATATTTGGTGTATTGAATGATTGTAAGGTGTATATGTCTGTCTGGCAGGTATCATCTGACCATCACCCTATTTTCATGGTTCATTGGTCAATGTTCAGTTTTCCTGGTTAACTTTGTTTCTTAGATACTACATGTATAAGCAATAGGTCAACTATATTTGATGCATGGAATGATTTTAAGGTGTACATGTCTGTCTGGCAGGGTTCATCTGACCTTGACCTCATTTTCATTGTTCATTGGTCAATAAAAAATTTCCATGGTTGGGTCTGTTTCTTTTATACTATAAGCAATAGGTCATCTATATTCTGTGTATGGAATGATTTTATTAAAGGTGTACATGTATTTCCGGCTTGGTTTATCTGACCTTGACCTCATTTTCTTGGATCATATATGTTAATGTGATACTTGTAGTTAAACTTTATATTTAGGACTATCAACATAAAATCAATGGTCAGTATAGTAGGCTACACATTTCCGCGTGTGTCATTTTATCAGATACTATAAGCAATAGGTCAACTATATTTGGGGAATGGAATGATTGGAAGGTGTACATGCCTGTCTGGCTGGTTTCCTCTGAACTTGACCCCATTTTCATGGTTGAGACATTAGTCAATGTTAAGTTTCCTTGATTTTGTCTGTTATCAGATACTATAAGCAATAGCTCAACTATATTAGGTTTATGGAATGATTGTGTGATGTACATGTTGTCTGGCAGGGTTCTCTGACCTTATTTTTATGGTTCATTGGTCAATGTTCAATCTTTAAACCCGCTTCATGTCCGGTGCATTACTTTTGTTCCGTAAAACTTACGTTAACCAAACTTGGTAGGCAAATGTATCATGGGCTGGGGTGTGTCGTATACCAAAGTTTGGTCACTCTGACCTTGACTTTGAACCCTGATAGTAAAACCTTGTCTAATTCTTGTTCGGTGGATAACTTTTGTAACGTAAAACTTAGGATTACCAAACTTGGTACGCAGTTTCATCATGGGCTGGGGTGTGTCATATACCAAGTTAGGTCACTCTGACCTTGACTTTGACCCCTATGATAATAATACCTTGTCCAATTTGTGTCCGGTGCATTACTTTTGTTCCATAAAACTTAGGTTAACCAAACTTGGTATGCAGTTGCATCATGAGATGGGGATATGTCACATACTAAAGTCAGGTCACTCTGACCCCTATGATTGTAAACCCTTATCCAATTCATATCTTTTGTACTGTAAAACTTAGGTTAACCAAATTTGGTATGCAGTTGCATCATGGGCTTTGGGTGTGTCATACACCAGTCATATCACTCTGAACTTGACCTTTGACCCCTATGATAGTAAATCCTTATCCAATTCATGTCCGGCTCATATCTTTTGTATTGTAAAACTTGAGGATACCGGTAACCAAACTTTATATGCAGTTGCATCATGGGCTTGGGTTCTGTTATTTACCAAATTCAGGTCACTCTGACCCCTATTATAGGTAACCTTGACTGATTTGTGTACAGCTTATAATGTTTGTACCACAGAGCTTAGGTTGACCAAACTTGTATGCTGATACATCATACCACAGGGTGTCATATACCAAATTCAGGTCACTCTGACCTTGAATTTGACCTTGTTCACTCTTGTGATATACTGTTGAATCATTATTGTTTGTAGGACCACTTGTACCACTTTTCCTGGATTTCTTTGGTAAAGGTAACCGCCAAATTTAAATGCTTAATGAAGCATAAATATCTATTGTATGCAGACTTTGGCAAACCACAAAATCAAATATTCTCGAAAATACATGTACTAGTTTTTCTCAATCCACTAAAATTGGTACCGACAAAAATAAATGCATCCACAGTTGTCCACCTTGACAGTAAAAATAAACTACAATTTCAATGTTTTCAATATTTTATATTATTTATATAAATATGCACAAAATAAATATCAAATGTGAAGACATTTTGTATAAAAAAAATTCTTAAATAACATTTGTTGAATTGTAAAATCTTAAAAACACATTCAAGATTTGTAAAATCACATTGTCTTTTATCATGGTTTCTGGTGTTAAACAGTTTACTATAAGATCATTCTTGATTCATCCGCTACCCCCTAATGTCCCCCTTGTCTTATTCCACTGTCAAATCAATGATTTAGAAAAAGTAATGTCAAGATCTGAAGACAAAAAAACATGGCTACAGAAAAACAAACATTGGTATCGAAGGTTGTAATGTTTGAAAAGGGAGTAAATCAGACTGAATCATAAAATATGATTTCAATTCAAAATTTTTGGAATGAAAGTAATTGCATTCTGAAATTTTTTAGAACTGTTACTTAATCAGGGAATATGTAAATAATTTTGGATTATAAAAGGGTACATGTTAGATCTACTGAAGAAATAACATGTCAGTGTTTTACCCTGAAGGATAAGAAATAGTAACTTAACAAATAGATATCCCCAATTTTTTTGAAAAATCTGGACCTTTATTTAGAGTTATCAGATGAAAAAGTTATAAAATTAACGGTTCAAAAGACAATTTTCATGCTATCGTAATTAATTGAGCAGAGGAAGTAACTAAAAAGATTAGACAGACTGCCTGCTAATGGTATCCTAACAAAGAAAATTTCACACAATCCATCATCTGGAAAGATAATTAATAAATTTAAAGCCTGTAGAAGTAAGGCAAATTGTAAAATACATATCACATTATATTTTAATTAGCAGTAAACTGTTTTGTGCAAAAGATCAAGTTACTTCCCCTGTTTATAAATTTTGTAAGGGAGGCAACTTTGGTTATGGGAGATTATATTGGCAATACTCTTGCCACAATATACTGTTTTTGAGACAATGGCATTTCATAACAGTTGTACTGGTTAGATATCAATTCTTGTATTAGGTAAGATTACATTGGAAGAAAGGTACACTGATATTTACTTCTTAAAAAAAAACACAACAAAAAACCCAACAAACTTGAGCAGCAGTAACAAAAAGGAATTCATTAACAAGTAGAATTTGAACAAACACTAATTTAACAAAATCTATATATGGTTAAACAGTTTAGAAACAAGAAAAAGATAAACATGATTAAATACTAATAACAAGATATGGATTTCATGATCGGAGTAAACAATTTTTTTATAAAAATATTTTATTGCATTTCCATATAATTGTTGTTTATGCAACTAAAAAAAGTCGACTTTTTTCATCTTTTTGTACATTTTATCATCTTTCCTTGACTATGGGAAGACTGAGCACACAAACACAGAAACACATTATGCATATTTTTAATGGGAGATAACCCCAGCTTTCACAGACAGAAATATTGCAGACCTAAGTAAGAAAATTACCAGTAAATAAAAACTATTTTCAAAAATATATTACACAGAAAACATAGAAAGAATTAAAATAAAGTTAACAAAAATATCAGATTCTTTCAGTTTTTTTTAATTATATAAGAATATCAGCTTTATTTTACACATACCTTAAGGACTGTATCTAATTAATGTTTGAAGAATGAATATGAAGAAATTAAAATAATGAACTTTACTGATTTTGTGTCATGGGTGGATACCTCATATCCTTTGTTTTTCTGTTTATGCTTATATTCAGCTGGAAAAACTTAATCCTCCCATCATAAGTTTATCTATTAATTTTAGTAAAGTCATTTTAATGAAATGAATATGGTTTTGTAAGACTTTAATACAAAAATGATTTTACATAATGAGAGATTGTCTTTGGTTCCAATTTGTCCATCAACTAATAAAAGGATCTGAGTAAAACTTAATAAAGAACATTAAGGTGGTACATAACACTACAGGGAGATAAGTGTAAAAATCAGCTGAATGTTTTAATCATTTTCTATTGTTAAGGAAATATTAAGCTTCTCAATGATCAACATCAGTGTTTGTCAAACTGCTATACATCCAACGAAATTTTTCTGGTAAAGTGTGTAGTTCAAGTTCTTTGAATTTTTTATATTTTTGTCAAAGGGTTAAAGTAAATTTTTTGTCAAAATTTTATGAAAATTAAACGAGCCAAATTAATTTTAGTCAAGGTGTTTGGTACCACCTTAAACGTATAGTGACTAGCTAAGAAACCTCAAATGACTGGTTTTTTACCACTAACATAAAAATACTTTCATTTTGTTTTACGAACAGAGTGTAATCACTAAATGGGTATGCATATGAATTACTGTATGATACATGTATTTAATGTCTAAGTAAATGCTCTCATAAAAATATTTCATTTCAAGACCTGCTTGAAGTACAAGTGCTTAAAATTGAAGAAGTGATAGTTTAAGACCTAATGCCCAAAAATAAAATGGTTGATGATATAAAGTTGAAAAAATGAGACTCATTAGTAATAGATCATAACTAAAGTATACGTCTTAATAAAAATCCTAATTTGGTTGATAGAAAAAAATTGATGGCTAATTTTATCGGCCTTTTGCTTTTTTGAAACTGGCAGAGAGTGATTAAAACTTTATATGACAGATCTTAAAACTTGTCTGACTCAAAGATGATTTATATCTGATATGGGAAAAATGAATCAAAATAATAAAATATTTCAAAAGATATTTGTCAGAAAGCATCATCAAACTTTACCCCATTGAAACAATATAACAGAAATATTCAGTAAGGTGTAATCAATCAGAAGATCTTACTTCTTAAGGAAAAAAAATGGAATTTTATCTTTATAAGCAGAAAATCATGCTAGGCATGTTGTGAAAAAAACAGTGATTTTATGACCATTTATAATTGTATTCAAACTGTCTGTGTTATAAAATATAAACTGAATCAATTTCTAATATAAATACAGTGAAAGGAGACCCCACATTTTAGGACTAATGTGACCAGTAAAAATGTTAGACATTTTGACTATGTTTGAATTTATTGTCAATTTGTTTCTCAATTGTACCTAAACCTCTATATGCACTTTTAACTGGACAACCAATACTATAAATTTAATCTTGAGATCTGATAAAAATTTATTTGCAATTAGACATATTTTCTATCTCTTTTTTTTCATTGAATTTCTACCAAACTTTATCGCATACGACTAACCTGTAACATTCAAGTCAATACCAGGCAAACATTTGGTTGGAAAACATGATTGAGAAACTTTTAATATACAGTAAATATAATTGCTGAGGATTTGTCATTTGTCATATTATTGGTAAACAATTTAGACCATGTCTATCAGGTATTGACTCCAATGATACAGGTCGACAGTATTGCCATGTTTATATTAAATATGACTAAATTTTACCCTTTCAAAATTACATTATTGCTAACTTATGGTTCTGTTTAAGTATACTATATACTGCAGACAAATAAAAGTTGACGTCTCGACTTATTGGCTCATATTTATAAAAGATGATTGCCAAATTTCCTTCCGATTCAACAACTACCAGATTTGACCACAATTGTCATGCTATTGAACACAAAACATGCAGCTAACAGAGTTAAGATCAAATTAGCCATATAAATACTGTTCCAAAATACACTTATTTATGTTTCTTTGTTTCAACATGTCCATTGGTGGCTGGTTTGTCATTAGATATATGACCATTGGCCTCTGAAGATTTAACTGTTCCATTTGATTCTTTCTTGGAAGCCTAAAAATAAAATACAAGGTTTTTTTTTACAAAAAAGTTTAAGACAATATTAAATTGAAATGTGAAGATGAAAATAAAAAAATAAACAACATTTTAGTGTTTATTCTAATTTACTTCCATCAAGTTTTAGAATTCATTCAGATCGCATGCAATAACACTTCTGGTATATAATTATGTAGGAATCATGTTGATTTGGAGATAGGATACAATACTAAACAAGATGAGCAAAATATTTTTACATGTTGAAATTGCCCTTTTAGAATATAAAGGACTGTCTGTTATTTCTATTTTCATTGAAAATAATGTAATGTAATTGGTGAATTTCCATTGTTTTAATAGGATGCTGTAAACCAATCACTTTTTCATATACCCTATGAAAATATTACCCAGAATGCATTGATTCTGAAGCGATTAATTTATTTCTCTGAATAGATATCTAGTATTCACATTTTTTTTTACGTCAGCATATCTTATAAGTTGTGTTCTTATCATAATCATGATAGTTAATATTACTGTTATTTGTTGAACTTTTTTTGTTGTACTCTCAGTAAAAACAAAAAATTGATATAGCTTTGACAAATGTTTGATATAACATTTCTTTCCTTGTATTAAACATCTATTTATTTCAATACCGATTCCGATATATATCCATTCTATTTATTAGTTTCAATACTTTTATAAAATACAAAAATTAAAGGAAATATAATCTGGAATTCTAACCCCTTGTAAGAAAAAGATCGAAGACAAAAACAAACAAAAACTTTACCTTTCTTCTTACTGATTTGATATATGCATGGAAATAAAAGTTGAGAAACAGGCACAGAATGGTGAACGCATAGAAAACTAGAGCCCACTGCATCCACATTGGAAATTCACATTGCATGAAGAGTGACTGGGCAGCATGTGTAATTCCTACCACAAATTGGATCTAAATTAAAGAAAACAATTATAAATACAAATAATATTATTACCTTTGACCTTGCTGGCCTCTTTATATAGGTCTGGATATAAAAGTTGAGGAACAGTGCTATTATAGTTGCACCGTAACAAAAGCCTGCATACTGCATCCATTTTGGGAAGTCACAATCGAAGTAAAGACTTTGAAGGGTGTAAATCATGCCTACATAGAATTGGGTCTAGAAAGAGAAATATAATAAAATGTACACTTACAATTTGAACATTTTTTCCTGCTTCATGCAAAATATTATAGAATTGCCATGCTTAATATAAAAATTTAGGAAGGTGCAACTGATTTTGAAACTATATGCAAAACATGTTGAAAGTAAAAGCTTCAATAGTTTTAGTTTAATTAAATTAAAGATTCTGTTTTCAAATTTTTTAAAAAAATTTCAAAGTTTAATTATTTAAAAAGCTTTTCTATGATAAAATATTTTTTGATTAAAAAAGTTCTATACAATCTTGCAATTTCTTTTTATTTCATATCACAAAATGATGTGTTAGCCAATGAAAACTGTTAAATGTGCTGTCTCAATGTATATCATGTGTGAAAAGATTGGGAAGTAGAGTAAGAGTACATGAGAATTGGAAATCAAAGTATGTGATCATAATTGTATACTGACAGTAACTGTTCAATCTATGTGTATTGACTTTCTTCACAAATTAATATAATTAAACTTTCATATACAGGGAAAATTTTTTACACTCTTCAACAAATTTAGAGAGCTATGTGAATCAAAAATTTCTCGAAATGAGAACTTAAAATTAAACAGCATTTTCTTTTATTGTAGTAATGTAAGTTGACCTTAAAAATCTGCTATAAATTTAAATCTAAATGAAAACTAACTGAAAAGTCTAATAAATTGTCAGTTTTAAAACAGGTCTTAATTCTCATTCTTCATCTGAACTTTTAATAATCACTTTAGCCCATATACAGCCAATGTCTGCTAGTGTTCTAAGAATGAAACTAATTTTGATCATAGTGCAACATCTACAAAAGTTATCATGTCAATTTTTTGCTATATTGTATTTGTGAAAGTTGTTGGTAAAGGAAGATGGCGATCAATCTAACTGTACAAAGATTATAAGATAATAAAGACATTTTAATCTTCTTAAGTCTAACAAGGTAGTATTACATTTCTGCATATACCAAGTTTTCACAAATAGAAAAAGTTCTATAGATGGATGCTAAATTCAGACAAGTCAGAGAATATATAACATAAGGACTTCAAGTGATTTGTTAAGTTTTCCAAAAGGTTATGAAACTGAGTAAACTAAAAAAGTCTAAAGATAGTTTTCTTATAGTTTAAACAAATCAAAAACAGTCTCTTTTTGTCACATATAAAAAAACAAAAAGAATAAATCAGTTTTACTATTCATAAGAACTATAATTTATGCTAAGCATTACAAAACACTGTACCATGACTTTCAGTTACCATTTTGTCTTACTAATATTAGTTTGCAAGGCAAGGAGAAAAACTGTATAATTAAATTACTTTTAAAATCATTCCAGCAAATTAATTCTTTTACATTCTCTTCTGAATCTGAATATGGTTAAAGGACCATGTGAATTCAGATTTTAATGAAAAATACACTAACCACAAGCAAAGTTAACAAGTTAATCATTATTTATAAAGATTTTATCAATAACAACAATAATTTAGGTCAAAAGGTTTTTATATTTGATTTTTAATGAAATCACTTGAATAAATCAAACTACAGTGTTTTAAACAATCTCTGTTGGACAGGTTTTTTTATGAATATATATTTCTGTACTAAAGTCTCTTTTGTGTATATTTCTGTGCAACATGAAAACAAAAAATTCCGGTAATATTTAGTAAAAATACATGCACCTTGAAAGTACATATATAAACGGTTTGCAATTCTTTAAATTCATATTGTGTAATTCATTGTGTCAAAAGCCGCAAATGATATGGCATCACAAAGTAAAATGATGTCACTAAAAAAGATTTTTGTTTTTATTCTTAAAATAGTTAAGGTGAATCTTTTTGAATTTTAACGTTTTAATAAGTACAAAAATATATATTTTGTCATCGAAAATCCGTTTCTACTGTAAGTGGGAAAAGCAGTTACAAAGAGCACAACTTTCAGATACATACCAATTGCATCATTGTTAAATATCTTTTCCACCATAAATATTTCTGCATGTGTGGTCCAAGGGCAGATAATCCATAATAACCATACATAACAACATGTATGAAAGAGTTGATCATTGCACCAAAGAAAGCTGAAAAAAAAACAAAGTGAAATACTTGAAAAAGGTGTTCTTTTAATGGAAAGATGGAAGTCTTGAAATTAAATCAATGAATACCTTTCGATGAAATATTTATTGCATTTTATGGAAGGGTTCTCTGCAAACGTTTGTGTTTTAATGAGGTTGTAAAATAGAATAGTGTTAGAGTGTTAGACATGGCTTTCCACAAAAGCAGATAAAATATTATCAACTTTAAACCATCATTTTGCACAATTTCAATTTCAATGTTAAAGATAAATAAATGGAGAATGTGTTTATGGGAAACAGATGATGCCCCCTTGCATATAACATTATAAAAGGACATAACTGGAAAACTGTAAAAGTGACCCCACCCAAATTCAAACTTGATCTGAGTTTTGTGGTAACAAGCATTGTGTATAAGTTTCATAACATTTGGTTGAGGCAAACTTAAGTTAGATAACAGAAATCTAGCGGTGGGGGCATGAAAATAAGATTTTACAGGGTGAGAAATTTGCAGTAGACTGAAAGCCGCCAACACCTATCAAAACTTGCTATTATCTATCATAAAATTATTTTCTATTGAGGTATTGTATATATTTTTTTTATTATAAAACTAAAAATATATGAATATCTTAAAACACATGAAATACTCACATTGTCCACCAGCTACCCATTTAACTCCAATCCACCATAGGGGAAACATTGAAGCGTGATGATATACATGTAAGAAACTAACTTGGTTATTTTTCTTACGTAATACAAAAAATATAGTATCTAGCATTTCTAAACACTTTGAGAAATAAAACCACCATAATGCCTTGGCTATCTGAAATGAAAAATAGACATTAAAATTTTACTTCTGGTTTGGCTGTTACCAAAAACATAGTTAGTGCTAAAATTATTGTGTTGTTTACCTAAATCTAAAGACGTTAAAAAGACACATCAAATGATGTTAGTTTAAAATATCAATGTTACATATGCATCTTATAAATTTCATGGTTATAATAATTACTTTTTTAACATTATGCACTCGTTCAGTACCAATTTTTTTGGAGAGTTATAACAGTGAACAAAAGTATCTAGCACTTCTAGCAAAAACCTTTTACTAAGAGCGACTACAAATTTTATGTTCATACAGCATATATTGAAAATTTCAAAGTATTGACTAACAGGAAGTAGGTGTACATCAGATCCGAAAAGTTCTCACATGATACAACTCATCACTGTCAAACTGCTGACAAAATATGGAATAATTCTGTTTAGTGGTTCCTGAGAAAAATGTGACAGAAATATTTGTTGGACAAACTTAAAAACAGATGGACAAGGTAAATGGATAGCTCCAATTTCTAGAGTGCTATATAACATAATACATGTTCCATTTATATTTTCTTTGTCGTAATAAATGATTGACACATCAGAAAAAACAAACATCAGTGATACTCAAGGAGACTTTGTGATAGGGTGACGAGACAGCACTTTATAAAGCACATTTGTGAGGGGTATGCATGTAAATACAAGGAGACTGTGTGATAGGTGGGGAGACAGCACTTGATAAAGCTCATTTGTGAGGGGGTATGTATGTAAATACAAATAATTAAAAAAACATATACTATTATGACTAAAGTCAGTGTAATTTTTACTCAGTTGGTCATTTACAGTACTACTTTTTCTTATATTAAATTAAATGCTTAAAAACTTACTTGTAATTCATTTTCATCGTCTGTGTAAACAACTTTTTGACATGAATAGTTATACCCTGCTTTTGTTGTGTAATAAGAAACCTGTCAAAAGTAAAATTAAAAAACTTTAACATTAGAGCCAATTCAATTATACAAATAAATGGAGAATGTGTCCATGGGACACAGATGATGCCATCCGCTTGCATATACTGTAAACCAACTAATTTTCGCGAGTGATTTATTTTTGCGACTTTCGCGAGTAGAAAAATAACGCAAAAATCGTCGCAAATATGTAAAACTTGGATCTTTCCTTATTAAACTACATCAAGTAAATTAGAAAATCACGAAATTAAATTGCCGCGAAGTGGACTAGAAAGTGTTAAAGGCGAAATAAAGTATCCGCGAAAATAAGTTGGTTTACAGTAACTTTATAAAGGGACATAACTCCAAAATGGTAAAAGTGACACCACCCAAACTCGAACTTGATCTGAGTTTTGTGGAAATAAGCATTATGTGTAATTTTCATAACTTTTGGTTTGAGGCAAACTAAAATTAGAGAATGGAAACCAATTTAGGAACGTATGGACGGACAAGGGTAAATTGTAATGCCCCCTTCGTTGAGGGGGGGCATAAAAATGCTTATAGTTATTAGCAAAGTTTGTCATTAGAAAACCCAATTACAAGTATGTTATAATCTTTAAAAAGAAACAAAAACATTTAATACAGTAAACAATAGTTTTTAGAAACCATTCTAAACTTTCTCTTGCTTAGCTAAGATATATATGCAGGCTAGGTCCTAAGCTCTAATTATTTGTCAGGAATTGAAAAAAACTAAACTTTGTTATACCAGAACTGTACACTTACAAGTTAGTGTTATTGTACATGTGATTTTGGGATAAGAAAACCCTCCTACCAACCTTCAGTGCTATTGAATTGGTTTACCATGAGAAAAAAATGAAAAAAATGAGTTTTGATTGGTTACAACATTGATTTGAGATATTTATGTTATTCTTTTTTTATTTATTAAGCTCACAATTACCATCTCTATATTTTTGAAATGACTTACCTGAGTAAATATATGTAAATTTAATATCACAAGAGCTATGTTGTAGTAAAATAAATAATTTCCTAATTTGACTGGTTCTCGTTTTTCCATAAATTTCATTCCAGCTAAAACTATTACTATGTATGCTATTGTTGTTACTAATGTAGGAACAATACTTTGCATCAGGAACCAGTCTTTTACTCTGGGATCTGCAATAGAAAGAAAACAAAAAAATTAATTCAGTGTTATTTATTGTTACAAAAACTTAATTAGAACTTCAAAAATCCAAATTAACATAGACTAAAACCATCAGAGCTGCAGATAAAACCCTACCTTTTTGGGGGGAAGGGGGCGGGTTAATGTGCATATTGTAAATAGTGGCTAAGAAAATGAGCAGTATTAATTTAAAAATCTACAAGATTTGAATTTCTATGATCATTTTATTAAACAATATTACAAACATAGTAACATTTAAAAAATGTGGTGTGATTGAATATGAGTCAACTACAACAAAGGACCAAAGGACCAAAGGAACAGAATATGAATACATTTATACAGATATATCAATGTGCACGACAATTATAAATATGAATATCTACAGCCGACCTTTAATATACATGCTTAAATATTGGGCAAATCAAATGGCTAAACAAACAATTGGTGTCTTTTTTATTGTTTATCTTTTAATTTAAAAAAAAATAATTGTAAGGCAAGCTAGACTAATTACTGATATTTTTTATGAATAATTTATTTGTCACGATATTATTGTTGGTTTGACTTTCAAATGTTATCAAGCCTTCAGGGTATATCATTGAGCAATTCAAATACCAATATTCAATTCATTAATATTGGAGGATTTTTTTTAATCATCTATGCAATGGAAGACAAACTTAAACATTAGACAATTTTGAGACTAAGCATATTGTATATAGTCAACTATCCTGTCTAATCCCGTACAAAATATGTAGTAGGATTCCTACTAGATTATAGTAGGAATCTGCCTTGAATGATCATGGAATCTAAGATTCCTGCTACTTCTTTAAAAGTTAAAAACTGTATGTTAGTTGTCTGTTGGTTATTCTTGTTGTATGATTGCTGTCTCATACATGTCATATGTGTAAACATATCCTATTTTTTAATCACATTAATCTTAAATTTTAGCTTCAGCTTTCAAACTGATCAAATTACAATCACAAATAATCACACTGTCTTATTTAGCTTAACATAACTTAAATTTGTGTAAAGATAAAAAGGCCATACAAAAAAGTTTTTTTTATGTATGTCCAAAGTCAAATGAAAGTTAAAAGCCTTTTACTTTATGAAGCTAGTTATAGAATTTCTTTAGTTCACACAAAACTATTCAAACATTTCTTTACAGTAAATTTTAAACAAGGAAAATTTGAACCTAAAATTTGTTTAGTTTATTTGGCCTTGTATGTAAAGCCAGGAAATAAATTAAATATTACAAAATGTTAAGAGGAAGACATAGACATAAGTTTTGGGTATTCTATTTCCTCTCGTTATCAGTAGTATCCTTGTAAATAACCAAGTACAATTAAAATACTACACATATTGTTGAGTTTAAACTTTGATTCACATGATATACACATGTATACTATGACTGACGTGTTTGACAATGTATATAATTTACATTTTAGATAAAAGGGTATTTGCAATTTTCGTTATGCAAATACTGAAATAGAGAAAAAATGAAATACTACACTCTGTTTATGTCAATTATGACCTTATTTTAAAATAATGCTATGGTTTAATTTTCTAGCTAGAAGACAATTTTCTCTCTTATTACTCAAATTTAAAAACAGCTTAGAAATATGAAACAAATTATGTTTATATATATATTCAATAGCCATCTGGTACAAATCAATTTTAATTAATTTATGAATGAATGATAGAAGCATTTATGAAAATAAATTATTCATCATGTTCATTATGAGATGAGATTGAATACTTTATTAAACATGTTAAAATTTCACACACAAAAAATGTTCTCTGATATCATTGTAGAATGAACAGTCAATTACAGACTGAGTTTCAGTTTCCGTCACTTGTACATGTATCAGCACAAAATCTAAAACATATGTTGTTGCATTAAAATCAAAACTTACCTGATATTGACAGAGCCCAGTCATAAAATTCTGATACTTCATAATATTTATCCTTTATTATATCCATGTTTCTTTATTTAACCTCTGAAATAAAAACAAATCATTTATACATTGCCATAAAAAAAAACACCAGTAATAGTTCAATCTTGAGAAAGTTGAATAACAAGAAATATACATCACCCAATTTCTATAAATATATAATTAATGTCTCACTAGTGAAGCTAGAGGCCAAATATTAAAATATATCTAACTGTACTATGTGAAATATCTGCCTCTGAACATAAGCAAACAACAATCTATCTTACTTTACATGCAACTATCATAGCACAATTGTTCATTTATTTTAACCGTAAATCATTATATTCAATCTGACTGAGCACATCACAATGCACAAAACAGTTTTTGTTGAAATATACAGCTTTTAAATAAAGAAAAATCAATATAAAAATGCATTCATAAATACAATGCAAAGTTTTCTACTTGCCCTAGAATCTGACAGCTCTTTGAAATAGTATACTAATACTACATCAAAATAATAAATTATATATATGAATGGATTCCCACTTATTACTACCCTTTATTGATTGCCATGGCATGAGTAAATAAATTCAGTTTAAATTACCTTCACTCAAATATAGGTCTTTCCAGTTCTGTGCATCTAGGTTAATTAAGTCAATATATGTAGTTGATCTTTTATTACTTTAAAAAAAATAAAAAATCAATCACAGTTTTAAGACTGTAGAACGAGTTGACACAAGCGAAACCTTGTTTTGATGTGTTGTAGCAACAGCTAGAATTGTCTTGATTTAGCAATTAGTTTGTTTGGGTTATTTAAATCCCAATACAATGAGGTTCTTAACTCAGAAGGGATTGACCTTTAACTATCTAATAGACCATTATATATGTAGACCATACTGATCTTTACCTTTTCATTAATGAAATTTAATACCTTGTTAATTATGTAATAGCTATAGTTTAAAAATTAAATAAAATTTGCAAGATTGTACATTTCATCTTTTTTATATACTTAAATTTGCTTACCTGTTTCTTTTAATCTAATTAATTGAATTATGTAATTTTACAGATTATTGGATGATTGTATACAGGTACATGTAGTTCATCACGGTAAAAACATAACTTCACATTTTTTTTTTATGTATACTCAACACCTCCTTTTAAAATGTTTATTCATCAATTTAAAGCTATGTAGCATGTATAGATTTAAAAAAATAAATAAAAGAAACTAAAAAAAAATTGACATCAATATACCATATCAAGAACATGCCAGTTACTGAACCACAACTGATAAAATGTCCTTGTTCAACCTTGTATAAATTAAAATCCCAAGCCATTACAAACTATTGATTAACTTTACCTATTATCATTTTTTCAGGTACAAAATATGTATATCTTGATAATGCTACAAAGCATTGTCCTGTACTGTACAAAGAAAATTTGGAACAAAGGGACAACAAATTGATGTGTTTTTGTTATTGTCTAAGTCTGCATGACAGCATGTACGGTATATAAACTCAATATAGATACCAGGACTAAAATTTTGTATGCCAGACACGTGTATCGTCTACAAAAGACTCACCAGTGATGCTCGAATCAATAACATTCATAAAGGGCCAAATAATGTATGAAGTTGAAAAATTCCTAAAGGTTTTTCTAAATACAGCTAAGGTAATCTATTCCTGGGATAGAAAATCTTAAAGCATTTAGAAAAATTCAAAGTTTTGTAAATTGTGAGTTAATTTATAATTATGACCAAATCAATGATAATTCGATCATGCCAACACAGAAGTCTGCTGGTGATATGTTTCTTTAAATGTGTAGAATTGGCATAAGCCTGTTGGATTATGAGTGACAAAAGAAAATTTTAACATACTCTTTTAGCCAAAACACTTGACAAATAAATTCAGTTCATTCTGTCATTATCGATAAAGTGGCACTTGAGTGTCATAAATAAATAACTCCTATCATGTGGGACTGTTTGAATATCAATGTATGTGTGGTATACATGTACATATATACCTATATATCAATCTTTACCCTGTCCTAACATGATGTACATTTAAAAATTACCAAATGGTCCCTTTCTCCCAGTACACATATAAAGGTCTAATAAAGTTGCAAAAATTATAACATTTTATTCTGATTGGATACAAAATATCTTATAGAAAGGCAGGGGGAATATTAATCCAAAGTGTTTTAGGAGATTGTTGTATAGCCAGTAAAAACCAATGTCACACTGATAAAATAAATCCAACAATTTTTTGTATGAATCTTTGATGCTATCCATGATTAATGATTAGCCCAATGACAGACATAATATCATTCCTCTAATTATATTGCTAATTTCAAAAATGTAATACTAGTCCTAACTAGTCTTCACACTGACCAATATCATACCTCTTAACACTTGAAATGGTTTTATGAGACATATGGTCAAACAGAACCTTAATAGGAAGTAAAACATTTCCAAACACTGTAGGTCAACATGATACATTGTATATATAATTAGACATATCCTAGTGTCATGTCTACCCCAGCTTGATGCTCATTGATATGGATTTTTCAAGTCAGTCATCATCATGGCTATGTCAGACCAACTTCCCATTGCCAACAGTTTACAAAATTACATATAGCTTTGATCATGTTGATGGTCCTTTAAGAAAATTGATGATCATCGCTTATCATTTCTATTGCAAAATTTGCCCATATTTTTGTGGTTAGAGGACAGACAAGACCAACATGTTTACATAATGTACATTATATATATATATATAAACAAGTCTAAATTGAAAACAACATTCAAACCTTATGATGATTGTGTTGGTTAAAAACCACAATATTTATACGTGTGCATGCAAAACAAATTTCTTAGTAGAGGGTCTAAATACAGCACAAACAACATTTTCCAAAAGACCAAAAAAGTGAAAAAGTATATTTTAACAAAACGCATTTGACTAGCAGGACGAAAACAACGGATGTTCATAAACCCTGCTGACTGCCATTGGCGATTGCCAAAAAAACGGATCACCAGATATAACAAAATGGATCTTAACTATTGATTTAATACCAAACAGAAAACAATAAACTTGCGGAAAAGATGATATACCGCAAACAAAAGGTGCAAAAACTAGTACACCATATATATCCGGATTTCGAACAAATAATGTCTCTTCAGTGATGTTAGGAATCGAAACGGTATTTGGAAGGCCATATAATTTACCTCAATTTAGGATAGACTCTTGAATTTTGAAGAGTCGAAATAGGATGAACGAATCATATAAACCTGAAGGCAAATATAATACAAGCCCAAGCGAAAAATATAAACAAGTCTAAATTGAAAACAACGTTCAAACCTATGATTGTAGAGGGGTCTAAATACAGCACATACAACATTTTCCAAAAGACATATATATAAGTACATCTGAACCAGCGACAACTCTACAACAGATCTATATATATATAAGTATTTTTTTGGTTTTGAGACAATGCATGGTTGTTCTCTTTATAATGCAATTCTACAGTTCCAAATGAAATATGGTAAAATCAACAATTATAAATGGAGTGGACAACATAAAAAAATCTTGGACCTTTCATGACGACACAGATAAAGCTCTACGAAAACACAGTCAGTGACAGTATAAAGCCAAATTTTTTACAGTCAAAGCATTTTCCCTGTGCAAAAAGCACTGTCACAGTATATATTATTCTTCCTGGTTCAAGGCATCAAAATTATTTGGATTAGGTTTAGCCAAACATTTATCTCTTTATAATAAACTCACAACTATCAGAGAAGATGGCATCACATATTCATAATTGGGGTTACCCTTGATAGCTTTATGCAGTGATCTTAACAATACCTGCAGATCAGAAGGTTTTACAAGTTAAGGGACTTATAAATAGGTTACTTTTTCACCTTGCACCCAAACCAGTACAAAGTTCATCCCTTAAGTAAACAAAACATTATATCTGCTGTCAATTATAAATATTTATTACTGACACATAATAAAGCAAATTCAATTTGCCTAATCAGCAATCATGCGTCTGAGCAACGTTAATTATGATTACAAGTCACTGAAATGATCAAACGTGCAGACGCCAGTTTTCCGGGTGTTGTCTACCACGGGGATGGTCAGAGCTTATAAAAATACTTTACGAATTAGTATAGAATCTAAAAAATATGTAAAATAATATAAAATGTACCTTCTATGTTGTAAACAAATGTCAGGAAACCGGGTAACGTGCATGGACCACAGCATGTGTTGCTATAAACAACTAGAAACAAATATACCGGTGAAAGCACCTGCTAGCCAATGAAATCACGGTTTGCTTAATTATCGCAAAAAGATCTCGAAAGTCAACGTTTCTGATTGGTCAATATCAATGAAAGTAAATTTAGATTTGTTGAGGATCTCCGGAATAAATCTTATGCAGAGTTTACCAGTTGCTAAAGAAACCGATTTATTCACTTTCTGGTAAGAAAGGTATGTGCCATTCATATAATTTTGTGCATTCTAAAGACATTGCTATGAACAATCTTCACACTTATTATTCATAAATAATTAAGTATTTCTACACGCATTGTTTGTTTGTCTCCACACTTTTGCTAAGCCTAAGCCATGTAATGTATGAGGGGAATCCGGGTCCGTTCGCGCCCAATCACGTTCGCCCCCATGCACGTTCGCCCCCTTTCACTTTCGCACCCTACACGTTCGCACCCAAAGTCCGTTCGCACCCTACACGTTCGCGCCCAATTCTTATTGGTTTTGTGTTTAATAATTTAAAAACGAGTTTTGGTAAGTGTATTGCTATAAATATATATTTTTTCATTGTTTCTAAATAAAGTGAGATTCTGACAAGGTTTTTTTTGTGTCATGGTAAATGTATTGCTATAAACATTTTTTTTTCATTGTTTTTTAATAAAGTGAGATTCTGACGACCAGTATTTTATTTTTGTGTTGAATAATTTTTAATCATGTTTAGGTAAGTGTATTGCTCTCTATATATCTATATCTCTATATCTATATATATATATAAATAATTTTTTTCATTGTTTCTAAATAAAGTGAGATTCTGACAACGTTTTTTTTAGGTGTTGATAAAATCTTAATCATGTTTTGGTTAGTGTATTGCTATAAATATTTATTTTTTATTGTTTCAAAAGGAAATGGGATTCTGACAACTTTTTTTTTTTATGTGTTGAATAATTCGTAATCATGTTTTGGATAGTGTATTGCTATAAATATTTTTTTTTCATTGTTTATGAATAAAGTGAGATTCTGACACACATGAGATCAAAGGAGCCAAGCTATCTTTCATGTTTTTTATTTAAAATCTTCAAAGTTTTACTCATACCAAGCTAAATACATGCAGTATTTACATTTAAAGCAAGTTAAAACAACCATGACAACAATCATGATTTTTAAACACTCAACAATAACATCATATTAGGCTGTGTATAAATACCAATTAGCAGTAATCATACATAATTAACATTTAATAATAAATCATCAAATCAATTTAAAACAATATTTCATTTAAAAATTCCCGAATTTTTATTTATGAAAATAAAAATATTTTACAAAACATCTAAAAATTTATCAGGTTTTTGAATTAAAAAAAGGGTGCGAACGTGTAGGGTGCGAACGGACCTAGGGGGCGAACGTGTGGGGTGCGAACGTGTAGGGTGCGAACGTGTATTGGGCGCGAACGGACCCGATACCGTATGAGGGTAGGAATGCCCTTTACTGTTAGGCGTCAAACGGTCATTTTCGGCTACCGTTAGCGTCAATTTAGTTAAAATTTTGCCGTGATTCGCCAAAATATCCTTATCGTGATTCGTCAGAGGTCTCAAATAATTATCGCTACTGTTATTTTTGGAAAAAAATTTAATGTGATTCATCAAAATCAGTCGATTTTTTATCGTCTAAAAGAAAGTGTACATTACATCGTCATGTACCAAAAATTACTGTTAACGTCATTTGGCAAGAATTTTTACCATTATTCGTCATGAAGGTACCCCCATTACGACCCTCATGTATGGCATGATTGCATGAAGCACTCATCAAACAGTCCAATATATTCATTGTCATAGTCAGAAAAATTACTGGTTTATCATACTGAAAACAAAACAAAATAAAAATATTCACACATATTCATATATCGTCACATACGGTATTTTCACAATTTAATTGTGGTAGATCATGTAGATCAGGAGCAGATTAAAATTATTAGTTAGTCTCATTTGGGTCTAAGCGTGACGCAGGATTGGATGATTTTTTATATTGTGACACGTGAAAGTCAAATTATTAAGCGTGAAAATGGGAAACTAAGTCAGGCGGGACACGTGAAATTGCATTATTATTACAATGATAAGTGGGATAAGTGACAAAACAAATTAATAAGTCATTAAGTGGGATCCTTCCAGGTTTTTTTCAAGAATGAGTTATGCCAGTTGACCTGAAGTAAATCGGTGTAAAGAATGTCATGGAACAATTATCTCTTATTTTGAGATGTAGTATCTTAAGCAATGTGACTTTGAAAATGTACGGGAAAATGCAAGAATTTGTAAGTCGTCTTTATAAACTACCAAAACTATATTAATATTTCTCATGAAATATTGACATGTGCACTTTTTCACTCATTTGTGTTTTTCAATTGCACCAGACACACAAGACAACTAAAAATCAGCCAACATGAAAAATTACCATGTGACACTGACACACTTGCAGGATAAGTGAATGATCTTTTTTAATCCAGTTGTATTTGGAACTAGTGTACCTTTATTTGTTATTACAAAAGTGAATGCTGTGTTTTTTCAATTTATACAAAATGAAAGCAAGTAACCATTCAGATTTTAGCAAAAATTGCTTCCTAATAGGTTACATATGCAAATTGTGATGCATGCATATGGTCACTTGCTTTCATTTAGGCACATGTGTAACACAGCATTCAATACTAATATTTACAGAATTTCAAAGCAAAATAAATATATTTATTCATATTTTGAATCTGAAAGTGAAAATTTAAACACAAACCTTCAGCAGAAATCATATCATTCCACGACCTTTGGTTTGCATTCATATGGCATGCATTTGGGTTGTTGTTTCATATACAAATGAAAGGTATGACTGAATCAAATGATTTGTTTTTCAGCCAATAAAAGATAAAAATTTGTATGAACTGAACACCTACTGTTAATTTACTTAACTATACTTTTTGTCGTTATTGCTTATTAAGCTCTATATTTTTTTAATAAGTTTTGGAATTTCAAATATTAATTGTCAAAATGCACATCATGGTACAGCAAAATTGGTACCTTTAATGTTATAACAATGCAAATAACACACCACATGGTACCATATATACATGTATGTAGGTAGTAGTTTCACAATTTCTTGTTTCTGCTACAAATATTGAGAAATCTAATACATGTATATTTATTATAAGCATAACCTTGAAATTAATGCTGATTTTACAGAGACATTTTCGTGTTATATGTAGATTTGATTTAATAGTTTAATTTTACCACAAAAGAAATTAATCTCAAAAATCAAGTCTAAGATAAGACAATTTCAAACAGGTCATTAGAACAGAATTTGATGAGGAATCTGAAAATCAAAGTCATTTTTCTTTGTTTTGTGTTGAAAAGATACACACAACTTTATTTTTTTTTTTTTTTGGTTTATAAAAATATGTTTATTGAGCGATAGCAAATAAAAATTTATAAAAAAAACTCTTAATTTTCATAGATTTTAATGTTATTGCTTCAAAAACTTTGTGTCAAAATTTTGACTCATTTCAATCACTTTTTTTTAATAAGTGCATGTATATAAGTTATATATGCTATAGAAATTTTTACTCCAAAGCAATAATTCCTGTACGAACTGTGACGCCCGTATATGACACGGAAACCAGGCGTCAAAATCATACTTTTTCCGGGCGTCATTGCAGTGTTTAAGGAATGCATGTCCAGGCGGAAACCAGGCGGAAACCAGGCGGAAACCAAGCGTAACTGAGGCGGAAACCAGGCGTAAAATTAGGCGTAATATTTAAATGAGTACGCCTGGTCCAGAGAAAACCAGGCGTAATATGCAAATGAGTACGCCTGGTCAATAAATAAACCAGGCGTAATATCCTTACATAATACTACACTTATTTCAAATCAGTGTATTACCCTAAGCTGTGTACTTTTGTGTATTTAATACAAACTTCTGTACTGTTGCTTTAATTTCTCATTGTTTGACATAAAACTGGAAATATTAACAATTGAAGAAGCTTATATATTAATAAATACATTTTAGACAGACACTGGCTCAAATAAGTTTAAAGTTTAAATAAGAATTATGACAATTAATTTTTCTTGAAATAAAACTTAAGCATTTTAATTAACTAAGTTTTTTATAAATTAATGTCCTTTAAAATATAAATGATAATACTGCAATTTAACTTCATGTAAAAGATTTTAATGTTATTATCCAAGGATAAAGGTTTTGTGATTTGAAAATTACTGTTAGAACTTAAAACTTAATAACTTAGGTAATATACTCACATAATTATTATTTACCATGTTTTACTTTCCATTTTTTCACAATTTTTATTAATCAATTTGATTCCATATTTCCAATTTCAAATTCTTCCAAAAAGCACAAAACAAGCTAATTATCCCTGAACATATGAAGCTGCCATATAAGTCCAACTCTTGCAAACTAAAACCAAAGAGCCAAATTTTGAAAAAAATTCCCATGATCCTTTAAACAAAGCATTATGGGTATTATGATTTACGCCATACCAACAGTTTTACGCCCGTAAGAAAATTTACGCCTTGCTTATTTCAATTTATGCCAGGTTTACCACTTTTTTCTACGCCTGTAAGGACTACAAATTTACGTTTCCTGCTCCCTTACGCCTGGATCTAGACACGTTACTACCACTTACGCCTGGTTTACGCCTTATTTCCAGGCGTAATACGCCTTATAATTTCATACGGGTGGAGACAGTGCGCTTCTTAAGTTGGTACCGGTAGGTCAATGTGGGTATATATAAATATGATGAAGCATAAAAAAAATTCTGTGACATGTAAGTTATTATGGCAAAACCATATGAATCAATGCCTATGATAAATGAAAAAAATATAAGTTGATCAATTACATATACATGTAACTGTAAATATGGTAAGAAAAAAATTCACACCAAGTATTGTGTTATTGGTTATACATGTAATCACCTGTCAATAATAGTTTCAGTTGAAATTTGAATCAAAAGAGTTTGGTTGTATAGCTAGTTTTATAGTTCACTGTTGTTATTCAGTTATAATTAGTTATTGTAAAAAATATTGTTTAGATAATTTATATTTTTCAATTTTAGATCAATCACCAGTGCTGAATATGGGACTCTCATCATTCATTGATGATTATGATGAAGTTTGGAAGATTAAAATGGGAGGTATGTGTGTATGCGAGTTTTATTCTTACAGTACAATTAATGAACAAGACAAGAATAATCCAAAACTGCATAACATGAGCACACAGAAATTATATTGAACTTCACACAGTAATACAATTTTACTAATACAAGAAAAAAACTAGAGAAAAAATATCACATTTTTATATTAGTGTTTTAACAGGGATAATTGAGAGGTCAATTTTAAGGAAAACGAGGAAATTAAAACTGAGAATGGAAATGGGGAATATGTCAAAGAGACAACAACCCAGGCCAAAGAGCAGATAAGAGCCGAAGGCCACAAATGGGTCTTTAACTCAGCGAGAAAATCCCGCACCCGGAGGTGGTCCTCAGCTGGCCCCTAAATAGAAATGTGTACTAGTTCAGTGAAAATGAACGTTGTATGTTTCTAGTGATTACATTTCATAATAGAATGGTAAACAAAGAATAGGGTTGCTGCTCTATTGTTTATGGCACACACAAGTGTAAAATATATTTAAACATTTTATTTCAAATTTTATTTCATAGAAGCACATTATAATTTAAAGTTGAAACGAGGAAATATTACAACACATAATAATAAATCATTAAATCACATGGTATTGAAGATGAATATGATAAGTAGTGTGTATTCATTGTACTGTGGATTAGTTATTATTCGTTGGATACCAATTTTCATGCATTCCGTGGTCATGCCACAAATTTGAATCTTCAGCAAATTATAAATTTTCTATAGGCTTGTATGCAGACTTTTGCAAAACCATGAAATCAAATATCCACGAAAATATAAGTTTTCTACAATCCACGAAAAATAAATGAATCCACAGCATTCATCAATGAGACAGTAGGTCAATACATGAAGTTTAAAATTGATAAATACTTCATTAAAAATTTAAATTCAGTATTTTCAAAATATATTATAATTGTAAATGTAATGTCAGAATGTTTGACCATATCAGTTAATATATCATTGTTTGTTTTTTTTTCAGACATAAGAACCCAAGATTGGTTCATGATGACATCACCCATACCTACCATTTTTATCATCATGGGTTATCTGGCATTTGTACATAAAGGACTTCGATGGATGAAAAAACGAGAGGCTTATGATTTAAAAAGAATTCTACAAGTTTATAATTTTTGCTTAATATTGGTGAATGCCTATATATTTTATGAGGTAAGTTGATAGACATATGTTCTATTGAAAAGTGACTTTTGAACTTCACAATATACAACTGTTTTCATCTTTGTTCACAGTTGAATGATGAGTATGAATATTTACAAACCAAGTATAACTTGGTTATAATATGGAAAAAGTCAGATCAATTCTAAATTGAACACTATTTATTTCAGTGAACTGAAGTTGCTTCTCAAAACAGGGATTGATTTTGTATACACTTGAACTTTTTTACCTACATTGTCAGAGACAAGAGCCGGTCTTATAACCTGAGATGTGGTAGAACCAATGAGAACTATCCACCAGAGACCAAAATTCCCCAAGACATCACTGTAACACAGACACGATATTGGTCCTGTTGAGTCAGTATTTAAAATCCTATGAGCACTAGCCAAAAAAGTAAAATGGTTATATGTCAACAGGTTCTTAAAGATATGATTTGCACTTAAGTTTATCTAAGACTTTAATTTTTTTCTTAAATAATGACCATGGCAGTAAATTTAAGGTCAAACCAATCTTTACTGAATTTGTGCAAGGGATTAAAAATTGAAATGATGAATTCCGGTTGTATATATATTTGTGTTTTAATTTTCAGTTTTTTGTATCAGCATGGACGAATCCCAAAGTAGATAAATTTTGTGCACCTGTTGACAAGTCTGATGATCCTCTCTCTCTCAGGGTAAGTTATTCACAGTACTGTAGTCATTAGTAAGGTCAATTGACAAAATTATCTACATTCTTACTGTCCATTTTTTTTTTACGTCTATAGAAATAAACAAATTCAATATTATATGCATTTCATCTTATAATTGTTTCAGATCTTTATGTAAAAATATTACAGATTATTTCCTATGCATAAACATCTAAGGAAAAAAAACTGTTGTTTTATTTAAGTATGGTATTAAGAATCTTGGATTTCAAATTATAATTTCCACTGTACATGTTTCATCTAGTAACCTAAGAATTTATAATATTACACTAGTTCATTTTTCGGCCAGATATCTGTAATCCTATCCATGATTCCATATAAATGTGATGTAGTTATCCTTTTTTTTTTCATTCACATAGATATGACTTCTAAAATGAAGTGCTAATAGAAAAAGTAATGTTTTTTGCCTAATGTGAATTTATAAAAATGCCTCTTAAAATTTTGAAAAAAAGTAATAAGGGGAGACAATCTCAAGCAAAATCTATGAATCATCAAGGTTGCAGAGACTGTGCAATGAAATTTATTAGATTAAAAGTTGCATTTCTAAATAAACATTTTCTATAAATAGTTCTTTAAACATTGATAGAGTTATTGGACACAATATTTAATCTTTCTTTTAGTTGGCCAATGCAGTATGGTGGTTTTACTTCTCAAAGATCATTGAGTTAATGGATACTGTGAGTATATTTATTGATAAAGATAGAATAAGATAGGAATTATTTGTTCATATTAACTCTGATTTTTATGATATCTAGAAAATATCTCCAAAAAATTACTGGATCATTTCACCTTTTAAAGTTTAATCAATTGGTTGCACTCATTATTGTTTTTATAGTCAGAAAAATATTAAATAGGGTTTCGACTTTCAAAGGCTAAATATAAAAATAAGATGTGGTATGATTGCCAATGAGACAACTCTCCACAAGAGACTAAATGACACAGAAATTAATAACTATAGGTCACTGTACAGCCTTCAACAATGAATAAAACCCATACCGCATAGTCAGCTCTGAAAGGCCCTGAAATGACAAATGTAAAACAATTCAAACAAGAAAACTAACAGCTTGATTTATGTACAAAATAATGAACAAAAAAACAAATATGATATACAGCAACAAACGACAACCACTGAATTACTGGCTCCCAACTTGGGACAGGCACATACACAATGTGGCGGGTTACACATGTTAGCGGGCACCCAACCCTCCCCCTAAATGCTTGTTTTGCATCATTTTGTTTTGATTTTCGAAATTTTTCATCATGCTTAAATTACTCATGCAATGATAGTAAAAGCTTGTAAAGTGCTTTATTAATTAAACTTTTGGATATAGTTGGTGTTACTGTAAAGTCTTAACATGAATTTAGTTTCAACGATGTATATTTTACTGCAGTGCAATGCCAAGATTGAATAATGTTTGTGAATTAACGGTATCAAATATTAATTTGGTTATTGAAATTTTTATTCTTAATTTCACTTTGACCAAATTCAATTCCATTGTAGGTTTTCTTCATATTGAGAAAGAAGAATACACAGGTTACCTTCCTCCATGTTTATCATCACTCTACCATGCCAGCTATATGGTGGATTGGTGTTTTCTTTGCACCTGGTGGTGAAGGTATGTCGAAGGTTATACATGAATAATTGAACAAGATAGCTCAGATGTAAATTATTTCAAGGAAGACATTTGCCACAGCTGTTCCATACATTAATAGAAAAACAAAGGATATTGGGTATCCATCCATGACAAAAAATCAGTACCGGGGGGGGGGGGGGTACATGCACAGCAAAAAAAACACATATGATGCATATATATATATATGTAAGAAGCTTTTTCTGAAATCGCCTTATCAAATCTCGTAATTTTGTTCAGTCTTCAAACACAGCAATAATAAATCCATACAATAATTTCTGAATTTACAGTATTTAAAAGTCAACATATATATTATGCGGTTTCTGCATCAAAGAAATATGTAATCACTGGAAATTTCCTCATGCAAATACTGAATGTTCAGAAATTATCGAGATGTTTTTATTAATGCCAATAATAGGACTAGATGAGTCTAGCAATAAATGCCAATAATAAGAATATGTTTTATGATATCTAATAATAGAAAAACAAAGGATATTACTCGCTTCTGTATATAGTCTACAATTTTGGTACAGATGCACTGAAATCTAGTTGCTACTTTATGAAAAATAGATAGAAGAATACTGCAACTCATTTCACAAAAAAACTTACAAGAAAAAATACTTGAAAGTCATGAACATTTCATCGTAACTTACAATCGATTTTTGTCGTAAGTTTAAAAAAAAAAAAAAACCTGAATTTTATCACATAAACGATGTGCACAGAATTACAATAGAATTGAGGATAAGAGTGTTTGAATTTTTTTAACTAATTGATATTTCACTAGGGGAAGACATCATGACAAATATATAAAAAATAATATTTTTTGTGTTCAACATATATCTCAGTGTGACTGTGTATAAAACTGTTATTAAACATCTGCATGCTTACACATCCATTTTGATTATTTTAGCTTACCTGTGTGCCAGTATCAACAGTTTTATCCACATTCTGATGTACAGTTACTATTTCCTGTCATCCCTAGGACCACACATGCAGAAATATCTCTGGTGGAAGAAATACATGACTACACTTCAACTGGTACGTCATTGCAGTCACCAAAAAATAAGATTGAGACATCTCTTTCTTAATTTTTAAGTATTTATTATTGAGATGTTTATTTAACTGATTAAATCTAAATTTAGAAAAAACCACCATTGATTCTAGTTATGCATAAAACATGATATTGTACATTAAAGAAAACAAGAGTGCACACGCTGAAATGTCTCGCCTTCTTTACTAATCATTGATATTATGTTGATAGTCCTAAATATAAAGCTTTCTTACAACTGTCACATAAACTTAACATTAACCAAGAAAACTAAACATTGACCAATGAACCATGAAAATGAGGTCAAGGTCAGATGAACCATGCACGGCAGGCATGTACAGCTAACAATTCTTCCATACAACAAATATAGTTGACCTATTGCTTATAGTTTAAGAAAAACAGACCAAAACACAAAAACTTAACACTGAGCAATGAACTGTGAAAATGAGGTCAAGGTCAAATAAAACTTGCCAGACAGACAGGAACATCGTACAATATTTCCATACACCAAATACAGTTGACCTATTGCAAACAGTATTAGAAAAACAGACCAAAACACAAAAACTAAACTATGACCACTGAACCATGAAAATGAGGTCAAGGTCAGATGACACCTGCCAGTTTGACATGTACCCCTTACTATCAATACATACACCAAATATAGTAGACCTATTGCTTATAGTATCTCAGATATGGTCTTGACCACGAAAACTTAACCTTGCTCACTGATCCATGAAATGAGGTCGAGGTCAAGTGAAAACTATCTGACGGACATGAGGACCTTGCAAGGTACGCACATACCAAATATAGTTATCCTGTCACTTATAATAAGAGAGAATTTAACATTCCAAAAAATCTGAACTTTTTTTTCAAGTAGTCACTGAACCATGAAAATGAGGTCAAGGACATTGGACATGTGACTGACGGAAACTTCGTAACATGAGGCATCTATATACAAAGTATGAAGCATCCAGGTCTTCCACCTTCTAAAATATAAAGCTTTTAAGAAGTTAGCTAACTCCGCCGCCGGATCACTATCCCTATGTCGAGCTTTCTGCGACAAAAGTCGCAGGCTCGACAACAGGAGATAAAATTAGAATTGTTTAATGATTTTTAGTAGTTATTTAAAATATTGAATAACCTGATTTTCAATTCATTTGCTTGTTCTTGTGAAAGAAATCTTTGAAATAAGATTTCTGGAGCTATTGGTCTGAACTCTTTAATCCCATTATTGTAGAACAAGTTTCCTGTCTGAACAGATTATCACAAGCTAGGGGCCTGTGTTTCACATGTAGAGCCAACGAATTTTCTTTCTTTTATTTGATTTTTTTCATCCGCAATATCAGCTTTAAATGATATTTTAAATTGCTGCCTTAATAAAATGTATTTATTATCAAACATTTCAGGTACAATTCTGGTGGATAATGTTCCATACAGTCTATGCTATTAATCTGAGCTGTGGCTTTCCAAACAAATTCAATTGGGCCTTGGTGGTGTACGATTTATCCCATATCGTACTGTTTACAAACTTTTATTACCAGACCTACACTAAGAAGGAAAGAAGACTTAAATTAGAACAACAGATGCTAGCCAAAGTGGAGGAGATCAAAGGCAATAAAATGAACTAAAGAGTAAATGAAAAGTTTGACATGAAAAGATCACAAAGGAGTATGGTCTGTAAGGGCCTTATTTGGATCCAAATATTAAGTCCATTTTTACAAAATAAAAAATACTTCAAGTTGAGGAAAAGACATAAAAATGTTAAATAGAACTATTTTTGGTCAAACTTTATGCATAAAGTATTGAAATGTATATTCCAAGTAGACCAAAAGTAGAGATTTTTTGAAAGTTGACAACATTGGCTGGATTTTAACCAAAATTCAGTCTAGGATACATAGAGTACAGCAATTGACACATAAAATATTCAAATCAGAGTTGTACTTGAATATATTAACTTATTTTTAAAATATCATTTTTGTTGACATATGTGCTCTATGTTTCCAGTCAGAAAAAAACAATGGAAATCGACTTGTTGTTTTCATTGAATGTCTTGAAAATCTGAAATATTGTGCTGAAAAAACTAGTTGATTCGTAAATTTTGAAAAAGACCTATTCCCTATCTAGCTTTTGTTTTAGGTACGATTTATTATGATAATGGTCAATAAATCCTTATTTGAAATCTAAGCTAAAAATAGGGGCCTCATTTGGGCCTTATCGAACCTACTCCTTTATTAGAAGTATACAAGTAATAAATTGTATCACATGAGATTTTATTTACATAATTCGAAATTTACATAAATGCTAATAATTTAATTTTGGAGGTAACACGTCTTCTGATTGGGTGAAAGGTTTTTGACTATCAGCTCATAGACATAATTTTGTCATGTGTTCGTGACTTCATCAACGTTTTTTTCATGATTTACTCCTTAAAAATGGATTTTAGAATTAAATTATAAGGAATGACTAATATATTTTTGTCTATTTGTAATATCATCAGACATTTGGTGCTAGGCGGGTTATTCAGTATGAACCACATTTTTGATGTTATTTCTTCTAAATATTTCAGTCATTCCTTAAATAGATATGAAGGAATTAATGTGTTATTATTTGGTCACTAGTTTAATATTAACATTCTTTTTGATTATTATTCATATTTTAATAGGATCATAACCAAAAAAAATAACAAGCTCTAATGAGACTTTTTCGGCAGTTTTTGGGCAAAAAGCAACAAAATTGCTGCCCTAATGCAAATATTTTTGGCGAATTCAATAATGTAAATATATAAAATCTGTCAGACTTAAGTCTTGTAAACATCTGACGGATTTATTTAAGGAATGACTGTAATATTTTTTCTGTCTATGAAGAATTAACATCAAAAAATGTGGTGCACACTGAATAACCCACGTAGCGGGTTATTTAAAAGTGTGCACCACATTTTTTAGGTTATTTCGAAAAGACAGAAAAAATATTACAGTCATTCCTTATAATTTAATTCTAAATTCCATTTTTAAGGAGTAAATTTTGAAAAAAACGTTGATGACGTCACGGTCACATGACAAAATTATGTCTATGAGCTGATAGACAAAACACTTTCAGCCAATCAGAAGACGTGTTACATCCAAAATTAAATTATATTGATATGTTTATCAGAATTATTATTTTTTATTCAAGGGGCCAAAAAGTGGCTTGATCAACCCCCTCCTTTGTCTTGTGTAATAACCTGCCATATCAATTCTTAACATTGCACTCCATATTTTCAATTAAATCATTAGAGAAACAGATTCTACCACTTAACCTTGTTGACTTTAATATTTATTCACTCATGACAAATATATTTTAACCATCAAGCATGGATAAGTATCATTATCAATGTGGTGGTGTAGTAGAATTTATATTTTAACCATCAAGCATGGATAAGTATCATTATCAATGTGGTGGTGTAGTAGAATTTATATTTTAACCATCAAGCATGGATAAGTATCATTATCAATGTGGTGGTGTAGTAGAATTTATATTTATCATGTTATTACTTAGTGTGATTTGTAAGTTGCTATTTTATTATTTGTAAAATATTTGTTTAAATTATTTTTCTTTGTTTTACCATTTTGCATGTAACATTTCATTAGACTTATAATCTAAGTTTTATACAGTCACTTGCATTTATATCACACCCCATATTAATGATCTTTGTTTTTATTGTATAAATGTTATAGATATCAGTGAACTGGGTGAATAAAAGTAATGACTACAAATTAGTGTCTTTAAACATATTTTTTTATTGCATTTACTATTATTTTCTGAGAATTGTTTATATTTTCCCCATTAGTCCAGAATAAGATCTCATTATAAACATTAGTGCATAATGTCCTTGAAAAAGTAAATAAATTTAATAAATAGTTGGTAATTGTAAATTGAATGCCTAATGAAAGATAATAATGTATGATTGTTTGAAAAAAAGCTTGTTAAGTATGTACACTTTAAATTTTGAAGTGTATATTTTAGAGAACAAAAAATTCATTGATTGCAAATGGATGTTGTTGTTAGAGCATTTTACCATAGTATTCCAGTTTAAATAGTAGTATTGTATGTTTAAAAAATGTATTTCTATTTAATATGGATGTATATAACTAATTTATAGACTTGCATGATAAAACAAGTGGCAATGTTATTTTATTTGGCAGGCAATATTCATGTATACATTTTACATTTTGAATTGTTTAATTCTTATGCAGATGTTAATTCCATGACACTATTTCAAGAGCTAAATTGGTTCATATGGAAAAATGTTTTTATTTTTTTTCTTCATCTTTTCCTTACATGAAGTATTTAACACATTGCAATAACCATTTTTAGCATGCGGAATTTTACCGTTTACTTGATCTGTAAACTGTTATAATATTTTGTTGTGTTATGTTTGTATTATCCTAATTTCTAAATGATCTCTAACAAATACCTGACTGTGATACTTTGAGGCATCTATGTTGAGCGATAGTTTATACTCCCATATTTCCTTGCAGAATCTATTGCAAAATGTAAAAATATATTCCAATTATCTCCCTTTACTAAAATTGTCCTGTGATCTCTCTGTAAGATAATCTTCCATCTCATGCTAGTTAAGTGAGATTGTTTTTTTTTTCTCAGTCATATAGAAAAAGAAAGAGATGACTTCATAAGCTATACGTTATTGACGTTGCCTTAGAAAATAGCAATAAACATAATATTTATGTTTTTTGCCACTTCATGCCAATAGACTTCATGCCAATAGGCTTTTAGATACCCTATGAATTCAGTGAAGTTATTTTTACTATTCATGTATGCACAATCAGATACTTGACCATCCTTTAAAATCTCAGAAAGGAAAATGAAGTTTTGTTACCTCTATGGTTATTTGTTAGTGCAGATTTTTCATTAATTAGATCTGCTTTGTTATGCATTTTATAATGTTTATTGAAGATCATTTTGTGTTATTTTTCAATTGTTCAAGTACAGTTCCTATTTTATTTCTTTATTTACAAACACTCAGGGGATGAATCCTTTAGAGACTAAAATGTCAAAATAATAAAGGATTATTATTGCTGACTTGGATAAATTTCCCTTGGACCTTTAGAAACAGGAAGATGATAACCCTTTGTTAAATTCTAGTATTAACTTCTAACAGTATTTCATTATCTTTCACTGTTGTATATTTTGTTTCTCCTAATGGCCAATTAAAACAGGTCCAAATTTGGTAATATTTGCCAGACAAATAGAAAAAAATATCCTTAATCAGACTTCTAGAATAGTACAGATAGGTTTTCAATTTTTTTATTTACAGAAAATCTTTTTTCCTTTTATGTGATATAAACAAAACCATTCAGTTATTATTAAATGTCGAGACTCATGTATGACCCAGCTTAAAAAAGTTTGAAAAAAATCTTTGTTTTGAATTGGCAGTTTAAAAGTTGTATGTAAATATTGACACTGAATGGTCAATTTTGTCTAAATCATGTGTCCTAATTATGTTTAAATTAAAAAAAAATTAGGCATAAACCAGTTGGAATTGGGCACTTTATATGAAAGCAAACAGCTATGTCTTTGGTTAAAAAAGGACCAAGACCATCATATAGAAACTAAGGAGATAAACCAGTAAAAGTTGCATTTTATGTTCCAAGGATTTGTTTGGATAATCAGTCTTTTTATAAAAACTGTGACATATATTTTTGATACTCTTATTTTTTGCAATAAGACTATGATTTTTGTTTGTTTTTAATTTATTTTCAGAATTGATTGTTTATTTATATTTTTTGTAATAATGTAATAAATAAATTAAAACATTTTTCTTTTCTATACAAACCTTGAAAAGGTAGTAGCCCTTGGCATCTGATGTAATCATTCAATGTTGTAACTAGAGCTCTGATTTCTTGCCCAGCTTTGGCTACACTTTTTGTCTCGCCTTGACGGAGTCAAAAAGCGAGACATAGGTTTGCTGTTTCTGGCGGCAACGGAGGCTGCGTCGGCGTCAACAATGTATTAGTTTGTGATTAGGTCTAGTTCATGGTGTACCACTAGTGGTAGGTCAATGATATTTGGTATGCAGTTGTATTAGCATTGGCACATCTCATTACCATAGAGATTATTTGGCCCCGCCCCCTCAGTCAAGGTCTATTGACTTTGAAACTTTGCTTAGTTTACATGTATAAGTTTGTGATTAAGTCAGTTTATGGGCAACCACTAGTGGTAGGTCAATGATATTTGGTATGCAGTTGTATAAGCATTGGCATATCTCATTTCCATGGAGATTATTTGGCCCCGCCCCCTCATTCATGGTCTATTGACTTTGAACCTTTTGCTTAGTTTTCATGTATTATTTTGTGATTGGGTCAGTTTAAGGGGAACTGTTGGTTGTAGGTCAATGATAATTGGTATGCAGTTGTATAAGCCTTAGCACATCTCATTTCCATGGAGAATATTTGGTCCTTACCCCTCAGTCATGGTCTATTGACTTTGAAACTTTTGCTTAGTTTACATTTATTAGTTTGTGATTAGGTCAGTTTAAGATGAACCACTAATGTAAAGTCAATGATATTCAGTATGCAAATGTATTGGCATTTGCAAGTTTCATTTCCATGGAGATTATATAACCCCACCCCCTAATTATGGTTCCTTGACTTTGAAACTTTTACATAGTTTACAAGTTAATGTTTGTGTTTAGGTTTGTTTAAAGGGAAAAGTCAATGGTATTTGGTTTGCAGTTGTATTAGCATTAGCACATCTCATTTCCATGGAGATTGTTTAGCCCTGTACGTTCAGTCATGGTTCATTGACTTTGAATATTTGCATAACTTACATGTTAAAGTATTGCTATTTTAATTTCAACATTTGCATTATCAAAATAGCAAATAGGCAAGACATATCTCTGTGTTAACAGTTTATTGTCTTTTTGGGTTAACTCAGCTCTTCAAATTTAAAACCAGTTTTGGATTTTCAAATATTT